ACCCGCTGCTCCCCTCAGCAGTGTCTTCGGTCCGTCTGCCTGTTCTGCTCCCCGCTGTCTCTGGTGAATTCTCTCACCCTCCTGTGCCTCTGACTGTACCCCAATTCTTGTATAAATAAATAAATCTTTTTTAAAAAGATTAAAAAAACAGGGCCTCCCCGGTGGCGCAGCAGACGTGGGAGGGGTGGTCTCGAAGGTGAAGGCACATGATTCTGCCCTGGGCTATGTGCGTATCCTAATGTGCTGGGAAGTTGAACTGAGCTCTAAGGGGCCTCACTGGGAAGCTCAAAGTCCAGGAGACCTCAGATGTGAACCTGGACTAAGGTCAACCCAGACTGGGGAGTATCTCCAGAACATGGCAGAAGCATGTGTAAAAAAAATTCTTTTTAATGATGGCCACATGTGGAGGAATTTCTTTGCTGGTCTTAAAGGTCAACTTAAGGTCTTAAAAAAACATGAAGGGATTCTAAACTGTCTCCCATCAGCTCCATTCCCAAGCCTGGAGGAGCTAACGTCAATTCATCACATGATAATATATAGGATAAAATGCCAACCTGGAAAAAAAATAAAATCTATGCTATTAGGGGCCTCCCCAGTGGCGTAGCAGTTGAGCGCTGGGTTGCGAAGCTGCCCGCAGCCTCTAAACCGTCGGTTCGATCCCCGGCTGCTCCCCGGCCACCAGAGGAGGGTCCCGCATGGCGCGCAGACCTCTCCTGCCACCCGCCGCTCCCCTCAGCAGTGTCCTTCGGTCCTTCTGCCTGCTCTGCTCCCCGCTCTGGCTCTGGTGAATTCTCTCACCCTCCCGCGCTTCTGACTGTACCCAGTGCTTGTATAAATAAATAAATAAAAATAAATCTTTAAAAAAAGAAAAAAAAATCTATGCTATTAAAAACTTACCAGAAGGTCCTCCCTGGTGGCACAGGGGTTAAGTCTCAGCACTATGAAGCTATCCTTAGCCACTACATCACAAGTTCGATTCCCGGCCAGGGAGGTGACCCACAGGGCGCAGCAGACCTCGCCTGCTGCTCCCCTCAGCAGTATATTTCAGTCAGTCTGCCTGTTCTGCTCCCCGCTCTGTCTCTGGTGAATCCTCTCACCCCCTGCACCTCTGGCCTGCACCCCAGTTCTTATATGCATAAATAAATAAATCTTTAAAAAAAAAACCTTACCAGAGCCTTCAAGTCTTTCTGATAAACAGATATGCAAAAATCCCCCATAAGATATTAACAAACCAAGTAAATAATACACTAAAAGGATCATATCCTGTGACCAAGTGGGACTGACTCCAGGGATGCAAGGATGGTTCCACACCCACAAATCCATCCATGTGATACACCACATCAACAAAGTGAAAGACAAAAATTACATGATCAGCTCAATAGAGGAAGGGAAAACACTTGACAAAATCCAACACCCATTTGTATAAAAACCTCCGTCAGTTGGGTAAAGAGGGAAGGGTCATACCTCAACATAAAACACACGGATGAAAGACCACAGCGACCGCTTTAAGCTCCCCAAATCCACTCTCCAACTGTCATCAGATTCTCCTAAAAGGCAAGTCAGACACTGCTCCCCACCCTGCTAAAAATGCTTAATGAACAATTTGCTCCATGAATGCAATCTGAATTATTATTATTTTGCATTTGAAAGGGCAGGTTTATTAGGAAAAGGAGACAGGAAAAGAGGCACCTGCACAGACACAGGTGGGCAGAGCGCTGCTGCCGTGCCGCTTTGCCAACATCTGAATTCAGAGGCTTCCCCTGCCTCTCCAGGGACTGACCTGCGGGGCCTGCCACAGCTCCCCCACCCGAAGTGCTGCCCAGCCCTCCCCTGGTTCCTTACATCCCTGTCGGGCCCCACCAACGGCCAGTTCTACCTCTGCTGACTCTGCCTTCCCCCACCTCCCACCCCTGCTTTTGACCTAACTGCCAATTCACCCTTCAGGTGACATCACTTCTTCAGGAAGGGCTAACTAAGACGGTGATCTGGGAGGAGTCTCTCCCAGGGACCAGCTCACCAGCCCGTAATCACTCTCTTTAAGGGCCACGGAGCTGCTTTTCAAGTCCTGTTCATGTCTTATCGCCCATGAGTCAGACAGAGTCTAGAAGGAAGGGCATCTTCCTGGGCCACCACCATCTCCCTGGTCCTAGGGAGATGATCAGTAAGAGCTTGATAAATATTTGTGATTTGTGATTAAATGAGTTAACTGTGACACAGCCTTTTTAATGTCAAAAAAGGAAAGAAATCAATATAAAAGGCTGGAAGACACCACCAGGTGTGGGCACAACCAGTGGCCTGTTGCTGTCATTCCTGCAACTGGTATAATTTGGGGGACACGCCAAGTGCCTGGAAGCCACCTTTCACCCAGGTCTGGAAACTCTCCCCTCCCAGGAATGGGCAGGACGTTCCTGAATCAGGGCAGCCAGTGGCTGGGATGACCAGCCAGGCCCTGCCAGCGTGGGCGATGCACTCAGTTGAACCTCTAACCTCGCCCAGCAGGGAGCCCAGCTGTGACAATTGCTTTGCTTGTTGGGGGAGTAAAGGGGAGCCAGAGGAAGAGGTCAGCAGCCCAGACCTTCCCCACAGGCAGGTCTTCCCCACACCTCACTGTCTGCTTCATCATTCTGGGCAGGGCCAACCACAGTGTTGGGCCAGATAAGGTTGAAACGGGGTGCCCTTTGGTGGCAGCACTCCTGCACGCCATTCCTCTTTAGCCAGGAATGGGGTGTCTCCCGGGTCAGGCGCTGACTCTGGGCTGCTGGAATGCCGCAGCTCCGCGCACACTATTCCTCACCCCCACGCTGGAAGGAGGCACGGCCCATCACAAAGGCAACTTAAAAGTAGCGATGGTTTGGGAGGAAGGCCCTGGCCCCTCCAGAAAGCCACAAAGGCCAGTCCAGGGACCCTCCGAGCGACAGGGACACGGATGCCCTAAGCTGACAGCCTGAAAGGCGTGAGGTACCTGATAAACTTTAAACAACTCCCAGCCCCCCGCCCCAGCTCCTCCAGCTGCTGCCAGGTCTGCCAGGAGAGCAATTCTTCAGCACAGAGCCTCTTTCTTCTTCCAGGAGCGGGCTTGGACGGAAGTGAAGGGCTCCCTGCTCCACCTTCTCAGGAGACAGGGCCCTTAAAGCACCCGCCCAGCGGAGCTGATGGAGACCCCTGCCTTCCACGCTCAATCCCCTAACTGGTGTGCTAACAAGGAACAGCGGCCTGGCCTGCAGGAGGGCGCTTAAGGGGTCTCGTTAGGCAAGCATGGGCACGTGGTGGCCCCTCCAAATCCCTCCAAGGCTCCTGCACTCTGTAACACTGACCCTCCTTTCTGGACAAAAGCAGGCGTACTCACCAGTCCGCAGGCGAAGGCTAGGCCAGCTGCAAGTGGGGGGCCCCGGTTTCCTTAGGACTCAGTGCGAGCTTGACCTCTGGGGGTGCACCAGGCCTGCTGCTAGAGTCGCGGGCGATCAGAGCCACGGGTCCGCGGCCCTCCCCGCCAGCTGCAGTCCGGGCGCTGGAGGGCTTGTCCCAGCGCAGCCCCAGCCCTAGTTCCTCCGGCTGAATCGTCTGCACAGAAAGCGCCGCGCTCAGCCCCTGCCAAAGAGCTTCCTCTCGCCGCGGCCGCAGGTCCCGGGGGGCTGTGTTTCAATGCGTGGACTCCGGAGCCACTGTTCGCACTGCGTTTCCTTCCTGCTGGTTTTCTCCCCCTTGGACTTTCCATTCCCGGGGACCCATTCGCTCCAGGAACAGACTGCTGCCACGGCGGGCCGTCTGGGATGGGCGCCTCCTTTTCCTGGAAAGCGCGCCACAAAGACCCTCCTCTCTACAACGCAATGGCAGGCAGCAGACCCTGGCGGGACTGCCAGGGAAACTTCTAGGAAGGTCTAGAAGTTTGATGACTTCTCGCTGCCCTGCAGACTCGCTCGCAGCTGGGAGACCAAGATCCAGCCAGACTGTGAGCCCACAGCAGCATCGGGGCCCGCTGCCATGGCAACCCACAGCTTCCCAGCCCAACACTGTGTCTGCCCAGCTCAGCTGGCTTTGCCTATTCCCAAAACTGCTTACTCAGCACCTGGCATTTCCAGATGGAACCTGCTGCCCCCAACCCCAGGGCCTCCTTCCAGATGGCCCCCAGCCCAGCCGCTACCCCACTCTCCCTGGCAAATCCTGGGAGGTCACTAACTTAGCGAAGTCTTCCTGAAGGGGCCCGAGCATCACGTGGCTCCCCCACTCACTGCACAGAGGGCCCCCATTTTTGTCTTAGCCACTGTTGGGGCTGGCCTGTGGGTGCAGCCTGGGAGCCACGGCCGAGGCTGACAGGCCCCAGGCGCTCCCCACTTTTAAAGCTTTTTGGGAGCAGAATTCTTTCTCCTTCTATTCTAATCCCAAATCGTACCTGCACTTCTATACTTGAGCCCAAACTGAAAATGAAACTCCCACACTCAGCACTGAAATGGGACGAGGCTGGCACGTGCTGGAGCTTCCCTTCTCCCCACCGTGGCACCCCGACTTCCCTTCTCATCTTTGACTTTCCCCAATGCTCGCACCTTAATTCCTTTGAAGCCTTTAATTTTTTTCGAGGAATACAATGGCCTACCTATGCAAACCATATGACCAACAAATTCATGTTCTCAAAAATATTTAATGACACAGAAGTTCACATGTTGAGCTGCAGAAACACACACAGAGGACACCAAGTGTAAGACACACAAGCACACGTATAACCTAGCACACACACACACACACCCGGCCACCACAAGAGACCGCAGGCGGTGGGTGGGTATAGGGGGTCCTCGCCACACACCAGCTGCTCCAGCACCCTTAAAAGTCTTAAGTGGAGGGTTAGGAGAAAGTCCCCGGATGGGTGTCTTTGGGCACCCTGGGAGCCCTCTCCCTGGAGCGTTTTTTTTTTTTTTTTTTAAAGATTTATTTATTTATGCATACAAGAGCTGGGGTCCAGGCCAGAGATGCGGGGGGGTGGGGGGGTGGTGAGAGGATCCACCAGAGACAAGAGTGGGGAGCAGAACAGGCAGACTGACTGCAATACACTGCTGAGGGGAGCAGCGGGGAGACAGGAGAGGTCTGCTGTGCCATGTGGGTTGCTCCCTGACTGGCAGGGGATCGAACTCGTGCTGCAGATGCTTCAGATAGCGTCACAGTGCGCCACCAGGGAGGCCCTCCCTGGAGCACTTTAACAGACACCTGGAGGCAAGACAGTGGGGGGACGTGGACTGGAATGATTGTCTCGTCCCGACCTGGGTTAATCTACTCAGACACCAGGCGTGCCATTTGGGGCCTCGGTACTCCTCACACAGGGACCCCGAGAGGGGAGGACTGTCCCACTGAAAGGAAGAGCCTCGGGTTAAATGCGCCCCACCCAGGACACAGCTGGCCAGTGGCGAAGGTGGGGTCTGAGCGGGGAGGTCTGACATCAGAGCCCGTCTTAACCCCCGCAGGGCCGGCCCAAATCTGAATTCTAGTAAAAGCCCATCATTTAGATAGACAAGTTTTAAAAGGCCACCATCTGGAGCAACAGAAGTAGCTCCTCATCCACACTCGTCCTCATACCACCTGCTGGGCAGACCTGCCCGGTCCACAGGTTAACCAGGCGCAGGGCCCAGGTGGAGGTGGTGGGCCTCGGGCCTCAGGCTGGGGCCGCAACACCCACAGGGCCCCCCACAGGCCACTGCCAGATCTCAGTCTCTCAAAAATCACTATCAAGGGCTCAGGAGTACCAGCTCACCTTGCTCCCCACGCCCCCCCGTCCCACGGTGTCAGGGCACGAACTCCCGCCTGCAAGCCCAGGGGAAACCACTGGGGACAGAGACACGAGCTGGCCTCACTCACTACATCCAGGAGCCCTGGAGTCGGGGCTCTTGCCGTCCGTCTGCCTTACCTATACACGGCGCTCTCCAGAAGCTGCGGGTCTTTGAAGAGCCACAAAACTGGCCAACTAAGGAGGGTTCTCACATTTGAAGCCACGTTTCTTTAAAATAAGCATGCCCGGCTTTGGGAGTCACATGTAACAGCCACAGCCTCGGAAGATGGACCGGCCCGTGGCGCCCCCTCTGTCCACTACGGGAACGACGAGCAGCCCGAACTGCTGACTCTGATCACGTGGACACGAGGTGGCGGGCGCCTGGCCAGTCGACCTGCACCCCAGGGCTGGCCACAGATCCAGACCAAGGAGGCCAGAGACCCCTAGAGAAAGTGCACCTCAGCCCCCCCCACCCCCCATCACCCAGAGCCAACTGACCCACACAGACAGCGCCCTCTGGTGGTGACCTGTCTTCCCCACCAGGGCTGAGTGGAGACCAGGAGGAAGGGGGTGGGGGGAGAAGCCAAGCCAGGATTCAGAGGAAAGGTGCTGCGGGCCTGCTGCTGTGGGAAGGAGGGCTGTCCACCGAAATTCTTTGCAGGGTCAAGACAGAAAACCATGTACAGGCAACTAAGAGGTTGGACCTCAGCTGGTGTGAAGGGTGTCAAAACTCACCCTGGAGGGCTCGTGCATGCATCCGTTAAGTCCTCCGCTGTGGGTGGGTGAGATGTGGGGGGCCAGGAGAGAGCCCCCACAATGCCAGTCACCGGCCTAAGCGTCAGAACCCACACACCCCGATAAAGCTGACCTGCCGGGATCCAATCTGCCAGTTTGAAATGCTGCCTCCTGTGCATCTCAGTCTCACACGCAGGAAGGGCTTCACCCAGCGTGGGCACCTGTGCCCACCGCGACCACCTCCAACCCCGAGGGTAAAGCAGCATGGCTACTACGGGGCGAAGTACAGGTTTTCATTGTTTTTCCAACACCCCCCCGCCCCCAACCAGGGCAGAAGTCACCCTCACCACCTCCTGTTCCCCAGGGGCCAGCTCTAACATGTGTGCAAGTTCAGGTCCAGCAATCAGAGGCAAAACTACGAGGCTTTACACATGAGGCTCTGCCAGTGCCAGCCCTGCTACCAGCGCCAGCCCTGCCCACGCCGGCCTTCTGTCCCAGATGAGAAGTCAACCAGGATGAAGAGTGCGGAGCCCCCAGGAGAGGCTTCTGGATTTGAGATGTTTCAAAAAATATGAACCAGGGCCTCTGTGTGGCGCAGGGGTTAAGTCTCAGCGCTATCAAGCTATCAGCAGCCACTGCAGTGAGAGTTCGATCCCCGGCCAGGGAGGTGACCCACATGGCGCAGCAGACCTCGCCTGTCTCCCTGCTGCTCCCCTCAGCAGTGGATTTCAGTGGATCCGCCTGCTCTGCTCCCCACTCTGTCTCTGGTGAGTCCTCTCACCCCCTGCACCTCTGGCCTGTACCCCAGCTCTTCTGTATAAAAATAAATAAAATCTCAAAAGAAACCATTAGAATAAAAAAATAAATAAAAAGGGCCCTGGGTCCAAACTGTGAAACCCTTACAATGAAGAGACCAAACACAGCCTTGTAACCCTCCGGGCGAGGAGCGGCACTAAGCCCCCAGAAGGCCCGCCCCCCTCCCCATGGGACACCTGTCCTGTCTGTGCCCCGGCAGGCGGGTGGGAGCAAGGTAGCCTCACAGGCGGGGTGCCCATGACCAACCCCGGCCAGCCTGCCTTCCTCCTAGGCACATCTCAGCGGCCCCAGTTTCTCTGTTCTTATTTGGATTCCAACAATTAGATCCTTCAGGAACTTTCTGCAGAACCACGTTCTTTCTGTTTTAATGGTATACAAACCTCTCCTTGCTGTTTTATCCCTTTAGAAAATAAAATAGGTAGCAAATGGTTATCTACACAGATGACGAGGGCAAAACTCCAGGTCATGCAGCTGGGGCAGACGCCGGCATGCCCACGAGTCCCGCACGAGGCACTGTCTGCAGCGCAAGCATCCGCACAGAGAAGCCCACGACTACGCGGGCCAGGCTGGAGACAAAGGCAGGCTTTTTGGTCAAAAATTCCTTTCCCTTACTGAAAAGAGCAACATCAGTTCGTTTTCCGATAGAGTTTAGGCTTCGGGTGCACTTTCTCTTTATGTGTTTCCTCGAATTCTCTTGCTCCAATTTTCTCTGACGCACCAGGAAGTTTAAAGTTATAGTCCGTGGTGATGTAAGGGATTGTGCCCTCGGGCCCGCGCTGAAACGAAGCAAAGAGCGCACATGGGCCCCGCCAGCCCTGTGAGGCGCGTGCGCGGCACCCCCTCCTCCGCAGAGCGCAGGGCCCTGCGGATCCTCCCGCTCCTGCCAGGACATCAGGGCCTGGAAAGGGCTGCTCGGAGCAACAGCCGGGTCTGTGTCCCCCCAGCCACAGCCGCACCACACAGCACAAGTGCAGGTGGTACAGGGGAGTGCCCAAGTCCCCAACAAAAGAAACTGTTACAGGGCAACAAGCAGGCAAGAGGGCAGGAAGACCTGCTGCCTGCCCGGCCCTCTGGACGCCCTGGCCAATGTGACCCCCATGACCTTCCTGTGGTGCAGCAGGAAGGTGATCCTGGGGTGGCCGCCTCTGCTCCTTCTCCCACATCCTGCTCCCAGGAGATCGGCTGCACCACAGGCTCCTGACCACGAGCGTTGGCGGTTCCTGGCCTTGGGCCGCTGCGGCCATTCTGGCTTCCTGCCCCACCTCCCTAAGCCTCTCCCACAGACTGAGTGTCCCAAACAAGGCCCTGCTCCCCTGGGGCTCAGCCCCACCCCAGGCCCTCACTCCCTCTGCCCTGGTCTTGGGCTGCAGCCCGTGGGGCTGCCCGGTGCCACACCCACCTGGCACTTGAGGACGCACTGTGGGATGGACACGGCCCCAACCAGCAGACAGTTCACATGTCTTAGCTGTTCCGGGGGCACAGGGGTGAGGATGTGGTAAAGCCTCTTCTCCATGTCGATCCCCCTGCAGATTCCTAGAACACATGAGAGTCACACACTCAGGAAGGAACCCAACCGCGCCCCCCAGACGAACTCAAGGGCCTTTACAGAGTTAGCTTCCATTTCAACTATTTTGCTGCAAAAGTGCAGAGCATGATGGGAGGACTTGGGAAGCTGCTGTCGTGCGGCTCCTCGTGCGGCTGTGAGGCATAGGTGGGCTCCAGGTGAGTGTCCTTGCTGACCAAGGACACAGGCAGGGAGGCACTGGGAAACAAGGACATTCCTAACCTTCCCCACCATCAAGCCCTTCTTCGTGGTCTATGTTAAACAATGTGATTTCTGTGGGATGCTTTTGAGGCGCACAGGGCACAAAACCAATGATAGGGGCCATCCCTGGTGGCACAGCGGTTGAGCGCTGGGCTGCAGAGCTGCCCGCAGCCTCTGCTGCGCCAGTTTGATCCCTGGCTGCAGGCAAGGGTCCCACATGGCGTGCAGACCTCTCCTGCCGCCCACTGTTCCCCTCAGCAGTGTATTTCGTCAGTCTGCCTGTTCTGTTCCCCGCTCTGGCTCTGGTGAATTCTCTCACCCTCCCGCATTTCTGACTGTGCCCAGCGCTTGTATAAATAAATAAATAAATCTTTAAAAAAAAGGTGGGGGGGCCTCCCCTGGTGGTGCAGTGGTTGAACGCTGGGCTGCAGAACTGCCCACAGCCTCTGCTGCGCCAGTTTGATCCCCAGCCACTGGCGAGGGTCCCACATGGCGCACAGACCTCTCCTGCTGCCCGCTACTCCCCTCAGCAGTGTGCTTCAGTCCTTCTGCCTGCTCTGCTCCCCGCTCTGGCTCTGGTGAATTCTCTCACCCTCCCGCGCTTCTGACTGTACCCAGTGCTTGTATACATAAATAAATAAACCTTAAAAAAAAAAAAAAAAAAAGCCAAACCAGAGATGGGCAGTCAACTATTCAAGGATTTAGCTCATTTAGCGATACCTCAGTCCAACGCCCAATGGGGAGCACGGGCATGAAGCAGGTGCAGAGCTGGCCGGGGAGACAATCTGGGAGTAAGCCACAGGAGGGGCTGGCCCTCACAGTGGGTCACATGTTAGGGAAACATCCAGTGACCAGACCCGAGGACCCTGCATCTTAGGGGCTCTGGGAGAGGAAGCAGAACAGAAGCAGATCCTGCCCACCTGAGGCCTGTGTGCAGAAGACAGAGACGCTTCTGACTAGCAGGCTCCATGCGGGGCTCCTCGGTCAGGACCAGCCAGTCCAGCTCAAGGGGTCAGTGTCGGTGGCTTACAGACTCGTTTCACTCCTACTCACCAAACCCCAAACAATCACAGATGGGCGTCTGGGCGAGCAGGATAGGACCATGCGTGTATCCGCGGACATCATCCATGATCTTGCAGAGGCCCACCCAGCTGGCGTTCACGGCGTACAGTATGTGGGCAGGGGCCACATCGGAGTGGACGATCCGGAGCGCGACAGCATTGAAAGGGACCTGGAAGGAAATTTGCATCTCCCTCTATTAATCCCACTTTTTCGCGAGACTGTTTCTAATTTCTACAAATTAACTAATCAGTTATCTAAAGTATGCCTGCCAGGCCTCCCTGGTGGCGCAAGGGGTTAAGACGCAACCTATGAATCTATCCACAGCCTCTGCAGCCCGAGTTCGATCCCTGGCCAGCTATCACAATCTGACCACCTTAGAAATGATTCCTCTGAAGATGATCTGGAGTTTGCTGACACAGCAACAGTTCTTAAAAGTAGTAACTTTAACTAAGGTCTATTTCTTAAGTGAGAGAGCCATGGTTCTAGGAGTTTAAGATGAGAAGGATAAGGTAGAAAGAAACTACAGAGATAAACATCACACAAAAGAGGTTGCACCAGCTCAAGTGCTTACACTCCAGTCGCCCTCCTGCCCTCACTGGCGTTGCAAGACCACCGGCCAGGGAGTTACCCACATGGCACAGCAGACCTCTCCTGTCTCGCCTGCTGCTCCCCTCAGCAGTGTTTTTATTCCCCTAGGATTTATTTATTTATACAAGAACTGGGGTACAGGTCAGATATGTGGGAAGGTGACAGGATTCATCAGAGACAGAGTGGGGAACAGAACAGGCAGTCTGACTGAAATACACTGCTGAGGGGAGCAGTGGGGAGACAGGAGAGGTCTGCTCGCCACATGGGACCCTCACCTGGCTGGCGGGGATCGAACCGGCACTCCAGAGGCTGCAGACAGCTTCACAGCGCTGCACTCAACCACATGCGCCACCAGGGGAGGCCCTCAGCAGTGTATTTCAGCCAGTCGGCCTGTTCTGTTCCCCACTCAGTCTCTGGTGAGTCCTCTCATCCCCTCACCTCTGGCCTGTACCCCAGTTCTTGTATGCATAAATAAAATCTTTAAAAAAAAAAATTTGCCTGCCAAACCACCTACCAAAAAGTATCTAAAAGGAATGAAAACATGAGCCAGTGAGTCCCCGGGCGGGCAGTCGCCACTTTCACGTGAAGAGCCTACGGCACTGACCCGGGCCCTGCCTACAGCAACGATCCCAGCAATCCAACCCAAGTGCCTGGGACTCTTCTCCAAAGACACAAACAGGGTACAGGTTTGGAGATGTCCTAATTGAGAAGTCAAGGGAGACTGAACACCCCATCCACAGAGCAGTCCCCTAATATAAGAAAGTAAAAATCTGTTCATTGACAGAAAGCCCCGATTACTCCCTGACAAAATGTACTGAATTAGAAAATAGATTGGAACATTCGATGAATGACTCCCTTTATTTAATGTGTACCTTCCCGGGCAACAAGTCATGTAGATTTCAAAAACAAATCTGAAATAACAAAAGGTGGCACCTAAGTTTCAAGTCTGGCTCCAGAGTGTCACCCACGAGGCAACGGCACATCAGCCCCAACCCCCTGAACACCTCCCGGCTCCTCCAGGGAGGTGCCTCGGGGGCCTGGGGCTGCAGGTCAGGCGACACCTCCACATCCAGTCGCCACACAGTGTCATGAGTGTCCCTCTTAGGCGGTGAAGAGCTCCAAAGAGCGCCCGGCCCAACACGCAGAGGATGAAGGCGCTGGCCCTGGAGTACCTTGGCCGGGACTGGGCACCCAGCCCAAGCTAACAATGCCACTTTTTATCATCTGTGAAATGGGAGCAATGACAGGGCCCGGTGAGGAGTCAGCACAGGCCTAGAACAAAGTCTAGCACAGAGTAAGCACGAAGAGATTGTCCTCAAAAAGTTTTAAAAATAAAAAAAGCAAGAGGTGGGCCTCCCCTGGTGGTGCAGCAGTTGAGCACTGGACTGCGAAGCTGCCCGCAGCCTCTGCTGCACCGGTTCTATCCCCGGCCGCCAGCGAAGGTTCCACATGGCTGCCCCCTTCAGCAGTGTACTTCGGTCCTTCTGCCTGCTCTGCTCCCTGATCTGGCTCTGGTGAATTCTCTCACTCTCCCACGCTTCTGACTGTACCCAGTGCTTGTAGAAATAAATAAATAAATCCTTAAAAAAAAAAAAAAAAAAAAAAGGCAAGAGGGCCTCCCTGGTGGCACAGGCGGTTGAGCGCCACACTGTAAGCTGTCCTCTGCAGCGCGGGTTTGATCCTGGCCGGCCGGTGAGGATCCCACATGGCGAAGCAGACCTCTCTTGTCTCGCCCACGCCTCCCCTCAGCAGTGTGTTTCGCCAGTCTTCCTGTTCTGTTCCCGGCTCTCTCTCTGGTGAGTCCTCTCACCCTCCCGTGCCTCTGGCCTATACCCTGGTTCTTGTATAAAAATAAATGAATCTTTAAAAAAAAAAAAAAGCAAGAGCCACCTGTTGCTATTTTATCATCACCCAGAATCCTAACACTCCAGTACTCATGTCTCAGCTCACCTGATAGGGCTTCAGACCCTGCAAGGGGCAGAGTGGTTTTGGCACCGGGGGCTGCAGCTGGCCCAGGTAACCCAACACCGCCAAATCACGGAAAATCCTGTTGTGCCACTCCCTGCAAAAAGCGAACACAGCACCAGAGGCCGTCTGTCACCACGTGGGTTCTAGATTCAGAGTCAGCCCCACCCTAACACCATGGAGCCCACCTCCCGCGAACTCCCTGGAGAGACAGAACACTCTCCTTCCAACTGGAGGCCACTCCAGGCATTTCCCTGGGGTAATGAGAGCTCCCAGAGTAACGGAGTCCCCTTCTGGAGCATGAGCTGTGGCAGAGGCCTGAGGCCCCGGGGAGTACTCAAGAACCCGAGGGGAGAGGCGGCATCACGCCAGAGGAAGCGAGCCTCCCAGGCAAGACATGATGTACCTATTTCTTGAAGTTTTCCTGAATGCAAACTCCGACTGCACGCTCATCAGTTTGTGTCCAGTGAACACCACCGGACTCTCCTTCTCGTCATCAGCAAAGTCCAAAGTCTCCGCGAATTCTGCCAGGTGGAAACCCCTGTTTCTGACCTTGATCTTGCTCTTCGTGTACAAGCCGTCCATGTCGTCGACGTAGTCGGGGGTGAGACGCGGCATGTACGGGCTGCGGCTGGAGCTGAACTGAACCACATGGCTGGGAGACAGCAGGCGGATCAGGTCGATGAGCAACAGGAGCCCGTCATCTGTGAGTGGGAGAGAGTCAGACTTCTGCACAGGCTGGGGGAATGGCCTCTTCCCCGTGGCCACCCAGCCTCCCGACACGCATGCGGCTTACCCGACACCCAGCCCATGGTGTTGACGATGAGCGGGGACTCCCGCTTGTAGGCGCTGAACACGTACTTGACTATTTCAATGTAACTCTCACAGTTATTCTTACAGGAAGGCTTCCCATAATACACCATTTTCTGTGGTGTCCTCTGGTGGGTGAAAGGTGGTCCTGGAAGACAAGGGTCAGGGCTGTCAGCCCTCTACCCCTTGGAGGGTGGGAGGGCTTTCCTTCCACTGTCATCACAGAAGAAGGAGGGGAGAGACGCTGAGAACACAGCACCCACAGAGCAGCTGTACTCCCATTTTCAGAAATCTAAGCTTTCCACTGAATGCAAAGGCACGCCTGCTTTGAAATACACTATTGGGCCTCCCTGGTGGTGCAAGGGGTTAAGATGCAGCTTATGAAGCTATCCGCAGCCTCTGTAGCAGTTCGATCCCCGGCCAGTCAGGGAGCAACCCACATGGCGCAGCAGACCTCTCCTGACTCGCCCGCTGCTCCCCTCAGCAGTGTATTTCAGTCAGCCTGCCTGTTCTGTTCCCCACCCTGTCTCTGGTAAATCCTCTTACCCCCCACACCTCTGGCCTGCACCCCAGCTCTTGCATGCATAAGTATTAAAAAAAAAAAGTTTTGGAACCACCAGTGACATGGTTGGGCAACACTGTGAGTGTGTTTAACGCCACGCAACAGTACATGCACGACTGGTTAACACGACAAGTGCCAGGTCATGTGTGTTTTACCACAACATAAAAGCAACTGGGGACCCCAGGTTGGATTCAAAACCAGAAAAACGACAGTAGCGGGAGAATCGATATGTGCTTAATAAAACCTATAGATTGTTAATATTATAGCAGCGTTAACAACTTGGTTTACTCATAGACCATTTTACACAGTTACAGAAAATGTCACTATAAAGAAAAGGTGTTTCTCACTTACATGAAACAAAATGGGCATTAGTTCCATTCACTGAAATGTTTTTACAGGCTGGGGAAGAGTTATGATAAGACTGTAAGCTTGATAGGGTAACGTTCTCTTTTTATAATTACACGTTCTTTGAGTTTTAAATAAGCATCATTACTTTTGAGTTTCATCAAACCACAACATTAAGAAGCATACAATACGTACCCAGAACTGGTTCCGTGACACTGACTAAGGAAATGCAGCCAGGAGGAGTAAATTCTGTCTGTCCCAGATCACACTCCAAATAGTCAACACAAGGAAGACTGGAAATTGAAAAGAAGAAAACCTTAGGCAGCTTACGCCCTGGAAGGATAAGCCAGACCTTAGAGGCTTCCCCGACGCGGGTAGACCCACCACCACGCCAGCTTCCGGGGAGGTGAGGATGCCGCCGCCAGGGAGAGGGCACAGGTGGTTGGTGTCCACGCATGGGAGGCACCACTTTGTCTCCCCTAAAACCTCAGATCTTATCCCTATTGTCTCTCTCTGGACCTGGACGAACACAGACTCAGACCCAAAGGCCCCTTTGCCAGCTGACAGGAAAGGCCACATGCCCCGAGACACCTGAGTCCAAGCATGGGCACAGACGCCAGGCCAGCAGTTTAGGGGTGCAGACGCATGCCATTAAGTTTCTCAAATCTCACCTCACACCAAAAATGTAGCAACACGTCGCACAGAATAGAAACACTTACCTATTCAAGAGCTGGTTAATCAGGTATCGATTAAACGTGGACTTCCCGATGTCCTGGGGCCCGCACGCCAGAATGACAGGGCAGCCATCGACTTCCTCTGCGGGGAAACAGAGATGAGCCCAGAACGAGCGCTCTCTTTTAGGGCTCCACTCACAGCGGTCCCAAGGGCGCGCCTGGACTTCGCCCACATCCTACTCACCACAGGCGACGCTGACCAGCTCTTCCAGGGCGGAGAGGGCACTCTCAGTTAAACGAAGGCCATTTTTTCTCTTTTTCTCTTTTCTAATGCCGACAGATCTCAAGGCTAGAGATTCAGCATTAATCTGGGAAGTTGGACTCTGAAACGAACAATTTAAACTCTAAGAAAAAGCGAAAACTAATGCCCCTTTCTTCAGTTCTAAAGGAATAAAGCCTCTCTCTCACCCCCCAAATCCTTCGATGAGTCCTTCAGAATCTATCCCAAAGTACTAATGTCTCTGTGTTCCAGCACTTAAGCTCCACTTCCAGTTGCCATGGCCTCTCCAGGAGCCGCCACGGGAAAAGAAAACACGGAAATTTAAAAGTGATCGCCACGAGAACACTGAAAGGAGGCCCACAGCTGTGGAACAGGCTGGTGGTTTGGAACAAAGTCAAGATGGTCTCCAGAAACAGCAGAACAAGGAGCACACTTGGAGCCCAAGGAAGTGGGAGGCGAGTCCAGAGGCCCAAGGACTGTCCAATAGGCACAGAAGAGGGGAGCAAGGAGAGACCTGCCTCGACCACACCCTTGTAATTTGTCACTGCTGAGGATGGAGACGCCCCGATGGCATGAGGTCCTTAAGGCTTTAGGGCAAAATCCTTTTGAATACACAAGCCCCAGAAAAATAGAGATGAAAACATAAGGTCGCATCTTGCCATTCAGAACTTTCACTTTCAAGTGGCAAAGGCTTTTCCACAGGCTTTCTGGTCCTTTCTCCACTGCCCTGATCAAGCCACTCGGCTCTGCACAATGAAACTGATGCAGCCCCAACAGTCTGTCTGCTGTCCCACCTTCCTGTCTTCTCTCACCTCCAACTTGGAAAGGCGACCAACTGACTCCCAGCACCCCACTCGGCTGTGACATCCAACCTTGTTCAAAAGCAACAGAAATCCCAACAGAGCAACCTGTGCCTGCCCTGCCCTGCCATTCGCTGGGCTCCCCTGACACACCGCGTCCGGTGCTTCCAAGGCCAAGCTCGCAGCCGACAATCCAGCACCCTCCCTCCTCTCTGCAGCGCCAGCAGCTCTCTCACCCCTCCATCAATCCCACCTAGTGACTTCATACAAACATTTTTTCCACCCACCTTAACAAAAAGCACTCTTGGGCCTCCCAAGTGGCACAGCAGTTGAGCGCTGGGTTGCGAAGCTGCCCGCAGCCTCTGCAGCGCCGGTTCCATCCCCGGCTGCTCCCCGGCCACCAGAGGAGGGTCCCACATGGCACGCAGACCTCTCCTGCCGCCCAGACCTCTCCTGCCGCCCGCTGCTCCCCAGTGTATTTCGTCAGTCTGCCTGCTCTGCTCCCCGCTCTGGCTCTGGTGAATTCTCTCACCCTCCCGCACTTCTGACTGTACCCAGTGCTTGTATAAATAAATACATAAATACTTTAAAAAAAAACCAAAAAAACAAAAAGCAACTCTTCTTGGGGGCCTCCCAGGTGGCGCAGCAGTTGAATGCTGGGCCGCTAAGCTACCCGCAGCCTCTGCAGCACTGCTTTAATCCCCGGCCACCGGCGACAGTCCCACATGGCCCGCAGACCTCTCTTGCCGCCCGCTGCTCCCCTCAGCAGTGTCCTTCGGTCCTTCTGCCTGTTCTGCTCCCCGCTCTGGCTCTGGTGAATTCTCTCACCCTCCCGCACCTCTGGCCTGCACCCCAGTGCTTGTATAAATAAGTAAATCTTTGGTGGGGGCGGGGAAGCAACTCTTCTTGATCACACTAATATCGCTACCACTCTGTCATCTGCTTTCCCTTCCTTTACAAAACCAAATGCCTTGCTGCTGCACCCTTGGGGTCCTCTCCCCCGTAGCCCCAAACTCTAAGCTCCATTTAGCCAGGTTATCCTCCTTGGGGATCTACCGACCCTCTCTGATCCAGACATAAGCTGCCTCCGCAGGCCTCATCTTCCGGTCGCAGCATCTGTCTGACACAGCCGTGCACTTGTTGTCCGGGAAGGACTCCCCCTGGTCACGCTCAGTGCCAACCCCTCCCTCACTCGTCTCCGCCTCTCAGCTGCTCCCTCCTTTCCGCCCAGCTCTCCCTTGGGGGTTCTTGGGCACCTCCCCAGGGGCCGCTGCCCGTTGCATGGCTTCTGGAGTCCTCCTCAGCTGAAATTTACACTTTCAGTCTTTTCTCTGAAGTTCGGAGTCACCCCTCAGGCTGCCCACCTGACATCTCCAACTGGATGTTCGCACGCTCGCACGCCTCACCTGCGCCTCCTGCTCCACACACCCAGATAATGAGGCCAAAAAGCCCAATCCCTTGATTCCTGCTCACACCTACATCTAGTCTGTCCACAACGCCATTAATAGTAAAGATAATCATTTTTAAAAATGCCAAGAGGTGCTAAACCAACCACAACATGAAATGATGTCTTTTTCTGGGGGATGAAGCTGAGGGGGGTGGGGCGGAGACAACACATCTTCTATATCATCTTTCCCGTGCCCACATCTTACATTCCACGTGACCTACAGACAACCCAGCAGACAGACTGAGCTCCTAAGGGCGCGCCCAACACACTCAGTGGACAAGACTTTTGGGGAAAACAGTAACTACCTAAATTCTAAATGAAAACTGGTTTTACCTCTTGTACGAAAATATACGACAAGCCCGGATGGCTGTTGATGAAGTTCACGGTGGGGGTTTTCAGTTGTTCCAGCAGTACAATGGAGCACAGAGGAGAAAAATTCTTCATCAGCCAACACCTGTCCTCTATAAGGAGAAAGATAAACTACCTTAGAAAGGGAGACTCCATTCAATTCTCTACCTGCCTTTTGGACTATGATCTCCTCAGCTAAAAGGTAAATTTTAATTTTTCTCATATAAAAAAATGAAAACAATAGTTCCATTCACAGCACTATGGTGAGGGTTTAAACACAGACAGTGTGAGGCCTCCCTGGTGGCCTAGGGGTTGAATCTCAGGGCCAACACCGCTTTGGTTCAATCCCCAGCCAGGGAGCTGACCCACACATGGCGCGGCAGACCTCTCCTGTCTCCCCGCTGCTCCCCTCAACAGTGTGTTTCAGTAATTTGGCTGTTTTGCTCCGGGACTCTGTCTCTGGTGAATCCTCTCAGCCCCGCACCTCTGGCCTACACCCCAGTTCTATGCAAAAATAAAAAATAAACGGGGACAGCGAAGTCTGCATTATCTAAACACAGTAAGCACCTACAATTGAGAGGCCTTATAGGCCTGCAGCAAAGCAGCAGGAAAGCAGCAGGTTCCTCCCGTTACCTCGGTTAAGGTGCGGTCGGAGCAAAGCCCGGGCTTCCCTTTTTATCTCCTTCCTGCTTCTCTCAGGCATTAAGTAGTGAACTGAGCTGATGGTCAGGCGAGAGTGGGTATAGGTAGAGAAGACATCCTGGGGGGGCTGGCCTTGGCTGATGGCAAAACCAAACACCTGCACCTGGCCATAGAGGCAGGTCACCCGACAGATCCCGCTGAATGTGAAATCCTAGCAGGGAAAGAAAGGAGGGGAAGAAAGAACATTACATATTCTGTTGCTACCAACTGAACGTAAAGAAAAAAAACCCTTGGGCCTCCCCAGGTGGCTCAGCGGTTGTGCGCTGGGCTATGAAGCTGCCCGCAGCCTCTGCAGCGCCAGTTCGATCCCTGACCACCAGGCGCGGGTCCCACATGGGGCGCAGACCTCTCCTGCCGCCCGCTGCTCCCCTCAGCAGTGTCCTTCGGTCCTTCTGCCTGCTCTGCTCCCCGCTCTGGCTCTGGGGAATCCTCTCACCCTCCCGCGCTTCTGACTGTACCCAGGGCTTGTATGAATAAATAAATAAATCTTAAAAAAAAAAAACCTTAATTGCTATTCACATGTCCAAGGCAGCTGCCTTCTGAGCAAGAGGACCCCGCTTCACGTGACCGTCAAGTACACGAGAACCACCAGGGGGTCCCATAAATTGGGCTCTGCTGCTCTCTGGCTTCCGGTCCTGCCTGAGGCCCCTCCGCGGGGTCCCAGCGAGGGGGGCTGCAGTCGGGCTGCCTGCGGCGAACCCCAGTGCTGCCTCTGCCGCACACCTCTCGGCGGGCGGCCCGGCAGTGTCCTCTCCGGGCACATCGGGGCGTCGCGGGGACGCCGCCAGCGAGGGCCGGGGCGCGGGGGTCGCGCGCCCCACCAGGCCCGGCCCCGCCCCGCGCCACCCACCTTCTCGAGCGGCAGCAGCAGCAGCGCGCGGCCCGGGCCCAGCGGCCGCGCCGGCGGGAGGCGGGCGCTCGGGGCGGCGGCCGGGGCGGCGGCCGGGGCGCGGCGGGCGGCGGGCGCGGGGGGCGCGGGGGGCGCGGCGGGGCGCGGGGCGGCGGGCGCGGGCCGGGGGGCCGCGCGCGCCGAGGGGCAGCCGGCCGCCCGCCAGTCCGCGCCGGCCGCCTGGGCCTGCAGGAGCCGCCGCCGCAGGCGCTTCCGGCCGAGCCCGCGCAGCGAGGCGAGCTGGCGGCGGCGCCGGCGGCCGAGCGCGAGCTGGGGCCGCGCCTTGCGGGCCCGCACCCACGTGGCGCGGGGGGCAGCGCGCCGGGGCGGCGGCGCCGAGTCCGCCATGGCGGCCGTGGCTCCCGCGCGCGGGGTCTCGCGAGATCGCGCCGCCCGCCCCGGGCCCGGCCCCGCCCCGCCCCGCCCCGCCCGCGCGCCGCGCCCCCGCCCCGGAGCCCCGCCCACAGGACGCTCCGCCCCAGCCCCGAGCGCGAGCCCGGCCGCGGCGCGCGCCCCCCTGGCGGCCGCTCGGGAGCGCCCCGGGCCGGCGCCCGCCCCTCGGGGCCCCGGAGCGCCAGCGCGGGGCACCCACCCTCCGCCTGGACTCTATGCAAACGCGCCCCCGCGGCCGCCTCGAGAGGGAGGCCGGACACCCCGCGCCCCGCCGCGGGGCCTCTCCTCCGGAAACGCGTCTGGGAATCTTTTCCCTACAGAAAAGCTCCTGGATTCGGGCTTAAGCAAAACCGCCCATTTGCATGGCTTTGTTTGCATGCGTCCGTCTTTGTTCTGTGGGAGCAGCCTTGCATTACCGGGCAAAACCTGCATGCATTCACTCAGAATTTCACTGTCAGAAAACTGAGGACGTGGGGGGTGAGGTCAGATCAGAGTCCCCTCTCATCTGGTAAACTGAGGCCCAGATGACAGCTCCCTGATCGCAGCCCTCCACGCTGCCCCCTGCCCCCCAGAGGAGCTGTGCCCAGCCTTCCTCTGCACAAAATGCCAGGGCTCCATTCCCCACCCAGGTGGAGCCGCAGGCACTGAGGGAGGACAGGAGCCCCCGGGGGCAGGGCTGGTGGGGCCTCTGGTTTGCATCTGTGTGCCCTGCCCAGGAGGCCCGCAGGCCCGGAAGGCCAAAGCAAACCGTGGCTTCCTACAACAGGGTTCCAGTCCCCCCCCTTCTATAGGCAAGAAGCTGGGGAGCCATTGGCCAATGCCGGCCCTTTCTATTTAAACAGCCCCAGCCAGCCCGACAGGGCTACTCGGCTGTGCTGGGCGCAGGGCTGTCTGGCCAGCATGTCACCCCACTTGGCTCACCAGGTCAGCCTGCTGCTGTCCCTCTCCTGCTGCTGGGCTTGCAGCTGCCACGACGCCGAGTGCTCGCCTGGGTTCAGCCTCCCTGGGGATTACCTCCTTGCAGGCCTGTTCTCAATCCACGCCGAGAGTCTGGGGGTGAGACACAAGCCCACTGTGACCCTCTGTGACAGGTGAGTAGGGGTCAGCAGACCTGTCCCTGAGGGCCATGTCCATGGGGTCTCCGCCTGCAGGCACTGGCTGGCCTTTCCCCAGCTCTGCTCCCAAGTCCGGCTGTCCTGGCTATTATCAGGCTTTGCACTGTAATTGCATCGTTATGTCCTGGCCGGCTGACCTAACTAGACATCAAGGACAAGGTCAGCGCGGCCCTTTTCCTATTCAAGCTCATACTCTTTAGCTGCCTGGAGGACCCACAGGGCTCTCCGTGGGGGACGGAGACGCGGCCTGCGGCAGGAGCGGCAGGAGCATAAGCAGGCTGGTGCCTTCACATCGACAGCAGCATCCTCAGAGAAAACATCGCTGCTGCTTTTTTTTTTAAAGATTTATTTATTTTTATACAAGAACCGGGGTACAAGCCAGATGTACAGGAGGGTGAGAGGAGTCACCAGAGAGAGAGCGGGGAACAGAACAGGCTGACCGACAGAAACACATTGCTGAGAGGAGCAGTGGACAAGACAGGAGAGGTCTGCCCCTCCATGTGGGTATCTCTGCGGCCGGCGGGGATCAAATTGGCACTGCAGAGGCTGCGGACAGCTTCACAGCGCTACGCTCACCCGCCTGGGCCACCAGGGAGGCCCAACATTGCTGCTTTTCTTTCTTTCTTTCTTTCTTTCTTTCTTTCTTTCTTTCTTTCTTTCTTTCTTTCTTTCTTTCTTTCTTTCAAAGATTGATTTATTTATTATTTATTTATGCAAGCACTGGGTACAGTCAGAAGCGCGGGAGGGTGAGAGAATTCACCAGAGATAGAGCGGGGAGCAGAGCAGGCAGAAGGACCGAAGGACACTGCTGAGGGGAGCAGCGGGCGGCAGGAGAGGTCTGCGCGCCATGCGGGACCCTCCTCTGGTGGCCGGGGAGCAGCCGGGGATCGAACCAGCACTGCAGAGGCTGCGGGCAGCTTTTCGCAACCCAGTGCTCAACCGCTGCGCCACTGGGAGACCCCCTTTTTTTTTTTTTTTTTTTTTTTTGGTGGGACCCTCGCCTGTGGCCGGGGATTGAACTGGCGCTGCAGAGGCTGCGGGCAGCCTCGCAATCTAGCTCTCAACTGCTGCACCACCTGGGAAGGCCCCATTGCTGCTTTTCTTGTAAAGGAGACAGTGGCTCAGTGGTTGAGCGCTGGGCTGCGAGGCTGCCTGCAGCCTCTGCAGCGCTGGTTCGCTCCCTGGCCGCTGAGGGTCCCGCAAAAAAAAAAAAAGACACAACTTCACAGCCACTGCAGCACGAGTTTGATCCCTGGCCAGGGAGCAACCCACATGGCACGGCAGACCTCTCCTGACTCCCCCCTGATCCCCTCAGCAGGGTATTTCAGTCAATCCACCCATTCTGGTCCCCACTCTGTCTCTGGTGAATCCTCTCACCCCCCACACCTCTGTCCTGTACCCCAGTTCTTGTATGCATAAATAAATCTTTTTTAAAAATTAAAAAAAATAAATAAATCGAGACTGAGTAAGGCACACTGCTTTCCATGATGTGGGTGGGCTGTATCCGATGAGCTGAAGACCTGAAGAGAAAAGATGGGGGTCCCCAGGAAAAGAATTCTGCCTTCAGACTCAAGCCTGCCGCTCCGACTCCCGCAGGAATCTCGGCCTGCCCTCCGTGTCTCAGACTGGCCAGCCCCAGAGTCGCGTGAGCCAGTTCCTTAAAATAAACCCGTCTGCCTGCCTCTATCCCGAGGGCTCTGCGTCTCTGGAGAATCCAGAACAACAGCAGGTTTCTCCGCTACAGGACCCGGGCACCTTCCTGGCTAAACTGCTGATGTGGATACGCGCGTTTCTCCCTGCTGCTCCCCACAGAGGCACCGCAGTGCTCCAGGGCCCTTGTGGAGATCTCGGTGGCAGAGGACCGGGCAGGGACCCCACAGGCTCCTTCCTACCCCCAAGCCTGGGTTCCAGGTGGCCGAGGGTCTCAACGGGGACCTTGTGCCTCCCTCTAGGCCCAACAGCCTCAACGGCCATGGTTACCACCACTTCCAGGCCATGCGGTTCGCCGTCCAGGAGATCAACAACTCCACGGCCCTGCTGCCCAACGTCACGCTGGGATATGAAATCTACGACGTGTGCTCCGAGTCGGCCAACGTGTACGCCGCGCTGAGCGTGCTCTCGCTGCTGGGGACGCACCTCGAGGAGGTCCCGGGAAACCTCAGCCACTCCCCCATGGCCGTGGCCGTGATCGGGCCCGACACCACCAAGCGGGCGGCCACCACCGCGGCCCTGCTCAGCCCTTTCCTGGTGCCCCTGGTGAGCGGGGCCCCGGCGGTTCCCCAGGTTGGGCTGGGGCGGGTGGGCAGGAGCTCAGGGCCAGGCTGCCCTCCTGGGTGCCCTGGTGGACACAGCTCCTTAGCCACATGGAGGTCCCTGCCCCCTGGCACTGTCCCTGTCCCCAGGTCCTTCCCACCAAGTGCAGCTTTCAGATTCGCCCGCTGGGCACTCACGGGAAACCATGTTCCTGTGAAGATTCTGTCCTTGGCTTCTTCCCCCCAGCTCTGTCACCCCTGACGCTCTGCACACTCTTGTTTCAACCCCACAACGCACCACATCCCCCGGGCCCTCTTGGTGAGAGGTGCGGAGTCCCTCAGTGCCAGGCCCACCTGCCCCTCTGGGCCTCGCCCCTTGCACGCCCCGCTGCCTCCTCCTGCCAGCGGCCACCTCTTGGGCCCTCTGCTCCCGTGCCCGGCCCTCCCCGCCCCTTCCACGGAGACTTCTCTGTGGGCCTCTGTCTTTTCTCCTGGATTCTGTGCCGACACCGCTCCTGTTCTGGCTGTGAGCTGCGGCTCTTGGCTCCCCAAGTCCTTTACATGATGACCTTATGACCCCCTTTCCTGGGCATTTATGACCCCTGTTTCACACGTGGCACCTCTGTCTGCACCTGCTGTAGAGAATTCTCTTCCCCATGTTCCCCCGAGAAGGCGGCGCTCTCCTCTGCTCACCTCTCTGGCTCCCAGGCGGGGGGCAGCTCCGAGGCCCACCTTCCCGGCTCTCACGTCCCCCCTAACTTCTGAGCGCTGGGCCTCATTTCCGGTGCTCACCCAGTGCCCCCATTTGATGGATGCACAGGCCCCAGCTGGAACTCCCCTCCCTAGGCAGCTGAGGTCTTTCTGATTCCTGCGTCCTCTGTGCAGCCCAGCCAGCAGCGCAAGGTCTGTGCACCCCAGAACTAACCTGCACTCCTGCCCCTCTGCCCCCCGCCCCAGTAGCTGGAGCCACAACTCCTGCTTTCACCTTCTCAAGGCCACACCCCATCACCATTGCCACAGCTCACTGCCGGCATCTCTCTTCTAGATACTTCCACCAGCCAGCTCAGCTCTCCCCGACTCTGGTTTTGAGCCTTTTCTAACACACCCTGCACTGAAATCTCTCCTAAAACAAGCGTGAACCCAGAGTGACTCTCCTAAAACAAGGCTGAACCCACCTGAACCCACCATGTCTCTGTGTGAGCCCATGGGGGCTCCCCCTGGCCTTCGGGTCAAGACCGAGCCCCTGGGCATGAGAGCAGAGAACTCCCGCCCTGCCATGCACACCTCTAGCTCTCCCTCCTGGCATGGCCCTCCAGTGGGGCCCAGGCCCCTCACATCACACCGTCCCATTGCCTCCTGTCGCTCCCCCTCTGAGAATGCATGGCGCCTCCCTTGCCCACGGGTGTCCCCTCCTCCCTGGAACCTGCCCCTTCTGTGCAAGCAGCTTCTCAGTCATGTCAGATCGAACTCTCCCTGAGAACCGGGGCCGAGGCCTTGTCTCCACAGCCCTGGCGCCCCCACGCCCGGCACAGGGCCGGCATTGGGGCTCAGGCGAGGCTGAGGCCCCTGAACTTGCCGACCTGAACCCCCACAGATCAGCTACGAGGCCAGCAGCGAGATCCTGACTGCGAGCCGGCAGTACCCCTCCTTCCTGCGCACCCTCCCCAGCGATGAGCACCAGGTGGAGGTCATGGTGCTGCTGCTGTGGAGGTTCCGGTGGGTCTGGATCTCGCTGGTGGGCAGCGACGGTGACTATGGGCAGATGGGGGTGCAGGCGCTGGAGTACCGGGCCACACAGCAGGGCATCTGCGTTGCCTTCAGGGGCATCGTGCCCGCCTCTGCCCAGCCTGGGGACGAGAGCATGCGGAGCCTGGTGCGCCACCTGGCCCGCGTGAGGACCACCGTTGTGGTCGTCTTTGCCAGCAGGCACCTGGCCAGGGTGTTCTTTGAGTCCGTGGTGCTGGCCAACCTGACGGCCAAGGTCTGGATCGCCTCGGAAGACTGGGCCATCTCTAGACACATCAGCAAGGTGCCGGGGATCTGGCGCATCGGCACGGTGCTGGGCGTGGCCATCCGGCAGAGGTCGGTCCCGGGCCTCCAGGCGTTTGAGGAGGCCTCTGTCCGGGCAGACCAGGGGGCCCGCCCACCTTGCCCGCAGGGCCCCCGGTGCAGCTGCAACCAGCTCTGCAGAGAGTGCCAGGCCTTCACGGAGCATACGGTGCCCACGCTGGGAGCCTTCTCCATGAGCTCTGCCTACAACGTGTACCGGGCTGTCTACGCCGCGGCCCACGGCCTCCACCAGCTCCTGGGCTGTGCCTCTGGAGCCTGTTCCAGGGGCCGAGTCGACCCTGGGGAGGTACAGTAGCACTGGCCCCCACCTCAGAGTGCTCTCCCGGGGGGCAGTGTGGCCCCTGCTTGGCCACCCAATGCTGGCGTCGGGGGGCAAGGCCCACCTTTGAGGTTTCTTCCCCTGAACTTGCCCCCATCACCCACTGATGGGGCCAACATCTCTCTTAAGGGGTCCTTTGTTGGAGGAGGCTGGTTGTGAGGGTTGAGGGGAGGTGGCTCTGAGGAAGGGACTAGAACTTCCAGACTGCCCAGGAGAAGCCCGAGAAGGCCCCACATACTTGCTTCCTGGGCCTCCCAGGCCTGGGTCCAGAGGGTGGAGGAGGCACTGCCGACGGCGCCACCATCCACCCCTCATTGTTCCAGCTCCTGGAGCAGATCCGCAAGGTGAATTTCCCGCTATACGGGGACTCTTTGGCATTTAATGACAAGGGGGACCCGCTCAGTGGCTATGACATAATTGCCTGGAACTGGATTGGCCTCCAGTGGAACTTCAGTGTCATTGGCTCCTCCACGTGGTCTCCAGTTCAGCTGGACATTGATGAGACCAAGATCCAGTGGCACGGAAAGGACAACCAGGTAATGCCTCGTGGGTGGCCCAGAGCTGGGGGCGGTGCTGACACAGCTGGCATGGAGCGGGAGGCCCCAGGGACCACTCTACCCCACCCTGCCAGGGAAACTCCGTGGGCTGGTGGACAGCTGCTGTCGGCTCACAAACCCGGGGCAGCGCTCAGGGAGCAGCTGGTGGGGCAGAGGCACAGAGGCCGCTTTCTGCTCCATGTGCGGGCACCTCCAGATGGATGCAGAGCACCCATGGCTTCTTGCAGGTGCCCACGTCTGTGTGCTCCAGTGACTGTCCGGAAGGGCATCAGCGAGTGATTATGGGGTTTTTCCACTGTTGTTTTGAGTGTGTGCCCTGTGAGGCTGGCACATTCCTCAACAAGAGTGGTGAGTGGCCCAGCCAGCGGGCAAATGACCCTGCACTCCTCCGGCCTGGATGGCCGGGGCCCCAGAACCCAGGCCCTGGTCCCTTTGCTGCCAGTTCGGTTCAGATTGGAGGCTACCTGCCGCCACCAGAGAGAATTCAGATCAGAGAGTGCCAGTGAAAGCCTCAGACCTCACTGGATCCTTAATCAGTGACCCCCCCCCCGCCCTCCAACTCCTACAGATGCAATCGTATCCGAGTTCAAACTCGTCATCCAACTGGATGCAGCTCTTGTTCCCAGAGTACCTCCCCATGATTTCTATATCCAGTCTCTTCTCTTGCCCATACCAAACACAGCCAGCGCCTGAATAGCTTGGCCCGGACATAGTAGGGTGTCTGCAAAGGAAAAAAAACCCACACCTTACCCAGTAGTACAAGGTCAAGATCAGACAGCTGGAAGAAGTTCAGCCCAGGACTGGCCTCCAGAGGCTACATTTGTTCCTTTTACTATTTCTGTGGGCATAGGAATGTATCTTTTCTGTCCTGGGAGAGCTGGCTCAAAGAATCCACAGAGCAACAGCTTAAGAACATTATTGGTGGAAAGGCTGGGGAAAGAGCTGAAAACACCTTTCCTTTGGGGGTGGCTGTTCCCATTGGATCATAAACTCACTGGCCTGTGGGCAGAGTTAGCAGGAGGGAGCCCTAAGGATCTCTTGGTTTGTAACCCTGGCTGGGATCATGAGCCAGAGAGAACCTACCCACGTGTCTCTGGGGTCGTAATAACACACCTTGAAGAAACACTTGGCCCCGGGCCTCACTCTGGGGCGCCTCCATCTCACTGTGCCCAGCAGAGCTCAGCTCCTGCAGGTCCTGCCCTCCTAGCACCTTGTGGGTCTCATGGCCTCCCATCCTGCTCTGTTGACCTGGTTCTCCTTCCCTTCCAGACCCCCACAGCTGCCAGCCTTGTGGGAAAGAAGAGTGGGCACCAAAGGAAAGCCAGACCTGCTTCCCACGCACCGTGGTTTTTCTGACTTGGCATGAGCCCATCTCTTGGGTGCTGCTGGCAGCTAATACGCTGTTGCTACTGCTGCTGGCTGGCACTGTGGGCCTGTTTGCCCGGCACCTAGACACCCCAGTGGTGAGATCAGCTGGGGGCCGGCTGTGCTTTCTCATGCTGGGTTCCCTGGCGGGGGGCAGCTGCAGCCTCTATGGCTTCTTTGGGGAGCCCACGCTGCCCATGTGCTTAATGCGCCAAGCCCTCTTTTCTCTCAGTTTTGCCATTTTCCTTTCCTGCCTGACAATCCGCTCCTTCCAGCTGGTCTTCATCTTCAAGTTTTCCACCAAACTGCCCATGTTTTACCAAGCCTGGGTCCAAAACCACGGTGCGGGGCTGTTTGTGGTGATCAGCTCAACGGCCCAGCTGCTCATCTGTCTGACTTGGCTGGCAGTGTGGACACCGCTGCCCACCAGGGACTACCAGCGCTTTCCTCAGCTGGTGGTGCTTGACTGCACCGAGGCCAACTCAGTGGGCTTCATGCTGGCTTTCGCCTACAACGCCTGCCTCTTGGTGAGCGCCTTCGCCTGCAGCTACCTGGGCAAGGACCTTCCCGAGAACTACAATGAGGCCAAGTGTGTCACCTTCAGCCTGCTCCTCAACTTCGTGACCTGGATCGCCTTCTTCACCATGACCAGCGTCTACCAGGGCCAGTACCTGACCGCGGTCAACGTGCTGGCCGCCCTGAGCAGCCTGAGCAGCGGCTTCAGCGGGTACTTCCTCCCCAAGTGCTATGTCATCCTCCGCCGCCCAGACCTCAACAGCACGGAGCACTTCCAAGCCTCCATCCAGGATTACACCAGGCGCTGCGGCTCCTCCTGACCACCGCCCGGGGGCCTCGCGGGCAGGCTGGGCGGGAGAGGCTGAGAGGAGCCTGGGGCGATGGAGGCCTCCGGGCTCCTGAACTTGGCTCCGGGAGTGTAAACCCGCGGGAGAGCCCAGTCCGCGCTCCAGGGCGCCAATAAAGAGATGACGTGCTCAGCTGAGTGTCGGTGGCGCTTTCCGTCCGGGGAGAAGGGAACCGCGCGCCCCAGACCGGCAGCGGGGCGCCGGGACCGGAACTTCAGGACGCGGCCCAGGCCCCGCTTGGCGTTGCTAGGCAACCGCGGAGGCGGTCCCAGGGCCGCGTGAACGGGACTAGCCCCGCCTCCCGCCGCATGCGATTGGCTGCTCTCCGCGTGGCCCCGCCCCGGGGGCCGGCGCGAGGCCCTCCGCCTCCCGGGCGCCCGCCCCGGCCGGCGCGCCCTGACGTCACGTCCGGCGGTGGCGACGGCGGCGTCTCCCGCGGTCTGCCGGCACGTACGGCCGGGCGGTGGGCCGGGCGGCGGCGGGGCCGGCCGGCGGGCGGCGGGGGCGGACCGGCCGGTGAGGAGGCGGGGGCCGGGGCGGGGGGCCGCCGGGCCGCCGGGGCCGCTGGCGCGCGTGGGGCCGCGGCCGCCTTCCGCCCGGAGGCCGGGGTGTGTGGGCGCGGCGTGGGCTCCGCTCGCTGCCGCCGCCGCCCGCCGCGCGGGTCCCTGGCCGTGCCGGCCGCGCGGGCCGCGTGACCCCGCGCCTCTTCCCAGACTGACCCTCCACCAGCCCCCCACGACCCGGCCCTGTGCCCCGCCCGGCCCCTCCTCGCGGGGGTCCGCCTGACCCCCGCCCGCTGCTCTCACTGCCCGGGCCCCTGCCGGGGAGGCGCCCAGTAGCCCCTCTGGCCTCGACCCAGACCCTCTGATGAGCAGAGTCCATGACCCCCTCCCCTCTTGCCACCCCGGGGCGGGCTGGCCACGGTGTCACTTCTGCCTTCCCCCCGCAGACGGACCATGGACGGCTCCTTCGTGCAGCACAGCGTGAGGGTTCTGCAGGAGCTCAACAAGCAGCGGGAGAAGGGCCAGTACTGCGACGCCACCCTGGACGTCGGGGGCCTGGTGTTCAAGGCACACTGGAGCGTCCTTGCCTGCTGCAGCCACTTCTTCCAGAGCCTTAATGGGGATGGCTCTGGGGGCAGTGTTGTCCTCCCTGCCGTCTTTGCTGAGATCTTTGGCCTCCTGTTGGACTTTTTCTACACTGGTCACCTGGCCCTCACCTCGGGAAACCGGGATCAGGTGCTCCTGGCTGCCAGGGAGTTACGAGTGCCTGAGGCCGTGGAGCTGTGCCAGAGTTTCAAGCCCAAAACCTCAATGGGACAGGCACCGAATGGCCACAGTGGGCCGGGGAAACCTGCCCCCCGGGATGTGATTAGCCATCTGAAGGAGCCTGCAAGCTTGGGGGAAGAGGAAGTTTCAAGGACTCTCGGTCAAGTCCCCAAGGATCAGGAACCCAGTGGCAGTTACAGCCCCCAGGGACCTCAGCTTGGTCTCCCTGCTCATAGTGAGAGCCCTTCCTTTCTCCGTGGGAAGCTCAAGCAGGCCTTGAAGCTTTGTCCCCCAGAGGACAAGGAGCCTGAGGATTGCAAAGTACCCCCGAGGCCCTTTGAGGCTGATGGTGCCCAGCTGCAAGGCGGGACTAGTGAGGTACTGTGCTCAGGGTGCTGGAAATGGGAAGGCAGGAGGTGGGGAGAGAAGTGGATTCGCTCCCGAGATAATCCGGACCCCAAGGTAGAAGCTCAGTTACGTGGGTTTGGAGCAGCCTTTCCTCAAACATAGGAAGCGGGTCTGTCCTGCAGTGTCGGGCTGACCCTCTTCGAGTCACAGCTGTCCCTACTTGCCAGTTCTTAGGTCGGAGGGGGCGGCTTTAGGGCTACAGGTGTTTCCCCCGGGTGGTGAAATCCAGCCACACTTCTAGTTCCCCGCAAGTAGAGCCACTATCCTCCAAATCCGAGATTCAGATCCTGCCTGCCCTGGGGCCCTGCAGGGAGCTCATGGGGGGGCTGGAACTGCGGGGCGGCCAGCTACTCCCCAGAGTTCCTGCCGATCTCGCCCCCTCCTTCTGCCTCTTCTGCCCTAGTGGGAAGTGGTGGTTCAAGTTGAGGACGACGGCGACGGAGACTATGTTTCTGAGACTGAGACTGTCCCAAGCAGGAGGAAATCAAACGTAATCCGGCAGCCGTGTGCTGCTGAGCCAGCCCCGAGCGCGGCGTCCCTCACCGCCGAGCCCGCTGAGAACAGAAAAGGTACAGCGGTGCCTGTTGAATGCCCCACGTGTCATAAAAAGTTCCTCAGCAAATATTACCTGAAAGTCCACAACAGGTAAACCTTCTGTTTTTTATTTTCTTTTCTGCCTGCATTTGCACATTGGGGGAGTGGGGGCAAGTCAGCCCGGGCTCTGCGGGGGGGGGGTGGGCCTGAGGCACCAGGTTGGGGTCAGATTCCCCCTTTCTCCCCTTCCCCCATGAGCCTGCGGCTGGAGGGGTTTGTGGACAGCTTGTCCATAGGCCCCGCCCTCTGTGGACCTTGACCTCCAGCTGCCTATGCCCAGGGCACTCGAAGCCCGGGGCCTGCACGGAGCTGAGCCTCGACCCCAGCTGGTTCCTTAGCCTGGCAGTGGGGCCTTCGGCCGAGAGGTCAATCGTCAGGGTCGGCGCTGTCTTTTCTGGGGAAACGCCAGCTCCGGGTGTCCCTGCAGTGCCCGCTGAGGTAACCAGACGCCTGGCGAAGCTGTTGTAACTTAAAAGCAACCGAGGTGAAAGCAGCCCGGACGCGTCAGCCACATGTCGCGTGCTCCGTGGCCGCGCGGCTCTGGGCTGCCGAGTTTGACAGCGTGTCCCGGTCGCCGAGCGGCTCTGGGCTGCGCTGCTCCTGGGGGGACACCCCTGGACACCGCAAGTCAGTGGTGCAGTTCCTGGCCGAGCCAGGTGGGGCCTTTTCACAGCAGGTGCTCTGGGAGGCCATGGCCGCTGCTGCGCTCCCCGCTTTGGGGCAGTGGAGTCTGGGGAGGCCCCAGGAGGGGAGGAAAGGGGGGTGGGGGCTTGCATGGCCTGGATGCTCCCGCAGTGTAAGGCTCAGGAGCTGGGGCCACCCCCATGCCTACCTGGGCTGCGGGCTGCCCTGCTGGCCCTGACAGCTGGGAGGGGCCCGGCCTCACGGGGTCAGCGGGTGGGGGAGGACGGTCGTTACCCGCCGAGCAGACGGTGGAGCAAGCGGCAGGGGTTGAGGGAAGAGCCAGAGCAGAGGCGCTGGGGGGGCGCGAGTGTGGTCAGCGAGCAGCAGGGGCCTGGGAGGGAGGTCCCACGGCCCCCAGGTCTTTGCTCAGGGCGAAGTGGGCAGCGTGAAGGGCCGTGAACAAAGCAGTGACGAGAGCTGACTCGCAGTTCATGCCCGTCTGGCTCCCGAGGTCCAGCCACGTCAGGGAGGCAGGCCCGGAGAGCAGGGGGCAGGCTCAGGCAGCAGCCCGGGGCGGGGGTGCTGTGGGCAGGCCCGGCCACCCTTGGGGTGGCGGTAGCTGTGGCGCTGTCAGATTCTGGCCTCAGTTCTGAAGGGAGACCCCGTGCAGGTTTCGGGAGTCCGGACTCGGGGGTCGTTTCCGCCTTCAGAGCCGTGTTGGTCAGCCAGCCCCCGCCAGCCTGTGTGGATCTGGCAGAGGTGGGGGTCTCTGAGCGGCCCCTCTCTCCTCGCAGAGGAGGGGGTCTGGGCTGACGTGCAGGTTTACCCGCTCGTCCCCCACGGGCGGCCCCAGGAGTCCTCGGGCTGCACTGCTGGGCGGCGGGCTGTCCGCTCAGCCGACGGCCTGTGACTCCTGGCAGGAAACACACAGGGGAGAAGCCCTTCGAGTGTCCCAAGTGTGGAAAGTGTTACTTTCGGAAGGAGAATCTCCTGGAGCACGAAGCCCGGAACTGTGTGAACCGCTCAGAACAGGTACCCATGGGCGGCCCAGATCCTGCTGGCAGGGCCCGCGGGCCTCTGTCCTCCTGCCTTCGGGAGGGGCCCCTGGGGAAGGGACAGGACTAAACTCGAGCGCAGAGGGTCTACAGCTACTTTGGATGCTGTCGGGTCCCCCCTCGGTGTTACAGGTGGGGACACAGGTCCTAGGCGCGGAAGGGACAAGCCCCCGAAGGGCCTTTGTCTGCCCAGGCCCCTGCGCTAGGGAACAGGGGTGCCACCGTGGGGGATGGCTGCTGAGAGGCCACCTGGCTGCACCCCCTGCCCTGCTGGCCAGCTGAGCTCCACCCTTCTCTCGCCAGAGGCCTGTTTCCTGGGGCAGGGGCTGTAGGTAAAGCCGCCCCTTCCCTGCCCCAGCCAGCTTGGTGGGTGTGCAGCACTCGGCCAGGGGCAGCGGCAGGGCAGCAGTTACTGTTGCCCTCTCCCAGCCTAGTGCCCCTGCTTCGGGCAGACCCAGGCAGTGGCTGCTGTCGCAGGCAGAGGGCCCCCTGACACCAGCCCTGCTTGCCCCCACACTACCAGGTCTTCACGTGCTCCGTGTGCCAGGAGACCTTCCGCCGGAGGATGGAGCTGCGGGTGCACATGGTGTCCCACACCGGGGAGATGCCCTACAAGGTCAGGCTTGCCGGTCCCCAGCGCCGTGGTCCAGCCCGGGATTCCCCTGGCCGAGCCCTTTATGTGGGTTGGTGGCAGGCACCTCCCCCTTGCCAGCCTTCCCTGCCCATCCAGTGCCCCCAAACCAATGGGCAGCACCACGAGCTCTTTCTGGCACCTCATCTCTTTCCCTGGAGGGCAAGCTCAGCACCCCTGTGGGCCTGGCCTCACAGTAGCCACAGAGCCCCCTGGGATCTCTGGCTTGGGCCTGCCCTCAGATTGCTGCCCTAAAGCCTGGGTGCCCAGGGTCCCGTTGGCGCGGGCTGCCTCTGAAGTGACTGCGCCCGCTTTCCAGTGCTCCTCCTGCTCCCAGCAGTTCATGCAGAAGAAGGACTTGCAAAGCCACATGATCAAGCTGCACGGCGCCCCCAAGCCCCACGCGGTACGTGCCGGCTGTGCTTAGGGCGTTCTCGGGTCCAGTGTAGGCAGCCCCGCCCTGTGGTCATCTTGACCCTGCTCCCTCCGCCCGCAGTGCCCCACCTGTGCCAAGTGCTTCCTGTCCCGGACGGAGCTGCAGCTGCACGAGGCCTTCAAGCACCGCGGGGAGAAGCTGTTTGTGTGCGAGGAGTGCGGGCACCGGGCCTCCAGCCGGAATGGCTTGCAGATGCACATCAAGGCCAAGCACAGGTGGGGCCAGGGAGGCAGCTTCCCCCTGCCCTTCCTGGCAGGAGCGAGTTTGCCAAGCCAAGAGTCTGGGGGAGGGGATTTCAGGCTAAGAGGAGGCTCTGCGCCTCCCTGAGTGTGACCTTAGGATGGAGTCGGTGCCCCCTTCCTGGCACTGCCCAAGCCCTCCTGCCAGGCTCCTTGTCGTAGCCCAGGCCAGTGTCCATGGCTCAAGGAGGCCAACTTTGGCCTCGCCTGTTCCCTTAATCCGAGGCCAGGCCTGCTCGCCACTGTAGAGCGCGAAGGGGCCGGTTCCCTGATCGCTGCCTCTGCTGTGCCCCCCGCCCGGACAGGAACGAGCGGCCGTATGTCTGTGAGTTCTGCAGCCACGCTTTCACCCAGAAGGCCAACCTCAACATGCACCTGCGCACGCACACGGGCGAGAAGCCCTTCCAGTGCCACCTCTGTGGCAAGACCTTCCGCACCCAAGGTGAGGCAGGCCCGTCCCTTTCCCGTCCCGTGGGCCTACGGCCCTGTGGCTCAGCCCTCACCCTGTCCCCACAGCCAGCCTGGACAAGCACAACCGCACTCACACTGGTGAGAGGCCCTTCAGCTGTGAGTTCTGCCAGCAGCGCTTCACCGAGAAGGGGCCGCTGCTGCGGCACGTGGCCAGCCGCCACCAGGAGGGCCGGCCCCACTTCTGCCAGATCTGCGGGAAGACCTTCAAGGGTACCTGGGTTGGCGGGGTCAGAGTTGGGGGGGTCTCAAAGTCAGGAGCAGCGGCGGCTGTGTGTGCTCTTCTCGACGCCAGAGCTTCCCCTTTCCACCTCCCCCATGTCACCACGCAGCTGCTTATGCTTTCGCTGGTGGGGGAGCCCCTCAGGGCCTGTGCGGTGGCGGCCTTGGGGCGGAGCCTTGGAGCCCTCGGCCTGGGTCACAGGGGCATCCCCTGGATGCTGGACCGCCCCCCCATCCCTTCCTGCCAGGGCTCCTTGCTTGCCCTGGGCTTGCCGCCTCTCCTCAGGGCAGGCCCTGCCACCGCCCATCTCCCTGAGCCCCGCCCTCCCTCCCGCAGCCGTGGAGCAGCTACGCGTGCACGTGCGGAGGCACAAGGGGGTGAGGAAGTTCGAGTGCACCGAGTGTGGCTACAAGTTCACCCGCCAGGTAGGTCCCCGGCTCACTGCTCTGCCGCTCGCCCCCCCCCACTTCCGTCCAGCCTGGCCCTGAGTGCCCGCTCGCCCCCAGGCCCACCTCCGGAGGCACATGGAGATCCACGACCGGGTGGAGAACTACAACCCCCGGCAGCGCAAGCTCCGGAACCTGGTCATCGAGGACGAGAAGGTGGTGGTTGTGGCGCTGCAGCCGCCCGCTGAGCTGGAGGTGGGCTCGGCCGAGGTCATCGTGGAGTCCCTGGCCCAGGGCGGCCTGGCCTCCCAGCTCCCTGGCCAGAGACTGTGCGCGGAGGAGAGCTTTGCGAGCCCAGGGGTCATGGAGCCCCCCCTCATCATCACAGCCTCCATCCCCGAGGACTGTGACACGTAGCCCCCCACAGCCCACCGACTCCCTCCCCCAATAAACCACACGGCTTTGGACTCCAGCACGTCAGCCCATCCGGTGGTCTGTTCCCGGTAACCGGCCCCAGGGCTGTGCTGCTCACGTGTCCTGAGAAGGGAGGGCGCCTGCGCCTGTTAAGCCAGCAGCTTCTTGTCGGAGACCCGGGCGCAGCACTTGGCCCAGAGCTGTGGGGCCCGACATGTAGCCAGGCACGCGCCCGGCGTGCATCTCCCCGTTGTCCTTCCGGAGTCTCAGCTGAGCAGTGGCCTGGAATGGCACGGGGCCCCTGCTCAGGCTGGGGTGCTGCCAGCCAGGGGTGTGGAGGCGGTCCCCGCAGTCCTTGCTGGCCCCAGACAAGGGCGCATGAGGGTGTGCGTGAGCACAGGGGCCTGGGGAGGGGCGTGGCTAGGGCCTCTGGACCCAAATGTGGCTGCCCAGCGGGGCCTTTCCCTGGGGAGCCCTACTTGCTTTGGGGCGCAAGCCACATGGGGCCCAGTGTGGCAAGAGGCCCTGATGGTCCCCAGGCTCCCTAGCTCCTGAAGTGGGGTACCGCCGTGCCTTGGAAGAGGGCATAGTTGTCACGGTCACTTGCCCTGACATCCAGCTCCCTTAGTGACGGCTCTAGGCGGGGGCAGAGCTACTAACAGAACCAGCCTCTAGATAGTCCCCTCAATGGGTAACTCACTGTCCGGCTGCCCTGGAGTCTGCCCTCGAGGCCCTATTGGCACTGGTCCGGGTTCTTGGTGGCTGGTGCCAAGGGGAACCATCCCAAGGAAGGTTGAGGTTGCGGGGTCTTTTTAACACCTTGGACCTTGGAAGTCCATCACTTCCGCCATGTTGTTGGCCCAGGCAGTGACCAAAGAAGTCCCTCCACTGCTTGATGGGATGGGGGTCTAACCCTGCAGCCACACTGCTGCCCGGAGTGGCCCCCGAGGCACCACGTGACCGGTGCACGCGACCCTGAGATGGAGTCCCATCGCTGGGGGACGCTGCAGCACCCACCCCGCCGGGCCACTTACGTGCACAGCTCGGGGCCAGACTGGTTAACCCACCTTCTCTGTCAGCCCCTGGCCAACTTCTGGGGCCAGACGCCTCCCCGGCCCAGACAGCCTCTCCCTGCTCACTCAGGCTCGATGGGCATCATTCAGATGCTCACGGGGCTCTGCGCGCTGGAGGGGGGTGGGGGCAGAGACCGCACAGTCCTCTCTCAGGTGCGGCCCCTGCTGCTGCATAGGCGTGACTGCTGGCACGAATCTGCCCTCCAGACTCCACCCCTGTACCCACCGCTGCTAATTTCCTGGCCCCGGTCGACCTCAGCCCAGAGAGGTCCCAGAAATGCAGCAGCAGCGGAATAAAGGCCAGGGACACCAACGTATAGGAAATGGTTTTATTTCAAAAAGTGTAATAAGGCACCCTAAAACCTTACACAGGATCCTGGCCACGTACGCCTACAGAACAAATAAATACGCAGGTCGGCCCCTTGCGCGGGGCTGGAACTGGGTGTTGGACACTGGAAGGAGGGTGTCCTAGAGTCCACAGGAGTCTCTGAATCACATAAATAAAGAACCTCATTAAATACTCGTCACTGAATTCTCATAACTTAACGTGTCCTGCAGCCGGACGCAGCCCCTGGCACTGGCCAGCCAGGCAACGAATCCAGCACGTGGAGCCCCAGCCCTGGCCGGCCTGTCCCAGCCAGTGTACAGACAGCAGGAAGGGGTGGGGGCTCCCCAGCTCAGGACCCACACCCAGGGAGCGGGCAAGGTAGGGGAGCAGGTTTCTCAAGGGCGGTCACTGGCCCTGGCCCACCCACTGGAGGGACCTGCTGTTGCCTAGGCGACTGCCTCCGCTACACCTCTGGGACAGGATCTGGGGGTTCTAGCGAGTGAACGCGTAGATGAAAACCCAGATGCTGGCTGGGCTCACTGGCCCACATCTGCCAGCTGCCCAGAGGGGGCTTCCTCAGGGGAGCCCCACAAAGGCTTGAGCCCCAAATTGGCGCCTGGGCCCCAGACCGGCTCTGGCCCCCAGACCTGACCACGACGGCCGAGGCGGCTCCGAAAGCTGGCCGCACAAGAAGAAAACGCTTGCAGCCCCCTTCCCAGCAAAGCTTTATGTGAGCAGGTCAGCCCTGCTCACCCCAGAACACTTGGGCAGAGGGGAGGCATGTCCCTAGGGCCCAGGCTGAGACCTGCAGAAGCAGGTAGACTGCTGAGTCCCTCCTAGGGCTGAGGCAGGAAGCAACAGTGCCCGGGCGACCATGTGAGCGAGGCCCCTGGTGGGCTGGGAGCCGCGGGTATCCCTGCAAGAGGCCTAGCCAGACGGCGAAAGAGGGGCCCCAGGGGCAGCTGTGAGCAGGAGGACCGCCCCATAGCCCCAGGGTCCCGGCGTGGCAGGCACCAGGGAGCCTTCCCAGAACCACCCGCGCCGTCAGGCCAGTGCGAGGGCCTCAGCGCCACGGTTCAGGGTCCTGCCAAGAACACACCCCCAAGTTAGCTCACCAGGAGGCGGCGGTGCTGGGAACATTTGCTTTCAATTCATCTAATGAGGAAAACGCCCTCCTCCTGGAAGGGAAGGACGAACTGACGCAAGGCCGCCTGGGCCCTGGAGGAACGAGACCACCGGGTCTACAGAAATACCATCACCCCAGAGAACAGCGGGGGCTCGCCCAGGCTTCCCAGGAGTGTCGCCTCCAGAGCGACACCATCATGGACACGGAGCTCTGACCACCCCAACCTTGCTTCCTCGACCCCCTGCCTCCCGAGGGCCCGACCGCGCTGCCCAGCCTGCCTGAGGACGGCTCTCTCACAGGCCCGCTCTGGCCTGGGGCCTGGCTGGCGCCCGGTGACGCCCGTGAGTCTGCACTTGCAGGCTCCCATCCAACCCTTATGGCCTGGGACAAAGGTCCAGGTGAGGACACAAGGCTGGTGGATGGAGAGCCAGAGGCCCAGCACCTGCCTCACCCGGGTCCCCTGGAGGCAAAAAACACTGAGCAGCTCCCTCTGGGCCCCCTCGAGGACCACACTCCTGCTACATCCCACTGCCAGCGCCCTGGGCTCAGCTTACCTCCTGATGGGGTGTTCTGATGAGACCCTGGCAGGGGCAGGGGCTGGGGAGCAGACTGCTGGGAGAGCCAAGTGCAGGCCTGGAGTCCGGAACCCTGCTGCAGCCACCTTGTGCCTGATACCCGATCTCCAGGGCAGACAGCGTGGGGGGCAGGCCCGTCACCCCCAGGCTCCAAGGCAGGACTTCAAAGCAGCCCTCCCTGTGGGAGGGAGCAGCAGGGAAGGCAGGCTCTGCGCTGGTGAGCTGGGGCGACATGCTGGAGCTGGAGCCCAGTGCCGGCCAGGAGGCAGGTCTTTCTGGACGAAGGGCGGGGCCTGCGTCCCAGGTCTGGGCACCCTAAGCAGCTGAGCCCACGCTCTAAATGCAGAAACTCTCCGGGCGCCAGATCCCCGGGCTCATGTAGCCCAGGAGCTGGTGCTCCACCTGTCCATGTGCACAAGGAGGGGTCACGACCCCCAGAGGTGCCAGTTACTTGCACCAAGGCCCGCCCTGGGCCAGGCCAGCGCTAGTGCGGCTCGCTGGGGTTCTGCGGCGGCCGGGGCCGGCCAGGGTCCATGTAGCTGCTGCTGTTGTCCAGCTCAAAGCCGCGCCCGCCCGAGGGCGTCTGGGGCATGAACTGGCGGAAAATGCTAACGCTGCCATGCCAGAAGGTGGGCTCTGGGAGCCGGCCCACCACACTCCACGCCCGAGTCTCTGGATCATAGGCCTCCACCACGTCTGAGAGTTCAAAGGTGTTGTCGTAACCTCCCGACACGTAGAGCTTTCCTCCGAGGACGGCCAGGCTGCCCCCAACATGCACCTGTGGGTCAAAGGGGTGGGTGGGTGAATGGAGGCTGGCAGCAAGGGCAACACAGCGCGCCAGACCCCGCTCCAAGGAGAAGGTGCTTGGGGACTCAGCGGTGGGTCTGTCCCAACAGTCCCGGTCTATGTCGTGCTGAGAGCACAGCAGTCGCCTCCTAGTGTACCCCAGGGTCAGTCCCCAAGCCCTGTCTGAGCTCATCCTGTGTCGCACCCTCCTCCGGGCCTTTGCACGGACTGTCCCTCTGTGACACTGCCCCAGCATGAAGCCGGCTCGCAGCAGGCGACCAATCGGTACTGGCCGCAGCGGACGACCAAGCCGCGTGACCCGGGGGTCTAACCGAAGGTCTCCGTGTCTGCGGCCAAGTGCAAAGAGATGAGACGCCAGGTCTCGTCAGAGAGCCCCAGGAGGGCCAGCACGGCCCTGCCCGCCAGGACGGTCCCCGTGACGGACCCTGCCCGGCGCCCCTGCAGACTCACCTGGTTCATCGCGGGGATCTTGTCCCACTCGTTCTTCGTAGGGTTGTACACGTCCACCTCGGCGGAGTCGTCCCTGTGGGGGAGGCGGGGAGTTTGAGGGGGGCACTCTGGGCGGGGAGGGTTGGAGGAGAGTCCTCCAGGGCCCTCTCCATGGGGGACGTCTCTGATGGCCGCTGGCAGCCCAACTGGTCATGAAGCCCACCTGGGCGGCACAGCTGACTTCCGGTCTAGACTCTGGCCAGAATCAGCCTCAATCCCGACTCTGAAAGATCACGCCCTTGGCAGCTTCGACCCTTCCATGCTACCCAGCACCAACGAGGCGGCCCCTGCCCCTCACTGCGGCCACAGGGGTCTCCTTCAGATCCCGAACTTACCCCAACCCCCTGAATGGGCTCCTACTCACCCTTCCCATCCCCCTGGGGCCGCCCTGCCAGGCCTCCAGAATTCCCGTTCCAGCACACCCGCCTGCCCCATGGCCGCGGCCTCCAGTCCTGCCCCATCACTGCTGTGTCCTCGGAGCCCAGCAGGCACCGTCACAGGATGAGGGCACCAGCGACGCCCCTCCCTTTGGGGCCCCCTCCAGCCTTGTCTGATGCTCCGAGGCACGGCCCCCCAAGTAGCAACAGTGACAAGGAGCACAGGTAGGGGGTGGCAGGGGCGCCCATGGGGAGCAGCCCGGGCCTGGCAGTGGCTCGGAGCCCAGGCACAGGAAACTGGGGCCGCTGGGTGCCCACACACCTCACTATGGACAGAGACCTGGGTTCGGTAGAACCTCTCACACAACACGTTACTCTTGCTTTGATTCCCCCATCATTTCAAACTGTGAAAACCATCCTGTTTGTGGTCGAGGTGATGACGAGGAAGGCCGGGACCCACTGGGCTGCCACCCCCAGCGGACAAACGGGTAGACGGACCGCAGCCTGGGGGCGGGACAGGGCCCACCCCTTCCTGTGTGGGGCCGGGGAGGCCCAGCCAAGGGCCACTTTTCATTCGCCGGGACCAAGACGGGTACCTGCTCAGCCCAGGACAGCAGCGCGAGCAGCGAGGCGTCCACACAGCACCCGACTTCCAGACAGGTGTCGGGTGGGGGTTATGGGGCTCTGGAGCGCATGAACAGGGACCAGTGAAGGCGTCAGACTTGTCCCCCACTTCAGGTGGAGGCCGGCCTCCCAACTCCGGGGCAAGCTCTGGCCCTTCCCGACTGCTTACTTTTTTTTGGCCCTGGGGCTGGTCTGGGAGGCCCGGCCAGGCCCCCAGCTCCACTCAGGCACCTGGAGCAAGGCCGACAGCACACCAGGGGCGGAGGGCCCGGGGCTTCCACGTGGGCTGAAGCACATCACCGGCTGCCCCCCCGAGCCTGTGCGACCTCACTGGGACACCCACCTTTTCCCAGTGCGGGGTAGGGAAAGTCTCAGGTTGCCTAGTGACAAACAAGTGACAGACCAGGAAGGGAGACCCGGGCCCCGCCCAGACAGGAAGCCTTTGGGTGTGACCGGGGGCCACAGGGTGGGAGGCTGTTCACAAGGGTGTTGGGCTGGAACGGCCAGCGAGGCCCAGGCCAGGCACTGGTGCTCTGCGGGTGGTATTTATAGCAGCTGCCACCCCCTCTTTGAAGACAACCACCCGGACTTGGGGGAGGGAGAGCAAGCCGAAGGTCAGAGGTGTTTTGTAAGAAGCCCAGGCGCTGGCTGGGGTTCCAGGGTGTTCTCAGGGCCGACGGCAGGCTGCTGCCGGGTGAGGACAAGCAACGCTGCCGGTTCTTGATGTGCTCACCCAGGAAGCCGGGGGCGGGGGCGGGGGTGGGGGAGGCTGAGAAGCAAAGCGCACTCGTCTGCTGAATCCCAACTCAAAACCCCAGGCGGACCGGACAGAGGGCAGCGCTGTTCACAGCGACCCCCTTCTCCCGCCCTGCTCCCTCAGGCAGACCATGGGCCAGAGGGAGCAGCAGACCGTCACGCCCACACCAGCTCCTGGCCCCTCGTGTCCACCAGCCAGCAGGAGGGGGCCGTGTCCACTCCGCGCTGCCCAGGCCACCGCCCAGACCAGGGATGCCTCCTGGGGACCGGGGTGGATGCCCTTTTCCCAAGCCTGAGCCCCCACATAAAGCTGGGGGCCATGGGCAAGCGTCCCAACCCTCCTGCCATCGCTGAGGTACAGGCAGCACCGGACACCAGGGCCCTGACACCCGCTCACTGTCCTCATCACACACGGGCAGCTTCGGGGCTCCCCAGAAGTCGTCATTTGACAAGACTCTGAGGCCTGCTATGCCGGGGGAGACACTGAGCCCTGGGCGGGAGTGGGGGCAGCTCCTCCACCGCGTGGCCCCGCCGCCAGCCACGGCCACAAAGACTCGAGGGGTCAAAAGCTGCCCCTGATCCGATGCCAGGCCCTGCCGGGGTCCTTTTGAACAGAGAAAATACAAGAACCACTTGGGTATTTTAGGAGGCCCCTCTGGAAGCAAGTCCAGCCGAAGGGACACCACGAGGTCTCCGCAAGATGGAGGCACCTGCTTAGGGGCGCCCGTGGAAACCTTCCTAGGAGGCAGAGCCCAGCCTCAGGGGTCAGCGAGCCCGGCCTCAGCACCCAGCGCCTCGGTCTCCTTGTCAGTCCAGTTCCACGGGGACTCACCTGATGAAATACATGAGTCCGTTCAGCGTCACCGTCTTGGGGGCGAAGGACCAGGGCGGGAGCTGGCCGCAGTCCACCAGGGACCACAGGTCGACGTCGGGGTCGTAGCACTGCATCACCATGGTCTCCTTGCCGGCCAGGGAGCCGATGGCGTAGAGCCGGCCGCGGCAGGCCGTGGTGGAACAGTTGTCCATGGGGTAGGTCATGGGCTGCAGGGCCTCCCAAGAGTCGGTGTTGAGGTCGTAGCGCTCCGTGCTGTCCGCGGCCACCACGTACAGCAGCCCGTCCAGCACGGAGGAGCTGTGGTACTCGCGGGCCTTCAGCATGGGCGCCACCTCCGTCCACTCGTTCACGCTCGAGTTGTACCGCCACACGCAGTTGTAGAGCCGGGAGCCGTCAGACCCGCCTGCAGGGGCACAGGGGGTGGGTGGTCAGCCCAGGGTGCCCACTGGATCTCCCTGCACTGCCCAGTGGGTGGTGTCTCCCGGCGGAAGGAACCTCACAGGCCTTTTGGATATGAATGTGGGGGGGCTCTGCCGTGGATATGATATGATATGATATGAATGTGTAGGGGCTCTGCCGGGGGAATGCAGGAAGGAACCCCAGGCCCAGAAGACAGTCAGCCGAGCTTCAGGTTTAAACCACCACCAGGGGGCCTGCCTGGGCCTAGGCACTATCAAGCTATTTATTGCCAGGCAGTAAGTTCCATCCCCAGCCAAGGAGCTACCCACACGGCGCAGCAGACCTCTCCTGCCTTCCCACTGCTCCCCTCGGCAGTGTATTTCAGTAGATCCACCTGTTCTGCTCCCCACTCTGTCTCTGGTGAATCCTCTCGACCCCTGCACCTCTGGCCTAAACCCCGGGTCTTCTGTGCATAAATAAATAAAAATACCTTTACAGAAAAACACTACCAGGGTGAAGCCAAGGCCCTGGGGCCACATGCTGGCCCCCACTCACACTGCCTAACAGCACATCTACACCAGAAGGGGAGCCACAAAGCAGGCACGCTGGGGTGCACAGGGACTTGTGCACCAGAGCCTGGGCTCCCTGGTACCCCTTCCTAACCAAGGCTGCTCCAGGTCGAGCCGAGAGAAACTCTACTTTGTGCTGGAGCAAGAGCTCTCAGGCCACGCGTGGGGCTTCGGGTGCTAGTTCTTCCTGTAGGTGCAGGTTTGAGGCGTGTTGTTTGGAAAAACCTGCCAGGCTGACCACGTGCGATGGTGACCCCCCTGTCTGGAGCGGTGATCTCCACAGCCCAAAACATTCCATCAAGAGACCAGGTCACAGCACGCTGTTAAAACTGCTCCCTCTTATCACCAGTCACGCCACTCTCTCACTCTGCCTAACCGGTGAGTCAAACTTCGGGTATGAGAGTGGAGAAGACAACAGGTCCCTATGGGCTCAGCACTGCTTGAGACTTCGGACCGGGGTGGGGGGTGTCATGGAACAGAGCCCCATGGTTAAGGAGGGGGCTACGCCTGCTTCTGTTTTTTTTATTTCAAAAAGAGCTAACGGGAGACACGAAGGAAGCCCACGAAGGCGGTGATGGTGACGGAGTTAGTCCAGGCCTACCAGGACACTGGATCCCCCGTGAGGGCACCCCAGCACCCAGCGATGCCCCCAGGCCGGGGCCCCCGGAGCAGAGCAGGCACCACATCCTGTCTGCCTCCAGCGGCTAAAGGGAGAGAGCCCAGTCCCTGTGAAGTGGGGCCAGCTGTGTGCTAGGCCAGGCAGGCCCTGTGAAATCCCCCGCAGGCGGCTGGGTGGAGTGACCCAGCCGCCAGCCCGAAGCGGAGACATTTATGGAAGTGAGCAAAGTGGGGCCAGTCTGACCAGTTCTGGGAGGGACTTCACCGGCCAGACGGGTGTTTCCGCGCCCGCCCAGGCCACCCCGGGATCAGAAAAGGCCCGATTCTGATTCCGCAGAGGCCCGGGAAGGGGTGGCCGCAGCCCAGCGCGTCCCCGGGGGGAAGCGCCGGGTCTCTAGCCAGCGCCCCACGGGACGGACTGCCCGCAGGCCCCCTGGCTGATAAGAGCCTCCGAGGGGCCCCGGGTGGCGCTGGTTCTTTCCTTATATAGCCAGCACGGCCACCGCCCTCCTCACGCCACCGCAGAGGGGCCGCCAGCTTGAAGGGGGATTTCTCTGTAACGAAGTGTGGGAGAGCCCAGGGCTGGGGCTGGCGGGACCCGCCCAGCGTGACTCGGCAGTGTTTTGGGGTTTGGGCCAAGTAACTGGAGGAAAACCTCTTAGCATGTGACTGTGTTTACAGTGCGGGCCGGAGCAGCCCGACACGTGACCCACACGAAGGTGCAGGCCCGGGAGCTTGTCACCGGTGACAAAGAGGTGACTGAGCGCGTCAGCAGGCCGGGGTGCCTCGGTGGTGAGGAAGCCAGCCCCGGGGGGAGACGGATGTCTCACGGGGCGCGTCAGCCTCCAGCCGGCGCCTGCATTCCTCAGGCGGGAAAAGAAAGCACCCATTGTTCGGGGTCCAGCACTCTGCAAGCAAAAGGGGGGGGCACATCCTGGACAGGAGCGGGCGCTGCCAGGTACGGGGCTGCTCAAGCAGCTCCCTGACCCCAGTCACACCCGGGGGTCTCTGGACCCAAGAGAGGAACCTGCCGGGGAAGCCCAAGGCCAGCTCCGAGAGGAAGCTGGACAGTGGCCTCCAGGGCGGTCCAGTCCCGCCGAGGGACGCTCCCGGGGCCGCCCGGCCACTCACCCGTCACGTAGATGTCGTTGCCAAGCGCCACGATGCTGTAGCCCCCGCCCAGGTGGTCGGGGAACTCGGCCAGGTAGCGCCACTGGCCGGTCTGCGGGTTGTAGCAGTCGACGGTGACCAGCTCGTCGCAGTCCTGGTCGCAGCCGCCCACGAGCACCAGGATCTCGGCGAGGCCGGTGGAGGGGCGCGGGCGCATGCGGGGGCAGGGCCCGCGGTCGTGGCGGTCGTAGCGCGCCGCCTGGAAGTCGCGGGCCTCGCGCAGCAGGCGCAGGCAGGGCGGGCAGCGCGCCACCAGGGGCTCGGCCTCGACGTGCGCCAGCAGGTAGAAGCGGCGCACGAAGGGCAGGCGCACGGCCTCGAGCAGCTGCGGCCAGTGCGCGGCGCGGCGCGGCGGGTCGGCGCGCACCCAGCGCAGCGCCAGCTGGTAGGCGGCCTCCTCCTTGGGCACGCAGAGCCCGTCGTCGCGCAGGTAGCGCAGCAGGCGCGCCAGGGGCAGGCGCTCCAGCTGCTCGGCGCCCAGCTCGCCCACGTGGCGCAGGATGAAGCGCTGCGCCGCGCTCGCCAGCCCCGCGCAGCTGAAGGCCTCGGCGAAGTCCTGCATGTCCAGGCAGTTGGCCAGGTCGAGCTGCTGCTGCAGGAAGGCGCCGCACGCCTCCTTGACGGCCGGGAACTGCAGCAGGTCGGCGGCGCGCAGCAGCGGCTCGGCGTTGTCGCCGCTCACCGCCACGCGGCCGGTGTAGCTGAAGTCCAGCAGCAGCTGCAGCGTGTCGGGCGGCACCCCGTGCAGGCGCACCCGCTCGGCGCGGCTCTCGCGCAGCTGCCCCGCGAACATGGCGCGGAAGTAGGGGCTGGCGGCGGCCAGCACGGCGCGGTGCGCGGGGAAGTCGCGGCCGCCCGCCGCCTCCAGGGTCACGTCCAGGAACTTGCGCTCGGCGCGCAGCTGGCTCAGGCCGCGCAGCAGGCTCAGCGCGTGCGCCGGGTCGGAGAAGGGCAGCACGGCCTGGGGCGCCGGCCGCTCCATGGCGCGGGCGCGGGGCGCGCAGCGGGGACGCCCGGCCGGGGCCGCGGGAGAGACGCGGCGCGCCCGGCGCCGCCGCTATAAGTAGGGCCGGGCGGGCGGGCGGCCTCGCGGGGGCGGCCGGGCGCGGGGCGGGGCGCGCGGCGCCGCCCACTTAACCCCCGCGCGCCCGGCCCGCGCCCGGCTGAGTCACCGCGCGCCCCGCCCGCGCCCCGCCCGCCCCCCGCGCCCCGGGCCTCGCCGACCCCCCCGGCCCGGCCGCCGCGGCGGAGCGGGGAGGCGAGCCCGGCCCCGAAGCCCGGCCGCCCGGTCGCGCCGCCTGCCCGCCGCCCCGCCCCGGCGCTGGGCCGGCACAATGGCCGCCGCCGCTCGGGCTCCCCCGCCCCGAGCCCGGGCCCCGCCGGGCGGCAGCCGCGGGGACGTCAGGCCTCCAGCCAGGCCCCCCCCCCCCCCCCCGCCCCCGCCCCGCGCGCGGACTGGACGGGGCGCAGCGCCCGCCCCGCCGGTGCCCGGGCGCGCGGGCCGCGCCGCCGCCGCTCCTGGAGGGGGAAGGCGCCGGGCCGAAAACCGGGGGCCGGGAGAGCCCTGAGCTTTCGCGAGGCGCCCCGAGTGCGCCCCGCAGAACGCGCGGGCGCCCGAAGGCAGCCCCGGGCTGCCAGCCCCGTCCCCAGCCCCGGGCCAAGGTCAGCCGGGCACGGCCGGCCCGGGCGGGGGGTGAGGCTGTCCGGGTGGCCGCGAGGGAGGCCCCGGCCTCGCCTTAGCTCACTCTCCACAGAACCTCCTGAAAACACTCGCTGGAAGCCATTGTTTTCTTTGGTTCCGTGAGTCCTGCCGTGCTCAGGTTTGGGAAAGCCCCTCCTGTTGCCTCCAGTGCCCGGGTTTCCTAGTTGAAACCCGAGTTTCTGTCATTTCACAGCCCCCCCCCGCGCGGGCAGCGCGTCCCCCCACACCCACGGGGGTGGAGCCGTCCGGGGCCCGGGGCCCGGCCGAGCGAGCGCAGCCCCCGAGGAGGCCCAGCCGCGGCCCCCGCAGAGGAGGGAGCTGCCGGCGCCCCTGCCCGCCCTGCCGCGGGGACACGTCTGGCCCGCATTTCAGCAGGGGAGGCCGGGCTCAGGGAGGAAACAGCAGGTACCCGCCGGCCGCCGATGCCCATAGATGGGCCGGGAAGGGCAGCGCCGCATTCCTGGGCCCAGGAGCCGGGCCAATCGCTCCCTCGCGCACGGACCGTGACAGAGGCTGAGCGGCCAGGAAGCGGGATGTGGATGGGGAAGCCCCGGCCCCCGCCCACCTTGCACCAACCACAGCCTTGGAGCCGGCCTTCCACAGCGCAGATCCGCGGCCAGCCTGGTGTGTTTCTAAGGGGGCTTCGACAGACCCCCCTGCAGCCTCCTGGGCTGCCCTGAGGAGCACAGAGTTAAGTATTGGAAGGGACGACCTTCCTGCTCCAGCGCATCTTTTTTTTTTTTTTTTAAAGATTGATTCACTCATGCATACAAGAACTGGGGTACAGGCCAGATGTGCGGGAGGGTGGGTGGATTCACCAGAGACAGCGGGGAACACAGCAGGCAGACTGACAAATACACTGCCGAGGTCTGCCGCTCCATGTGGGTATCTCCCCCGCCCGCCAGGACTGAACCCGCAGCGCTGCAGAGGCTGCGGACAGCTTCACCGCGCTGTGCTCAACCGCCTGTGCCACCAGGGGAAGCCCTCCAGCGCATCTTGTGAGAATCAGATTGCCCCGTGATAGGGCCTGATCGATGTTTTCATAGGCGTAACAAAAGTGTGAGGTTCACACTTTCTCTGTGTGGTTAGGTTTGTTTTTGTTTTTGCTTGCTTGCCTTTCCTGCTTTCTGTGCCAGACCTATACAATCTGTGCATTAAAGAAAGAAAACAAGTCAAAGTGGAATGAAAGATTCAGTTGTTGAGTAAAAAAGGAGATTATTATTAACATCCCAGACTTAACAGGCCAGCTTTTGAAGCAAGTCCTGAAAGGAATGTGGTTAGAAAAGGCAGGCCCAGATTTAGACCTGTCAGCTGTGTTTGGAATTTTGAGTAACACATCAACCCATCAGTCTCCTGAGTTCAAAATGGGAGAGTGGCCACCCATTCCCATGTCATCCATACAGCCCATACAGCCGGCAAACTGTTGTTAATGAAGGGGATTCAAACCCAAATTTTATCACCCAACCCCATGTGCGGGAAGCGCTATGGTTGGTTAAGGAAGAGGATAAACTTGTCAATTCAGCAACAGTTTGTGGGAAAATGTATTTATAGGTTAAGCTTCAGCCAGGACAATTTTAGGAGTTTATCTTTTCCATAATCATGACAGTGGTGTTTACCTAAATAATTTCTTTGAAAAAAATTTTTTTGTATATAGAAGAACTGGGGTGCAGGCCAGAGGTGCAGGGGATGAGAGGATTCCCCAGAGACACAGTGGGGAGGACAGGCCAGATCTACTGAAATACACTGTTAAGGGGAGCAGCAGGCGAGACAGGAGAGGTCTGCCACACCATGTGGGTCAGCTCCCTGGCCGGGGATGGAACTCAGGCCATAGCAGTGATAGCGCTGAGACTTCACCCCTAGGCCAGCAGGAGGGCACCTTAAATAATTTCTTTATGCCAATGTAATTTAACACAAAATGGGACTAGACAAATTCAAACTACCTCCTTTTGATATTTGAGTTAGGATTTTGGGCAGACGGGGTAAAAGGTGGCTGAGATAATGTTAAAAGTTGTTATCCTTTTGAGAACATAAAAAAAGACATAACTTAGCCTGGTTAGAGTCACCCTTTTTCCCTACTATATGCCCTGATTTTTTCTGGTTCTGGGTTGCATGGGTGTGGATAGTAACACATTTACAATATAATAACTTTTTTTAAAAGATTTATTTTTGTGTAGAACTGGGGCGTAGGCCAGAGGTGTGGTATGGGGGGGATAACAGGGTTCACTAGAGACAGTGGGGCGCAGAACAGGCAGATCCACTGAAATACACTGATAAGGGGAGTAGCAGGAGAGGCAGGAGAGGTCTGTTGTGCCATGTGGGTCAGCAACCTGGCCGGGGATCAAACTCAGGCCATCATAGGGATAGGGCTGGACTTAACCCCTAGGCCTTTGGGTAGGCCTATATTAACTTCATTCAAACAACAAAAAAAAAAGATTTATTTTTATACAAGAGCTGGGGTACAGGCCAGAGGCGCCGGGGGATTCACCAGAGACAGAGCAGAGAGCAGAACAGGCAGACGACAGAAATACACTGCCAAGGGGAGCAGCGGGTGTGACAGGAGAGGTCTGCTGTACCATGTGGGATTCTCGCTGGCCAGACGGGATAGAACCCGCACAGCGGAGGCTGTGGACAGCTTCATAGTGCGGCGATGAACCCGCTGTGCCACCGGGGAGGCCCTATTAACTTCTTTTTTAAAGATGATTTATTTATTTATGCCTGTAAGAACTGGGGTATAGGCCAGAGGTGTGGGGGGTGAGAAGATCCACCAGAGACAGAGTGGGGAGCAGAACAGGCAGACTGACTGAAACACACTGCTGAGGGGAGTAGTGGGCGAGTCAGGAGAGGTCTGCTGTGCCATGTGGGAGCTCCCTGGCCGGGGATCGAACTTGTGCTGCAGTGGCTGCAGACAGCTTCGTAGGTTGCGTCTTAACCGCTTGTGCCACCAGGGAGACCCCCAACTTTTTTTTTAAAGAATGTTGTAGCTGTCTCTCGTTATGTAGCTCATTATTATATGTGAGCTATTGAAAGTAAAACTATTTAGTGTTTGGCACGTAGTGTTAGCAGTTAATCTTTATATTTTACTTACACAAACCATAAGAAAATTTGTTCATCAGTACGCATTCTCCTCACTAGATGAAAGGCTGACTACATCATTCAGAAATTTTTTTTTAACAATTTACAATCATTCATATATTCATATAAAGTCTGAAAAGTTTAAAACTATGCAATTTTGAGAAATTTTCACTTTCCCCCCCTTCCATGGAAATGGAAGTGAGAAAAGCAGGAGAGCAAAAATTCCTGAAAATTCCTAAAAGAATATACTATTAATTAAGCTAAATAACAAGCTGAAATACCAGAAAAATAATTCTGGGGAACATAAATCCTTATGTGTATAACACACTAACTAGGAGGCAGAAAGCTTTCCTGAATGTTCCCCTATGAATGCAGTGGAGCCAGTGAGCTTTAGGAAGGTGAAGCTATATTTGGTAACTCAATTAAAATAACTCCATTCTCAAGTTACTTACTGGGAAACCATGGTATTCTTAGTATTTTTAAACTTGTCACAACTTGTGCTAACATTGGCTTTTTTCTTCCTCTTTCCTAAGTAACTATAATCATCTGAGAATTAGTATGCAGCAGCAGGTATAATTTTTCTTTTTTTTAATTTTAATTTTTTTATAATAAGTCTTTTTATTTTTTTATAGCTTACGTGAAATTTTATTTTTAATTTTGTATCTATTTTTTTTAAATTTTATTTTTATATTCCCCATACAATTGCAACGCCCTTATTTTGACCCCAATCCCTCCCCTCCCCGCCCCCCAGGTATAACAGAAAACAAAGAGTCATAGACTCCAAGGACCTTGCTTCGGTGGCTAATGCATTCATGGAGGAATTCTAGATCTGCTCCCGCAGCCCGGGAGGAGTACAGTCCACTCGAGAAATTGGCGTAACACAGAAACCTAACCCTGTCCTGCAGAAAAAGGCAACCTTATTCACAGGCACATATGTTATTGAACTTGGGTCAGCTGCTGGGGTTACAGTCCTCTGTTTTTTAAAGATTTATTTATGCATATAAGATTGGGGTGTAGGCCAGAGGGGTGTGTGTGTGGGGGGGTGAGAAGATTCACCAGAGATAGTGGGGAGCAGAGCAGGCAGATGGACTGAAATACACTGCTGAGGGGAGCAGGGGGCCAGACAGGAGAGGTCTGCTGCGCCATGTGGGTAGCTCCCTGGCCTGGGATCCAACTCAGGACTCAGTGGCTGGCAACAGCTTGATAGTGCTGAGACTTAAACCTCTGTGCCACTAGGGGCTCTGGGTTACAGTCCTTTGAATCTAGTTAAGGGATGGCAAATATTAATGTTCACACTTCCTTCAAAGTGCCAGTTTCCAAGGGAAATCGAAGAAAGGCGGGAGAAAGTTGGCCTGCAGTTTTCTTTCCCCGGAGAGCAGGCAGCGCAAGGGGCAGGGACAGCACAGCAGTTAAGTGCTGGTCAGGCTTGCGCACTGAGAATCACCCTTTAGGAACAACTTACTCGAAAAATTGCTGTCGGGCACCTGTTGGAGCAAGTTATCACTGTCTCATGACACAATTCAAGTTGGGGGTGTTCCTCCCTAGTGTGACTGAGTGGCCTAGTGTAGGTTCCCCAATTCTAGGCTGCTGTACATCCATCAAATTCACAATGATTAGGAGCGAGTTCTTGATTTCACGCAAAATTTGAGAAATAGTACCTGAATATGTGAAAAATTATTCCCTAGGGAATAATGACTAGATATAAACTTTCAAAAATTAAATAAATTTCCCTCCTCTTTCCTAACAGCCAATGACATAATATCCTTCTTGGCCATTTCCTATTCAGGCAAAACCAGTTGTGCCTGGAGAATCTGACGCTGGGCAACACTGGTCAACCCCAGGACAATTGCTCTGACCACGGAGATCAGATGACATTCCAATTCTGGCTAAAAGTGGCGTCTGAAAATGACAACTCTGGAAGAAGTTAGTAATGATGTTTTCATAGGCCAAGTCCAATGCCTGATTAAAGAAAAAAAAATCTTACAGCTTTGCTAAAGCACCTCAATGTGTTATCACTTCGGGGCAGGCCCATCAGGAAAGATATTGCTGAGGTTTAAAAACAGCAGTGAGGGCCTCCCCGGTGGTGCAGAGATTGAGCGCTGGGTTGCAAAGCTGCCCGCACCTCTGCAGCGCTGGTTCGATCCCCGGCTGCTCCCCGGCCACCGGAGGGTCTCACATGGCGCGCAGACCTCTCCTGCCGCCCGCTGCTCCCCTCAGCAGTGTCCTTCGGTCCTTCTGCCTGCTCTGCTCCCCGCTCTGGCTCTGGTGAATTCTCTCGCCCTCCCGCGCTTCTGACTGTCCCCAGTGCTTGTATGTATAAATACATAAATCTTAAAAACAAAACAAAACAAAACAAAACACCAACAGTGAGTGTAAACCACCATTTGAAGCCAGTGCTACACTATAAAAATGCCCCAGCGTAAGCATAACCTCGCAGCTGAGGCTGGAGAAGTATTCCTAAGATCCAGTCTCTCAATTACGAAATGTTTCAGTCAATGAACTTCTCCACCTCAACAGCCAACCAGCCTGGCAGTCACGGCCTGGGAAATCAGCTGGTGTTTTGGGGCGCTTCCGACCACCGACTTGACCTGGCATGTCGGTCGGTTTTCTGATTTGAACCTAAAATTCATGTCCCCCTCCGGCCGGCCTCCCTGCCCCCCTTCCTTTGCCTTCCAAGCCCCCGGACAGGTCGCTGAGGCCTCGGCTGTGTGCGCAGGGGGCTCGCGCTGTCACGGGGCTGCGGACCGTCCAGGGGGCCTCCCGCGGCCATCGGGCGCGGGCTCTTACCACCGGGTGTGCGGCCCATTCCCAGCAGGGGAAGTTGTAAGACACCGTGAAACAGGGAGGGCCCGTCTCGGCCCGGCCCGCGCACACCGCGAACCGCACGAGACACCGACGGCCCGAGCCGGCCTCCGCCCGCCCCGACGGCGACCCCGGGGAACCGGCTCTGGGGAGGAACCCAACCAAAGCGCGGGTGCGCGGGCGCCGCGAGGTCGGGGAGAAAATGGAAAAGAAGCTAAGCAAGCCGCTCCACCCTACCGAGCGAGGCCGGGTTTTTTAAAAACGCGGCGCCCCGACACCCCGAGTGGGTCCCCCGACACCGGGGCCAGCCCCGCGGCGCGAGCCCCGCTCGGCGGGAGCCGCCGCCCGAGCCCCAGCCGCGAAACACGCCCGCTGCGCCCGGCCGAGGCGCGGGGAGCCGAGCGGGGGGCGCCGCGACGTCAGCGCTCGCCGCCCCGCTCCCGCCCGGCCGCCTGGCGACGAACCCCACAAAGGGCGACGAACCCCAAGTCCCGAAGGAGAAAGAGGAGGCGCGAGCCGCCGCGCCCTCCCCGCCCAAGGCCGCCCAAGGCCGCCCAGGCCGCCAGCCCCGCCTCCACCCGCGGGGGCGACCCCCGCTCCCGCCCCCGCCCCCGCCCCCGGACACAGCGCGGGGGCGCCCCTCAGGCCGCCCCTCCCCCACGGCCGAGCCAGCGCGACCCCCGCACCTCCCCCGCCCCGGCGGCCTCAAGTCGCGGAGACACCACCTCCACGGGCCCGGCGGCCGCCGCGGTGCGCTATGGGGGCTGGAGTCCTCGGGGCGGCCTTCGTGCGCCTCCGCGGCGAGGCCGCGGACTACTGCTCGCTCCCACAATGCCCCTCGCCCGGCCAGTGGCCACGCCCCCTCGCCGACGGCCGCCGTCGCCCCCAGACTACATTTCCCGACAGCCCTCGCGGCTCTCCCCGCCCTCCCTCCCGAGACACGAGCCGAACTGGGCGTCAGGTCGGGGAGCCGGTCGGGTTCCCGCTCGCCGCCGCCGCCGCCCCCCGCAGCGCCCTCGCCCGCCGCGCCGGCCGCGGAGCTGCACCGCCCGCGCTGCTCGGCCCCGGCCGCCGGCCCGCGCGCACAGAGCCCGGGGCGCGACACGCGCCGCGCCGCCCGTCACCTCCGGCCGGGGGGACCCCTCGGGCCCGCCTCGCCCCGCGCGGCCGCCGGCGCCCCCCGCCCGCGCCCCGCGCCCGCGCCGCCCCCCGGGCCTGCACCCGCGGCGCCGCCCCCCGCCCCCCGCCCGAACATGGACTCCGGCTCCTGCGCCGCCGCCTTCCACCCGGAGGTGAGTGCGGGCTGCGCCCGATCGCCCCCGCCCACCCCGCCCGGCCCGGCCCGGCCCGGCCCGGCCCCGGCCCCGGCCCCGCCGCCGCCCGCGCCCCTCCCCCACCCGCGCCCCCCGCCGGCCCCGCCCCCCGCGCGGCCCGCGCCCCGCTGGCCTCGCCGCGGCGGCCTCCCGCGCCCCCGCGCCCGCCCCGGCGCCCCCGCCCCGCCGGCCGCAGCCCCGGCCGCCCGCCCGCCCCGCCGGCCCCCGCGCCCGGGCCCTCGGCCGGGGACTCCGCTCGCGAGCCCCGCCCGCCCGCCCCCCGCGCCCCCCCGCGCCACGGGCTGCGGGGGCTGGTCCCGGGGGTCCCACCCCCCGCGGGCCCCGAGGTGGGTCCGCCGCCCCACCGGGCGCCTCCCTCGGCCCCCGCCCCCCCCCCCCCGCCCCCCGCCCCCCGCCCGCGCCCGCTCGCCCCGCCCCCCGCCCTCCGGGGCTCGGCCGCGGCTCCGGCCGCCCCCCGCGCCCCCCGCCCGGCGCGGCCCGGGGCCGGTGTGGGGGGGCCGCGCCCGATCGCCGCCGCCGCCCCCCCGGGGTCGCAGGCCCGGCCCGGCCCGCCGGCCTCCCGCGCCCCCCGCGGCGGGCCCCGCGCCTTCCGGGGTCGAGGGTCGGGGGCGGCTTCCGCGGGGGGCCGCGCCGCCATCTGCTGCCGCGGGGCGCGGGTCCCCCCGCCCGAGAGCCGGGCCCCGCGGGGGAAGTTCTTCCCGGGAGTTGCGGCCGGGCCGTGTCCCCGTCCCTCCCCCGGCGGGCGGGCGGGCGGGCGGGCGGGGCGGGGGCCGGCGGGAGCCGCGGGCCGCGCGCTGGACCGGGCGGGAGCCCCCAGCGCGCCGCCGCGCCGGAGGGCCGGGCCGGGCCCACCCGCGCCCCCTCGCGCCCCCCTCGCGTGCCCCGCGGGGCGGCCCGGGCCGCAGGTGGGGGGGGCGGGCGGGGCTTGGACGCGGGCGGGGCGCGTTGCTGTCGCCCCCGGGGCCATCGGGGCGCCGCCCCCCGCCGCCTCGGAGGGCGCCCCGGAAAGACCCCCCCGCCCGCCCCCGGCCTCCCCGGCCGAGCGGGGCCGGGCCGGCGCTGGCTCAGCGCGGGAGGCGGCCGCGGGGCACCCTTGGGTGCGGGGCGGGTGGGGGGCAGGGGCGGCTGGCGGCCGGGGAAGGGCCGCCCTGGGGGCGAGCCGCGGGGCGGGGCGCGGGTCCGGCCTCAGAGCCGCGGCGGCAGCGGTTGGCCTGGGGATCGCGTAAAGAGCTGCGGCTCAGCCGCGGCGCCCGTCCCCAAAGTGGGGAGCCCGCAGACCCGGCTCCTGGAGCCCCGGCGCGGGCTGAGGAAACGCGGGCCGTGGCGCTCCTGCCCCGCGGGCCTGGACGGGGGTGACCCGGCCCTGGGCGCCCTTCCGGCGCTGGCGCGTTGGGCTGGTGGAGTTTGCCCCCCTCGAGCGCCCCTCACCCCCGCACCCCGTCTCCCGGCAGGAGTACTCCCCCAGCTGCAAGAGGCGCCGCACGGTGGAGGATTTCAACAAGTTCTGCACCTTCGTCTTGGCTTACGCGGGCTACATCCCCTACCCGAAGGAGGTAACCCCCCTCCCCGGGCGGGCGGGACTCTCTGGGAGGCTGGGAGGCCTGGGGTGGTTTCTGCGGCTCCTGGGGGGTGCTTAGGGGGGGCTTCAGGAGCACCTGGGCTTTACTCTGCCGGCTTTAAATCCTGCCCCGCAGCTCTCCTTGGCCTCTGAGGAGGGAGGTGCTGTTCCTTGTCCCCATTTTGAGGATAGAGAGGGGGCACTGGGGCGCACCCCCTGCCCTGGGCCGCCCAGCAGTGGCAGTGCCTGGGGTGCCCCTCCCGGCCCGGTGCCTCCGCACTGCCCTGCCCCAGGAGCCTGCCTGCTGGGACGCCGCGAGCTGGCCCAAGTCTCATGTAGCTCGTGGGGTTCCACCTTCCCTGCTCCAGGCGGGCGGGGACAGCGGCAGGTGCTCCGTCTCCACCTCGGGTGAGGCTGAAGGAAGGGGACCTGGTGTTTCTCCCGCCCCCGGCGGGCGGAGGGCGCTGCCTGTGCCGGGCAGCTGGCGTTCTGCAAGCGGGACGCCCGGGTGGTTTCGGGCCGGAGTCCGCTCCTGGCTGCGGGTCGCTGCCTCCCCGCGGGGGTTCAGCAGTATTTTGGGAAGTTTCCAGTTTTTTTTTTTTTGAAGTGTCAGGAAACGCTCAGAGTTGATTTATATTCATTTAATTAAAAATATTGCATGTCTTTCGGGAGTACCAGTGAAGTGGGGGGGACTTGGCAGTGGGGAGATTGGAGGCCCTTCTCGCAGGTGCTTCCTGAGCCTTGACTTAGTTCTGGGCTGTGGGGCAGGGTCCCCCCGACTCCTGAGGACACCAAGAGGGAAGGGCGCAGGCCCGTGGCTGGGGGTCTGCCTGAGTGGGGGCTCAGCGTCTCGCCTCTGTCCTTCCAGGAGCTCCCCTTGAGGAGCAGCCCCAGCCCCGCCAACAGCACCGCCGGGACGGTCGACAGCGATGGCTGGGAGGCCGGCTTCCCGGACATCCCCTCCGCGGTGCCCCTGCCCGTCTCCGACCGCTGCTTCGGCCACCTGCAGCCCGGCCTGCTGCCGCGGCCCAAGCCCAGCAACTTCCTGCTGGACAGAAAGACCGACAAGCTGAAGAAGAAGAAGAAGAGGAAGCGGAGGGACAGCGAGGGGAAGGAGGGGTACATGGGGAGTCTGCTCAAGCTGGAAGCTGCCGATCCTTACGTGCAGACCCCCACGAGTCCCCCGCTGCAGGGTCTCCCCCAGGCCCCGGGCGACCCCTGCTCCGGCTGGGACTCCGACACTCCTTCCAGCGGCTCTTGCGCCACCGTGTCACCCGATCAGGTCACAGAGATAAAGACTGAAGGCAAACGGACTATCGTCCGGCAGGGGAAGCAGGTGGTGTTCCGGGACGAGGACAGCACCGGCAACGACGAGGACATCATGGTGGACTCAGGTGGGCGCTCCCCGGGCCGGCCCGGTGTGGCTGGAGCGACAGCAGAGGCTCCCGCCCTTGCTGGAGAAAGGTCGGGGCAGGCGGGCGTGGTGTTTCGGAAGGGCGCGCGCAGCCAGGCTGCGCCGAGACCCGGAGAAGGGAGCCGGGGAGCTCAGCGGCAGCGGGTCCCCCGGTGGCGTCGCTGGTTTTCGGGAGGGCGGGCTCCGCGCGCTGGGGTCAGGTGTCACCTCAGTGCAGCTGTCTGTCCCCTGGGACGGGGGCTTTCCCGAGGGGAAGGGGATCCTGATGGGGGGGCGGGTCCTGGGAAGCTTTGCCCTGGTCTTGATGTTTCTCTCCTCGCAGATGACGACTCTTGGGACCTCGTGACCTGCTTCTGCATGAAGCCGTTCGCCGGCCGCCCCATGATCGAGTGCAACGAGTGCCACACCTGGATTCACCTGTCCTGCGCCAAGATCCGGAAGTCCAACGTGCCGGAAGTGTTCGTCTGCCAGAAGTGCCGGGACTCCAAGTTCGACATCCGCCGCTCTAACCGGTCCCGGATGGGCTCCCGGAAGCTGTTTCTGGACTGACAGCTGGCGCTCGAGGTGTCGGGAGGGACCCGGTGTTCCTCGGCCCCTCCGAGTCGAGCACAGAACCCCCCGCCGCGGTGCAGGCAGACCCCGCCATTCAGGTGCCTAAGCCAAGGACCGGCCGTCCGCGTCGGAACTGTACATAGCAGTGACTGAATAAAGTCTCCGTTGGCCACAGCCGCTGCCGGCGCCGTTCTCTGCAGCGGAGGCGCCCCGCCGCGGTGGGTCAGTTCCCCCGGAAGCGGGGTAGGTGGCACCGTGAATTCTTGCTCCACTGGCCGGGGGGGGGAGGCCGGGCCGCTGTGACACCGGCCTCCGCGGTGTAGGGGGGAGAGGGTCCGTGTCCCCGGCGCGTCGGAACAGCCCCCGCGCGCGCGTCCCCGAGTGTAAGTCTCCTGCAGTAAGTGTCTGCACAGCCGGTTCCAGCTGCCCCCTCTGGGCCGCCCGCTTCCCGCCTCCTGGGGGCGCCCTGCTGGGGTCCTCACGTCTCCCCCTGAGCGGGGCGCCCCGGGGCGGCGGCTTGGCCAGTTCGCCCTGGGTTTCCCTCCGTTTGTTCAAAGGGACAGGATGTGGCCGCTCCTCTTGGAACGGGGGTCGCGGAGCCCTGTGCTCATAACTGTTTCCTGTTTTGCACGATGTAAAAACCTGTCTTTTTGCACGATAATAGCCAAAAGTGTGGGCAGGTCTCTGCCTGGGTGCCCTTCCTCTCCGGCTGGTGTAAGAGCCCTGCTGGGCCCGGGCAAGCAAGGTGGCAGCTGCGGTCTCTTCCTCTCGTGCCGCTGCCCAGGAGCAGGCGAGGCCGCGCGGGCTCGGGCGTGAGTTCCTCTCCGTCGGGCTGAACATCGAAGGTCTCTCTGCGGATTCTTGCTCCCCCAGTCCCCATTCAGGCTGGCCTGCTGGTTCCACGGGGCACGGGTACGACTGGCAGGAAGGCTGTGTCTGGTTTGAGCCGGCGAGGGGGCGGTCAGGTAACATTGGCCCGGAACTGTGCAGAGTTCTTCAGAGCCCGAGTCTGACCCTGACCCGGGTGGCCCCCGGCAGCCCCGCCCGGAGAAGCCCCCGCAGGGCTCTGCCAGGCCGGTATGCCCTGGACACGGGTGGTTCTGGGGTTGGCGGGAGACCAGGGCTTTGTGCTGCTTCAAGGTCGCCATCGCTCTTCCCCAGTTCAGATACTTGTTCTCAAAATTGTTTTCTGTCGGGTGAGTGGCGGCGTGTGTTTTCCGGGAGCGTTGTTCTTACAGAGCATGGCGAGGGAAGAATGCCAGGCTGGACCCCCGCTCTCCCTGGGGGGCTGCACCCGCCATGTCCCGGCCGGGCCCTGGGGGTTTTGAGGGGTTTGAGGGGCCAGAGGCCAAGTTTGTCTAGTGTCTTTCATGCTTGACCAGCCAACTACCTTTTTTTCCCCTCCAATTTTATTTTTGATTCTGTTGCTAATATTAACACAAAAATAGAAATAGTTTCTGAAACCTCGTTTATGATGAAGATCCCCAAGGGAGAAACTGCCGTGGAGGAGAACGGGGAGAAGCTGGCTGAGGAACCACCTTCCCCCCGGACCACAGCCGGCTCTGACCAGGGCGAACAGCCAGGAAGAGTAGGGAGGAATTTGCCAAAGATTTGCCCCTTGCCATGGCCTGTCCAGTGTCTTCAACATGAGAATAGCCAAAGTTCCAAAGGGTTTTTACTTTTTTTTTTTTCTTCTAAACGCTCAAGGTTTTAAAAGTGTGTTCAAGGTGCGTGATTTTAGTGCGGAGCCGCCAGCCCGGCGATGGCTGTGTCTTGGGGGGCCCGCCGCCTGGCGATGCCTCTGGAAGGCTTCCATGTTCATCTCGGTTTCTGTTCTTCCCTTTCCTTTTTGTTCTTCTAACACATCTACCCTGTGGGTGGTGTCCTGAAGTCAGGACACCTTGGTTTTGTTAAGATTGAGCTGGGCGGCTGCGATCAGCTCCCTTCCCCATAGTAGGCTGACCCTTGGCCCATTCAGGGGCTCCCGGTGGGTGACTAATGAAGTGAGGGGAGGGAGAGCTGTTGTGTCACCCCCTTTGCAAGCCCCTCCCATTGGCTTTGGCCAGGCCAGACACTTAACACCGTTTACATGGTTCTGTGTAATTACAAAGTTTATGTGTATAAAGCGAAGCTGTTTCTGTGAAACTGTATATTTTGTAAATAAATATATTGCTACTTTGAGGTTCTTGTCTAGCTTGGGTGCTTGTACTCTGTGCTGAAGGACAGTTGGACGGTTCTCCTGTCACCTCCCCAGACCGTGATCAGATGAGCAAGTGACGTGAGAGCTTGAAGTTTAGCAGGGTGAAAAATGCCCGCAGCCCTTAATCAAGTTTTCTAGTAAGTTCTCCAGAAACCACAGTCTGAATAGGCGTGAATGGCTTTCACAGTCCTTCAGCGGTGGTGGATCAGCTTAAACCCCATGTTTAACCTGTTTTGGAACAGCTGCAGCCTGAGGTTCTGCAAACCCAGAACTGAATTTCTCTGGGGTGCTCTTGCTGCCCCCTTACACTGCCAGGGTCCCCCGAGTCTGAGCCTGGTGTCTGCCTAGCTCTGATTAGTGACCAAATAGTGGTCACCCAGGGCCGCCTCCCGCCAGAACCTGTGTAGCCTCTGGAGTCTGAAGCCACTGGCTGAATGGGGCCTTGAGCCTCCTCGGGTTTCCAGTTGTCCAAAGCCAAGCCCTCCGGTGTGAATCTTGGGGTCTCCCGAGCAAGGGAGTAGGGTGAGCAGCTTTCAGCGAACTGGGGTGAAACTGGCACTGGAGGCCCGGATTAGAGCTTGGGGTCCGAGTCGGGGCCCAGAGCACCCCTTGACGTGGCACCCTGGAACCCGTCCCACTCTGAGCGACGCGGGTCGCCGTGACCGCCAGAGGAGCTGGCAGTGGAGCAGAGCCGGGCTCGCGTCCAGCTCCGGGGCCCGAGGCCCCGCCCCGCCCCGCCCCGCCCCGCCCCCGCCAGGCCCGCCCCAGCGCCCGCGCAGTCCGGCCCGCCCCGCTCTCGCCCCGCCCCCGGCGCGGCCAGGCCCCGCCCCCGCCCCAGCGCCCGCGCAGGTCCGGCCCGCCCCGCCCTCGCCCCGCCCCCGGCGCGGCCAGGCCCCGCCCCCGCCCCAGCGCCCGCGCAGGCCCGGCCGGGCCCGGCCCGCCCCGCCGCCGCCATCTTTGTTGGGGGCAGCCGGCCCGCGGCGAGATGCCGAAGTCGTGCGCGGCGCGCCAGTGCTGCAACCGCTACAGCAGCCGCCGGAAGCAGCTCACCTTCCACCGGTGAGCGCGGGGCCCGCGGGGCGCCTCCCCGGGCCGGCCGGCCGCCCCCGCCGGAGCCCGAGGCCGGAGCGGAGGGCGGGCGGGCGGCCCCGCCGCGCTCTCGGGCCTCGCCGGGCCCCGCCGCGGGGCGTGCGCGTCCAGCCCCGCGCCCCGCCTCGCCCCGCGCCCCGGCCCGGTCGCCGCGCCCCTGCGCGCCGAGGCCCCGCGGCTGCCGCGGAGCGCGGTGGGGCGTGTCGGGGGCCGGGCCCGGCGCCGGCGCACCCCCGCGTCGCGAGGGAAGGGGAGAACCAGCCGGGGCCGGGCACGGGCGGCCCGGCTGTCGCGGCGAGATTCGGGGCTGCCCGGGGGGGTTGGCCTGCCCCCCAGTCCCAAGACCCCTTCCCAGCGCCCAGGGCGCCGGGTCTGGGCGGAGGGGACGGCCCCTGCCCGGGAGCTTGTCCTCAGGCCCGGCCGGATGGCGCCCGCTTGTTGTCTGTGCCCTGCGGCGGGACCCCAGGGCTTCTCGGGCGGGACCCCAGGGCTTCTCGGGCGGGACCCCAGGGCTTCTCGGGCGGGACCCCAGGGCTTCTCGGGCGGGACCCCAGGGCTTCTCGGGCGGGACCCCAGGGCTTCTCGGGCGGGACCCCAGGGCTTCTCGGGCGGGACCCCAGGGCTTCTCGGGAGGGACCCCAGGGCTTCTCGGGAGGGACCCCAGGGCTTCTCGGGAGGGACCCCAGGGCATCTCAGGCCGGACCCCAGGGCATCTCAGGCGGGACCCCAGGGCTTCTCGGGCGGGACCCCAGGGCTTCTCGGGAGGGACCCCAGGGCTTCTCGGGAGGGACCCCAGGGCTTCTCAGGCGGGACCCCAGGGCATCTCGGGCGGGACCCCAGGGCATCTCGGTCGGGACCCCAGGGCATCTCGGGAGGGACCCCAGGGCTTCTCGGGAGGGACCCCAGGGCTTCTCGGGAGGGACCCAGGGCTTCTCGGGAGGGACCCCAGGGCATCTCAGGCCGGACCCCAGGGCATCTCAGGCGGGACCCCAGGGCTTCTCAGGAGGGACCCCAGGGCTTCTCAGGCGGGACCCCAGGGCTTCTCAGGCGGGACCCCAGGGCTTCTCAGGAGGGACCCCAGGGCTTCTCAGGAGGGACCCCAGGGCATCTCAGGCCGGACCCCAGGGCTTCTCTGGCGGGACCCCAGGGCATCTCAGGCGGGACCCCAGGGCTTCTCGGGCGGGACCCCAGGGCTTCTCTGGCGGGACCCCAGGGCTTCTCGGGCGGGACCCCAGGGCATGCTCACGGCCTCACCCCCGTACCCCCACTGGCACTTTCTTGGAAGTGTGCGGAGTTGTAAGCCCCCAGCCAGTGTAGCAGAGAACACCCTGTGTGAGACCGCGAATGTCCCCAACCCCGGGGGACCCCCCACAGCCCCTCCCTGCGGTCTCTGCTCCCACACCCCGAGGGCTACTTCCCAGAACGCTTTCCCGGGGGGCAGTCTCACGCTGTCCTGCTCCTGTCTCAGGCACCCTTGTGCCCCGTGCCCGCAGCAGCCCGGCCCTCCCCGGGGCTGTGTGGTGCTCCACGGAACCGGGTGGTTTGTGCTCCAGTTGAGGGGCACGTGGGTGCTGCTGGTGGCGTTACAAGCACGTGGCTCTGCGTGGTTTTGCTGGGAAGAGACTTGCGGTGCATTGACACGCCTGGGAGTGGGTTTGTCTCGGGTTCTTTCTGGAACCCCCTTCAGTCAGCCACCAGAGAACTCCTGTGTCTCCAGTGGCCACGCGTGACGCCACATGCTGCGTCCTGTGCTCTGAATCGACCTCTGCAGCTTTGACGCGACTGCCACTGACCTCGGGACACTTCGTCCTGGCTCCTTGGCCTCCTGCCAGCCTTTGTCCCGCGCCCCTTCTCCGTCCGTCTCCTTTGCTGGATCCTTCTCATTTCCGAGGGTAGACGTGGAGCACTTGAGGGCGTGGGCCCCGGCGTTGCCACCTTACGCGGGGTCCCACTTTGGCATCTCCAGGCAGGGGTGTCTCCCTGCCCGTCCATTCCAGCACTTCTAGAAGGGCATCTACGAAGCACCTCAAATTTAACACCTAACATAAAACCAAGCTTCAGAACCCCAACCTGCCCTTCCTGCAGCCTGCCCGCCCCCCTCAGTATCTGGGACTCCTTTATTTCACCGTCTGCTGGTGAACTTCCAAAGTCATCACCAGGTCTGCCCCCGCGCGACCACTCCTGTCCACCCCCCGGGGCTGAGGCCGGGCGGGAGGCTGGGGACAGTGCAGGAGCAGCTGGGGTGCACTTGATGTGTCTCCTCTGCCCAGAGCCTCCAGGGACTTCCCAGTGGCCCACGGCCCGCCAGCCTGGCCCAGCCTGGCCCGTCCGCTCCGGCTGCTGTCACGGTGCCTTTGCTTGGGCCCTTCCTCCTGTTCTCCTTCCTGCAGCCTCCGCTCAAATGTCACCTTTGGGGGACCGTCCCTGACCACGTCCTGCTCTTTGTGCTGACAGTGCACCTGTGGTTCACCGCCGTCTCCTGTGCTGGAATGCGGGCTCCAGGAGGCGGGACTTACTCACCCCCACACCCTTAGCACAGGGGCCCCCAGTAGAAGACTCCGGGAGGAGCAGGTGAAGGCGCCCCTGGCAAGGCTGCTCCTGTCACGCTCCCGGTCTTGGGTTTCCTTGGAGGTGCCCTTGACAGCCCCAACAGGGCGCCTGGAAGTGGGGTGTGGCTGGCGGGGGTGACTGAATCCTCCCAGCTGTCCGGCCCGGCACTGCGAGGAGGAAGTCCCTGCAGACCCTGAAGTGCGGGGTCCGGCTCTGCTGACCCCCTCGCGCGCTTCCTTGGGCCCCCAGGTTCCCGCTGAGCCGCCCGGAGCTGCTGAAGGAGTGGGTGCTGAACATCGGCCGGGGCAACTTCCAGCCCAAGCAGCACACGGTCATCTGCTCCGAGCACTTCCGCCCCGAGTGCTTCAGCGCCTTCGGGAACCGCAAGAACCTGAAGCTCAACGCCGTGCCCACCGTGTTCGCCTTCCAGGAGCCCGGGCAGGTGGGCGCCGCCCGCACCTTCCCCACCCGGCACAGGGGGCGGGGCCCGAGCGGGGATGGCCGAGGCGGAGATCCGGGACAGCGAGGGCGGCCCTGCCAAGCCTCCGGTGCCCGGCCCCCGGCTGCCCGTGCGCGCCACTTTAGGGAAGCTGAGACTTAGAGACACGTTAAAAACTAACCAGGCCTCACAGCTGGACGCTGCCCAACAGCTGGCGGCGTGTGCGGGGCCTGGGCCTCCCACGTCTCTCCGGCGGGAGTCTCGCCCCCGGGCCACGCGGTGAGGACTTGGAGCCGGGGGCTCCGCTGAGTGGCACTCAGGCCGCCTTCCCCTAGCCAGCCAGGGCTCTGGAGCGGGTGGCGGGTGGCCAAGCGTGCCACCGCCGTGCACCCGACGGGCCTGCTGAGGTCCGTCCAGGCGTAGGACGACGTGGGTGGAGCCCTGGAGGGAGCCCGCGCCCCGTGGGCATCGGCCGGGGGCGGGGGGACCCAGTGGACAGCTGCCTGTGCGGTTTGGGTTTTACTGGCGAGCGGGGCTGCCGCAGCGGCGTGCACAGGGCCTCAGAGCGGCCGCCCGCCTCGGGCCTCCGCTCTGGCCCTTCCCACCTGCTCACGTTGTCCGGCCCGGGCTCCCCACCGTCCTGCTCGGTGGGCTCCCCGCCCAGCATAGGCTCGAGAGGGCAGCGATGCCGTCACGCGTGAGCCCCCACACCCGGCACCGATGATGCTTTGTTTCCATCGTGGAAGGCACTGGCGCCTTCCTGAGCGTCTAGCTTACGTGCTTGTGAAGTTCCGACTTTGTGTGTAAGAGGCTGACCGTGAGCGCGACTCCCCAGACGCGCTCCACGGAGGGGAGGGTGTCGCTGACTGGGTGCGTGTCGGGGTGGGTGAGCAGGCTCGACAGCCGATCCGACTCTAAGCCAGAACCTGCTGCCTCAGGGTAGCGCCAGGGAGAGTTGTTTGCTCGCGGCCACTTGTTAATGGCCAAACGTTTGTCCCTCAGTTCAGAGATGGGTTTGACGACTGGGGGGCATTTGTGGCCCCTCCTTTGTGTCCGGACTCCGAGTCTGATGTGTGTGGCTGCCGCCCCTTGGGCACCTCCCGTGCGCCCTGGGGGTGCCTCGTGTGACTTAGGTCCTTGGCCTCGTGGGGCCTGATCACCCCCTTGGGCCCCTCTCCGCCACGGCGGAGACCAGGGCCGGCTGGGCACCCCCAGCAGGCTGGCCTGACAGCAGGCCCTGCGCTTCTCAGCCAGGCCACAGCAGTGCCATGTCTCTTGCAGCTGGTGAGGGAGAACACAGACCCTGCTGGCCGGGCCGGAAATGCCAGCTCCGAGGAAGGAAAGGTGAGTGCTCGCCGTCACTTGCCGCGGCGGCCGCAGCTGCTGAGCCAGGTGGCCGGCGGGGGTTTGCTGCTGTGCTCAGAATCCAGGCTTCCGGGAGGAGGAAAAGCAGAAGTCTCCCCTGCCCGCTTCCTCCTGTCTTAGCAAACAAGGGCGGTTGTCGCAAGCCTGGCCGCGGTCCTGCCCCCGGCCTGGGCTGGTCCTGGCTGTAGCTGCCCCCGGACGGCGGCTCGCCAGGGATGCGCAAGGACTGCAGGGCTCCGGGGCCTGCGCTCAGCTTCCCGCTTCTGCCCCGGTTCTCAGGTCCTCCTGGCAACGGAGGCCGGGGAGTTGGGCCCAGGGAGGACGATGGACGCCGCGCTCGGAGCACTTCAGCTGCCACCAAACACCAGCGAGCCCGGGAGGCAGGTAGGCGCCGGCCAGGGCCGAAGGTGGCCGAGCTCGGGCGGTCTCAGCACCGCAGGGTTCGCTCGAGATGGAGTTGCTGCCCACGCCCAGAGCACCATGGGACGTGGCCAGAGTCCAGGGCTTCCCAATGATGCCTGCCTGCAGCCGTGCCTCAGGCCCCCTGGGGTCTCAGGCGAGCTGTGATGTGGGCCCTGCTGCCTGCCCGGGCCAGGTTGCTGACATGAGCTCCCGGCTGAGCAGCCCCTTGCGGGCCCCGGCCTTTGGCGCCTTACCCGTTCCCACCTCTGTCCTCAGGTCCTGCCACACGGGCCGGAAGCAGCCAAGGCCCCCGGTCAGCCAGCCAGCCCCCCAGGACTGAGGCCACCCCTCCCCACGCAGCCGCCTGATCACAGCTACGCCCTTTTGGACTTGGATGCCCTAAAAAAAAAGCTCTTCCTGACGCTGAAGGAAAACGAGAAGCTTCGAAAGCGCTTGAAAGCCCAGAGGCTGGTGATGCAGAGGATGTGCAGCCGCCTCCGCGCCCACAGGGCTGGGCAGCCGGGACTCCAGGCCAGGCCGCGGCCTGAGCAGCGGAGCTGAGCCCGTCAGCTGGGATTTCTGGGAGCCCCTGGAGGGCGGGCAGCGGTGTTGGCTGGGCCACGGCTGGACACCTCAGTCCTGTCCCCTGGCGAGAAGCCTGCTGTCGCCTCCGTGGAGGTCAGCGGGAGGGGAGGCCATGGGCGTGGCAGTCCTGTCTCTGGGGGGAGGGCTGGCCCTGGTGTCCTGTCACCACTGTGGGGGGCGAGCGCCCCCGTCCCGAGTGTCCTGAGTGAAGCTGGCCACGGCTCCCCCAGAGGGGAGGAAGCACGTTTCCTGAGGGGCAGCGGGGTCCAGGGGCTGACTCGGAGGGTGGGGTCACCCCCACGCCCACCACACCTGAGGGGGAGCACAGCGGCACTCGGTGTGAGGAGCCTCCTTACAGGGCCTGTGCGAGCGAACAACTTTTAAATAAAGCGTCTCCTAGGCGCAGGCCGCCTCCTCACTGACCGCGGGTGGGGGCGGAGCCCAGGGCCTCTGCAGCGAAGGCCAGACCGGGCCTGGGCCGACACCTCCGACTACGGAAGTATCTGGCTTCAGTGCTTCCAAGAGCAAGTGAAAACCCAGCCCTGCCGCCTCCACCGCACCGAGTGGAGGGGCCGGCCCGGCGAGGCTGTTCCTCCCAGGCCAGGCCTGGCCGCGACAGCGCCAATGAGGGGCGCTTTCCTCATCCTTGCGGCGAACACAGATGCATTACAAATGCCGTCCGGTGTCCAGGAAAGGTTTATTGTGGGGCGAGGCGCCTTCCGTACCGTCTTCCAAACAGGAGCAGCCTGGGGGCCCAGAAGAGGCCGGCGTGGTGGGCATGCACTGCAGCCCTGTCAGGCTTGCGCGCACAACCCCCTTCAGAGTGGGCTCGGAGCGGGTCCTAAGTATCACAGAACTGGGCAACTGGGCCTTTCCCGAGACCAGAGGAGCTGACTCCGACAGCAGGACCAGTGAGGAGGCTGCGGGGCTGGCAGGACAGCGGCCCACCAGGGCCCTCTGCTCACCAGGAAAGTGAGGCCACACCAGGCGGCTCTGAGGGGGTGGGCTCCTGACATCCCCACCTCCGTGGAAGAGGCTTGTGAAGGTGGAGGGTTGAGAGCAGGGCCTGGGGCCACAGGCTGTGGGGGTGGCAACGCCACCTGCTGGCCACACCGAGCGAGGCACAGGCCAGTCTGGGAGCTGGGACCCCTGGCCCCTTCACCTCTCATCGCGCGCGCTTCCCCTGCACCGGGGGGACCGCTCCTGCAGCCCTGCGTTCTTGGGGGTGGCCCAGGCGGTGCTGTGTGGCCCGGGAGAGGAAAGGGAGGGACACCACTCTGCCCAGGCCCGGTGCTGTGGAATGATTTGAGAAGTTCTGGGAGGGGAAAAAAGAGACTTACTTCCAGAACCATTCATTCTCAGATAAAAAGATTTATAAACCCACACAATCCTCTCCAGATTCACTTAGTAACATTTCGGCAGGAGGAGGAGGCTTCAGGAAGCTCACCGGGCCGGAGACCCCTGCTCGGGAGAAGCCTGCCTCCCTGCTCCGGTTCCAGGTTCGGCGTGGGCTTCAGGGGTGGTTCACAGTCCTGTGCGCGAGGGTGGGGTTTCCATAAATACCTCAGGACAGACCGGGAGCGGCCGGTGGCTGCAGTCGGCTTGTGCGAGCGCCTGGAGGGCCGAGGCGTCCTTCCCTCCAGGGACACCATCCTGGGGAGGGCAGACCCGGCGTGTAGTCTGGTCCAGGAGGGGCGGCCTTGGCCCTCCCACAGCACCCACACGTGGGGCTGTGTGTCCCTTCATGTAATGACACGGCGCCACCTTCTAGAGGGATAATAGAAACACATCTGATATCTGGGTTTTTCCCCTGCTTCCAAATTTGTAGAATCCCAGGAAGATTTTTCGCAGCCTCTTTTTAATCTGGTTTCTGAAGCAGTTTATCCGTCTGTGTCAATCCTGTGAGCTGTGGAAGGAAAGAATCTATGGGTCAAAGCACCACTGTTTCCCCGCCGCTTTCTACTTCAGAGGCTCAGCTTCGGCCTGGCCTGTGGAGGGAGCCCAACCCACCCAGAACCACCGGTTCTGGAACAAAACAGCCGCTGAGTCGGCTCGGCATGCATCACCCCAGGGGCGGCTTCCCTCACCTGGCTCGCTAAAGTTCCCCTTGGGGAGGGCCGATCCCTCCAGACCTCCCAGCAGGCCCGAGGGCAGCTGGGGCCCTAACCCCAGGCGGACAGGAGGGCACGTGGTGGCTGTCACCCCCACCCTTGATGTCCCTGGTCCCAAGGGGCCAGAGCAGTTTATCCGTCTGTGTCAATCCTGTGAGCTGTGGACGGGAAGAATCTGGGGGTCGAAGCACCGCTGTTTCTCACAAAGGGGCCGCGACTCACACTGCTTGGGTATCCGGAGGGCCTCGCCGTCCTGCGCCATCACCTGGTGCAGGACGCCCCGGAACTGGTACAGCACTTTCAGGTTCTTCTCCTCCCCCACACATGGGTCGTAAAAGCCGGGCAGCCCCGCCTGTCAGAACAGACCATTAATTGGAAGGTGATTTGTGGGGTTTCACCACCTGCACTGTCAGGAAGGGCCTGGACTTCCCCTCAGGAGCTGCTCACAACAGGGGCAAACTTGGGAGCTCAGAGACGCAGGTGTGAGAATGTCAAAAAGCTGCTCAGGTAAGGGCCTCCCCTGGTGGCGCAGCGGTTGAGCGCTGGGCTGCGAAGCTGCCCGCAGCCTCTGCAGCGCCGGTTTGATCCCCGGCCACCGGGCGAGGGTCCCACATGGCGCGCAGACCTCTCCTGCCGCCCGCTGCTCCCCTCAGCAGTGTGTTTCGTCAGTCTGCCTGTTCTGTTTCCCGCTCTGGCTCTGGTGAATCCTCTCACCCTCCCGCGCTTCTGACTGTACCCAGTGCTTGTATAAATAAATAAAAAAAAAATCTTAAAAAAAAAAAGCCGCTCAGGTAGCCCTAGATGTCCCTCTAGCTACACAGAGTCACCTCTGTCCTCACCAAAGCCCCCGCCAGGAAGCAGAGACCCCCAGAGACTTCTGCAGGGAGCCAGGAGGCCTCGAACCCGAGCTACTCTGCACTTGAACAGCCTTGACTGCCCATACCCAGTGTGGGTCTTGAAAGTGCACAGGTGTGGTGACCAGGCCAGTGTGGGTCTTGAAAGTGCACAGGTCAGGTGACCTCCCGCTGGCTCGCTCGCAACAAGGCGAGGGGAAGCAGACTGAGCAGCACAAGGCCGGTGTGCTTTGCGCCAGCACCAGGCAGACACCACCGGCCCCTGAGGAGTGGAGGCCGGATGTGTCGGAGGGACTGGCTCCAGTGTGGCCGGCCTGGGGCTGGGCAGCCAGGGTGGCACTGAGGGCCACTCTGAGGGGCTGGGTTGACCCTACCCCAGAAGCCTTTGCTGTGGGCCTGGCAGCACTGTACCTTGGAGGCTTCTGTGAGGATGAGCTTCGAGTCCTTCACCAGGCACTGCAGGGGCACCGTGACGTCAATCACCTTCACCTTCTCGCTCTTCCTGCTCTTGTCGTTGACAAATTTCCCATACCAGGCATTCACGATGATGAGCCCTGAGGGAGGGCTGGGTCAGCAGGGACAGGCCCTCCCTGTCCCCCAAAAGCTGGGCCGCAGGACGGGCGGGCAGCTGAGACCACATGCCCACCCCCACAGGGGGAGCCACGCCTTCTCACCCATTCTGGACTCCTCTGCCTCGATTATTCTTCGGACAGATTCTTGCATCAACCGCACCTGCCAAGGAGGAGACATGGCGCCGGGCCCCACCTGTTCCACCTCTCGGTTCAGAGGCCACAGCCACATGGGGGGTATTTCAGGCCTCCCTGTCCCCCAAGGGGCCCACAGCACCCCCCTTACTCATCCTCGAGATCTGTCCTCTTACATCGCTTGAAGGGAGGGAGGACAGTACCCACCGCCTCCCAAAGCACTTTGTTTACGCCTTTTGAGGGGAATTACTGCGCGACTCCAGCCAAATGCCGTGCCCAAGCACTGCCGCCGTAGGCAATGCGCAGACCGAAGGGACATGGGGCAAGAGGAGGCCGGACCCAAGGCCCTGGAGCCGCTCCGCGATGTGTGGCCTTTCCCCACCCGCCGGGGGGAGCATGGACTGGACGGGCGGGCGCTGTGGGTGTGGAGGGGCAGGCCACGGGGATGGGGTCCAGGCGGCAGAGGCGGCACTTACGGCGGCTTCTGCTTCCTGTTTCTTCTGTAGAATGTCGGTGGCTGTGCTTTCCCTCTGCTTTTCCAACTCCCTGAGGCAAGGATACAAGCCTTGTGTGAGCCGAGTGCCCGGCCCGCGCTGGACAGCGCCCAGCCCGCAGTCTGTGAGCCGATGGCTTTCCAGTTCTGGAACTTGAAATGTATTTCCAAGCAAATCTGCTTAACACAGGCCTGAGCGGCTGGTGCCGAGATGGCTCTCCCTCGCCAGCCCCCGTAAAGACTGTAGCTGGGGCCTCCCCGGTGGCGCAGCGGTTGAGCGCTGGGTTGCGAAGCTTCCCGCAGTCTCTGCGGCGCCGGTTCGATCCCCGGCTGCTCCCCGGCCACCGGAGGAGGGTCCCGCATGGCGCGCAGACCTCTCTTGCCGCCCACTGCTCCCCTCAGCAATGTCCTCCGTCCGTCCATCCATCCGTCTGCCTGCCTGTTCTGCTCCCCGCTCTGACTCTGGTGAATTCTCTCACCTTCCCGTGCTTCTGACTGTACCCAGTGCTTGCATAAATAAATAAATAAATCAATAAATCTTAAAAAAAAAAAAAAAAAAAAAAGACTGTGGCTGACAGGAATCTTGGGGGGCAGGAGGGCAGGCTTGCAGGGAGGAGGACTGCTACAGGACACTTTTGTGGGGACAGAGCAACTGCCTGGGGAGACGGGCCGCACACACCCGCCTGTTCCAAGCCTAAGCCTCCGGGAGAACCGGGATGGAGCCCAGTGACTGCAAGGCCGGAGGGGGTTCCGGCGCCTACAGCTGCTCAGCTCAGTGGTTTGTTAATGAGATCATTAGGCTGCAGCACGCCTCAGCCACTGCCCAGGGTTAATGCTGGGCCCTGATGGACTGTCTACAAAACACCCCAAGAGGTCACATCTCTGAGACTTCTGCAGTTAACACAGGCCCCCACGAAGAACTCCAAATCCATTCCCCAACGCAGTGCCAGGACAAGAAACGGTCGGAACGGTAAAAGGGAAAGCATTTTGCTTCTCGTGGTCGCAGTCTGCATTTAGCGGCGCTGCCAGCGGCCATCACCTGGAGCAGCTCACAGGTGAGCCCACGCCAAGCCGGCCCCGTGCATCCGATACTCCTAGTGACCCACGGTCAGGGGCGACCACCATTGCCCCCACTTCAAAACGAGAAACTGAGACACTGAGTGTCCAGTGAACTCACTTTTCTTTCTGAGCCCTCAGGTACGGCTTGATGATGAGGCGGTGCATAGCAAAGTAGACCACGAGGGGCCCCACGGTGGCGTAGAACACGGCGCTGGGCAGGAGCTGGTCCGTCAGGTGGATGGGGAAGAAGTAAGTCTGACTGGCCCTGTTTAACCTGGAAGCAAAAGCGAGTACCATGCCCAGTGTGAGCCAGGCTTCCTGGAGGAGGCGACGGCCCCAAGGAGGCCTCTGCACACAGCATCTGCCGTGGGGCCCAGAGGCCAGCCGGGGTCACCAGCCACGCTCCTTGCTGGGTCCCTCTTCCCGAGTGTGCCCACTGCCTTGGTGTCTGTTATGAGGAAGGCCCCGCTGCCTGCTGCCCTCCTGGGCAAAGCAGGCCTGCCAAGCAGGAGGAGTGCGAACTAATGAGCCAGAGCGGACACGCCCCCAGGGACCCTGCAGATAGGCACACTGCGGATCTGTCGGGAAGAGGTTTGCAAAGATTCCAAAGTCAGCATGCCGAGGAGCTTCTGCAGAGCGTCTCCTGCTGGCCAGTCTGTCCCACGGCTACACTGTGCACGCGGCCCAGGTGTGGGAACAGCCTCTCAGGCACTGGCCAGCAGGAGGACTGGAGCCAGAATGGAGAGGCGCTGGGAGAACCACGCAGATAAGACGGTATATTAATACAGTATGGAAGCAGAAGGAAGGGAGAATAAACACCACACTGCAAGAAAAGCTAAAGCAAGTTCTATAGGGTAAAGAACTTATCCCACAAGGACACTTGGATTTTTAGAAAGGAATAAGGAACACTGGAAATGGTTCTTTAAAAAGTGGGTAAAACACAGGCTTCCCTGCTGGTGCAAGGGGTTAAGTCTCAGCACTATGAAGCTATCTGCAGCCACTGCAGTCTGAGTTCGATCCCCGGCCAGGGAGCTACCCACAGGGCACAGCAGACCTCTCCTGTCTCCCCACCGCTCCCCTTAGCAGTGCATTTCAGTGGATCTGCCCGTTCTACTCCCCACTCTGTCTCTGGTGCATCCTCTTACCCCCCACATCTCTGGCCTGTACCCCAGCTCTTGTATGCATAAATAAATCTTTTTAATAAAAAAAGTCGGTAAAACATAATACTTCCCCCTTTAAATTTTTTACAACACATATGACTATTAACTTTTAACTTTTAACACCACGGGGGGATTATAATATATGCCGATGGGGTAACACACAATTGCAACATAAGGGACCTGGGTGGGGATAGGGGGCAGGCGAGGCCCCTCCGTTTTACATGAATTAATAAAACATTAGCAATGAAAGGTTAGCACTGTATTCTCTAGAGCAACCACTAAAACAAAGCATTGCAAAGAAGCACAGCTAAGAAGTCAGCAGAAAATTAAAACAGAAAATTAAAAAAAATAAAACAGAAGGTTAAAAACAATATAAAAGGCTGCAGAAGGTGAGTGTCAGAGGAACGAAACGCTAGAAGGGAACAGAAAACAAGCCACAAAGCAGCGGGCCCAATCCAACTGTCCCACTGTCACCTTGGGTGTCACCGCACCCCACACCCCCGCTAATGAAAGGAACGGCACACGAGGGTCATGAGGCCGTAAACGCCACGTCCACCGCCTGCTGTCAGTGAAGCCACACCCGGCGACAGGCCGAGCACGCAAGGCGGAGAGAGGTGAGCTGGAATCGCAAAGCGAATGGCGGGGGCGCCACAGTCCCATCAGATAAGAGACGCCAGGGAAAGAGGCTTATTGAGGGGAAGCACAGGAAGCAGATGTGGCAAAGGAAGAATCGGTTCCGCAGCCAGCGGAGACCTGGGCACGCCTTTCTCAGCAGCTGGCAGAGCGCCCTCCGCGCTTGCGGTCAGAGCAGCTGTCATTTCCGACACAGGCTGTCCGTCATCCTGACCTGGCTGGCGCTGCAGGGGACTTCCTGTCCAGGAGCTTATGCTATACTCCCCAAGAGACTGGCGGCCAGAGTGCAGCCGAGAGGCCTCAGGGACACCTTAAACGGGCGGTGCGGGAAACGGAGCTGTCAAGGGGAACACGAAGCTTCTGCACAGGACGGGAAGGACCGCGTCCCCGTCTGCAGGGAGCACGCGTGGAAGGGCTGCGAGTCCGGGGGGGGGGGGGGGGGGGCGGGGACGGGGCGGGGCGCGTGAGATGCTGTTGGAGACCCAGGAAAAGATTCGGGAGGGGAGCTGGACACAGAAGCCGGAGGTCGGCGGCCAGGGCAGAGCTATAAACATGAGGTCACCAAGGCACAAGGGTCCCAGAAACCTCGGGCTCGATGAGCCCACCGGGGGAGCGAGCTGGACAGAGAGGACCCGGCCTTCCGGTGACACCACCACGTAGAAGCCACCTGCCAGCCAGGTGACTGCAGAACAAGCCCGGGACCCTTGCGCCGAGGGGCTGAGGGCGGGAAGGAAGGCCTGGCCAGAGAAAAGGCTGTGCCCTGCGGGCAGGCCTGTGGATGCAAACAAGATGGCGCTTGGCGTGCGGCCGGAGTGGGGCAGAGGGGTGCGTGGGGCACCTGTGGTGCGTCAGGCCCTGAGGGAGGGCGGAGGGCATGCGGAAGCTCCTCAACAGAGACTCCGACCTTGCTGCCTCGGGGACCGCGGACAGCCTGCCCTTTGCACATGCCCAGGAGATCCCGGGTGGACTCAGCTTACTTGACTTTGAGAGAAACGCCCTGCGGGACGCCAACGCTGACGGCCGCGCCCAAGACGCTGTGCCTGGAGATCTTCCTCTCTGCTCCGTACTCCACCACCGTCCCGAAGAAGCCCGCCCTGCAGGGGAGGGAGCGGGGGGGCAGTGAGCAGCATGCCGGCAGCACCCCCACCCCTTAGTGGTGCACAGGCCGGGTCCTCTTCTGGGCCTCCCCTCCCCGGGACGCCAAGATTCAGTTCTGCCACGGGACCCGGCTTTCCCGGGCTGGGGCGTGAGCAGGGCGGCTCCGCGCAGGTGCGCTCCGGGCGGGCGGGCCAGCACTTACTTGAGAGAGCCTTTCACGCGCGTCTGCTCGTCGTCTTGGAATTTGTGCTGATAGCTGATCAGTGCGAAGGAGTGAGGGATCCCAAGCTGAGAAGACAGGGCAGGGGAGGCGGGCTAGTCCCGAGCCCGGGGAGGAGGCAGGGCCTCTCCGGCAGGGCTCACGGACAGGCGCAGCAAGCGCGGGGAGACCAGGCTGCCACCAGTACTTCACCAGGGGAGAGTTCACCTAAAAGCCCCGCTTTCCAACTCACGACACACAGGACTTGTGCAGAGCGGCTCCTGCACCCATGGGACAGCTGTGGGCAAGCAGAGGAGGGTGCCCTGTGCCCGGCCACGTGGGTCTCAGCCTCTCCCACCCCAGGACAGGAAGGCACTGTGCCTAGCACTTTGGGCCCCAGCGCCGGGAGCCCGGGACAGCAGCACGTCACTTCCCCGGGGGCGCTCGGCCTGCTCCTCTGGGCCACGGGCACCTGGGCTTGGGCAGGGCCGCGCGGGGGGCCCACCTGCAGGGCCACGGTGAAGTGGCTGGTCTTGGTGTCCCGGACGATGCTCGTGTGCATGGCCGACTGGGTGCCCCACCGCCACTGCAGGTAGCCCACGGTGTTCTTGTCCAGGTTGCGGGCGAGCACGGTGGTGAGGCCGGGCCGAATGCCGCGGGACGAAAACTGCAGGGCACAGTTTGTCGTCACAAAGCTGGGGGCACAGACGGAGAGGGTCCTGGGTGACACCCGGCTCAGCACCCCCTCGTCCTCCCTTCCGGCCAGGCCTGGCCAGCTCCCGGCAGGGAGACCAGGTTCCCACCTGCAGGGGGGCCTGTGGGATCTTTCCAGGCCCCACACCCCCACCAGAGCAGCAGGCCCCGTGTCAAGCCTGCGTTCCCAAGCTGGGAGAGCCAATCCTGAAGCAGGTCAGAACCTCCTGGGGCTCCTGGGGGCTGCACAGAGCTGATCACAGCTGGACCTGATGCTGACGGGCCCGCCCCGAAGGCCCAGGTGTGGTGCCATGGGCCTGTTAAGAGGCGACTCTGACGCCACATTTTCAGAGCCACACACGCAGGCCCACCCAGACTGTGGGTGGATTTCTGGGTGGGGGTCTGGGCGTCAGCACATCTCTGAGGCTGCCCACACCTGTGAGCTGAAGCTTAGAGAAGCTGGTCCAGGAAACTGTTCCCAGCCGGGCCTGAGGCTTGTTCCCAGGGAGTCAGCCCCATCTTCTGGTTGAAAGGGGTATTTCACTTCAGCGGCAGGCATCCACACCACTGCAGGCCAGGTGGTGCAGGTGAGCGAACAGGTGCCTCTAGTCAACACCCCGATTCAGTCCATTGCCTGGATTAGGTTCTTTCCTTTCTAAGCTCTGCTTTTGCTATTAAAAGCAGCTATAAATATTATAACTCTGGTCACACTGCTTTTACCCAACACACTTCCAGCAAGCACTTTCCAAATGAATTCTGCGTTAACGCCTTCCTCCCGTATCTTCTCTTACCTCCTACTCAAGTGGCACTGGTTAATAGCTACATTTTTGTGCTTTAGCACACTGGGGTCAGGGGAGGCAAGCAGGAAGAGCTAAATGTCACCCCAGAATTTCCAGTTACAGGCTGATATTTACAACAATTCAAATATGAAGAATGAGATTCCTTCTTTGCCAGAGAGCAGAAAGACTTGGACAGACAGACTAGGAGACTGGCAAGGCAGGTACCACATGGAGAACCACCCGTGGGGTGAGTTCATCCACTCAGCAGCTGACCTTCTGGTCACTAGCTTGGACTTGCAGACACCAGGCCTCGGATGTGGGTGTGTGAAGAGCAGATGGCCTGCAGCAACGAGCTGGCACCCTTGCTTAGAGGGCTGCGTTCTCAGATCTGATCTACTCTGGGCACTGACAAAATTCAACTTCTAGACCTGCAAAGGACAGATGCAGCCAGAATGTAAGGGCCACTTGGCTTCCCTGTGGAAGGGTCTCCTACGTGTGTGCAGTCTTCACCACGACCTGGGTGCCCAGGGCCCTCTTGAGGACCCAGGCCAGTCAGTATGGGGTGGGGGCAGGAACCAGCACTATAGGGGCCAATCCCAAGCTGTGATGCTCCAGGCAGATCCAGGATCAACACTGACATGTCTAGGGAGGGGTGACTAGGGCACCGCACAGTTTAGGAATCTGCACGTGCACAGTTTGACCTATGACCTGTGAGCTCTGAGCGAGCTTCCCAGTCCTGGAAGTGCCTGGGAGAGTAATGGACGTCATTTTTGCCAGAGACTCAGCTACCCCAGGAGTGAAGTGCTCTAAATCCAGATGCCAGTATGCGGGGGAGCTGCCGGGGAGACGGGGCATCCAGAAGTTGTCAAGCATGGAGAGAAAGCCCGCTCGCTGATAGCAGACTGTCTCTGTCTAACTCCCTGCCAGCAGCGGTGAGAGAGGAGGTGCAGGATGCTTAGCCCTTCTCAAGCCTGCCAGCAAATCTCGTAATGACAGTGCATATACAGGTTCAATTCCTGTCCTTTGCACTTTGGCTTCGGCAGTTGGGGCCGGCAGCAAAGCATTTGGTCTTTCCCAGAACCACAACCCGTCCACCCCGCAGACGGGGAGGGCTCTGGGCCGCAGCACGTGGACCCTGTCTGATGGCCGGGCTGTCTCCCGACCAGCCTCCTCTGCTGATCCCAGTACTTTAACGAGCATGGACATGTACTTTTGCTGGGACGAGGACCCACCCAGAGGTCACAGGTATTTCACAGATATGGCTCCCCCCACCTGGAGGGCACTGCTGACCACACAGGCCAGAGCTGGCCGGGCAGGACAGAGGCAGAGCCGACCCAGCACCCCTGCAACGCGGCAGGGCCAGGCCCCACGCCAGGGCTGCAGACCTGTGCTCAGCGGCCTGGGGGGCAGACCCGGCCACTCAGACGACCTGGACAGACAGAACACACAGGTTCTGTTCTCCCAACCCACAGAGACCATCGGAGAGGACTTATCTCTTTGTATTTACCATCTTGGTGTGAGATTACGGAACAGCTTGAGGCCAAATAAAGGGCCCTGCAGATCCCCAGCTCCAAATTCAAGCTGCTCAAAAGAGAACAAGAAAAGTATTAATGGTGGGGTATCACAGAGCAGCCTCCCAGGTCTTGGTATGTCCCTGAGGTTACGATTCTTGCACTGAGTCCAATGCTCCGGCCTGCACCAGGCTCTGAAAGTACGGGGTGAGGATTCTCGTATCTCAGGCGAGCCTTTGCCGAGGGCAGAAGGCGACTTCCAGGTGCAAAGGCGGCACGGAGCAGGAAGGATCTCTCAAAGACAACGCGGCCTGCCCCTGGCTTGGGTCAGAGCTGGCCTCTGCCTGCCCCAGCCTGTGCAGAGGCCAGTGCCTGTGGGGGAGCCGGGGGGCCCGGCCCTGTCCCCCGGCATTTGGCTTCTCTGTCGGGCGGCCTCATGGGCGACTGGAGATGGTTCTCAGGGATCTAATGGGAAACCCATCAGTGGTTCTGCACTCAGCCTTGGAAGTCAGCCGCCCTAGCTGCCTCATTTACCAGTCTGAGTGACTTTCAAGGCAACTCTTCAATATTAATTGGATGCAGCTCCATTTGCGCAGCAGAACAGGCTGCTAAATGACCTCCAGTGAGTGGGCCAGTGCATCCCACAGGCACCGCCTTCTGAGTCGTGCAGGAAAAAGGGAAAAGCCGACAGGTTTTTGCTTAAAGGGAATAAACTGCTGAGTTTCTGGAGGCTCGATTTCCAGAAGTTGGCATCTCTAGGAAATCTTGTTCTACCCTAACCCTGAGCTTGGCTGACTCAGAGGACTCCTTAGACATGAGAATGGCTTTCTCATGGGGACAGCCCCTCACGGAGGGTTTAGCTTCTAGAGTACGAGTGTTCAGAGAAGAGGCCCCAGGCAGCCGGGTGACACTCACCTCTCCCCACCCCTTCGCAGAAGTGACCCGCCTGAGTGCGAAGTTGATGGAGCCCCCTCCGTTCCCGTTCTGGGTTGACAGGCTTCCAGAAAGGATGGCTGTGTCTGTAGCTGTCAGAGGTGCCTGGAAATGACATTTGTTGGTAACAAAGGCACTGAGGCACAGGAAAGCACAGGAGAGCAGCGTGACATGCGCCAGAAGCACAAGGCCTGAGTGCAGCTACCCCAGCACCCTCAACACCGCCATTGCAAATGCACTGGCACCTCGGGCACTGCGGCGCCGGCCTGCAGGCACATCAGCAGGTGCTTTCCTTGCGGACACCTGGCCTATCTGCCCTTTCTCGCCACAGGTGTTAGGAAAGGGACCCGACAGCCTTCCTACAGCTATACAGACTCCCCAAGCACCCAGAGGGGCGAGTTTCCCCAGGGCAGGATGTCAGGTTCTAGACTGATGCATCTGAGGACACACAGCACAGACTTGCTATAAAGTCACCCTCCGGGAAGGCCAGACCCTGCCCCTCCAAACAGCGTGCACCCAGGGGGGTGTCATGGCGTCACCCCCGAGGTCTGCTTTCTCTCCTAAAGTCACCCTGACCTTGGGCTTCTGCGTCTCCCAGACATGACCACTAGCACGAGTGTGAGCCCCGAGACCTGGCGGGCTGAGGGCTCTGGAACTCCTGCCAGGCGTGTCGGCCGAGCAGTCACCACCAAGGCCGTGACCGCAGTGCTTCCACCTTTTCTCTAGTGGCTAATTGCAGCGCTTTCATAAATAGAGATGAGGTGAGCCTGAGTGGACGTGGCCAGCTGCCCGTCATGCCTCGTTCCCTGACCTGCCCCCAGGAGGGTGCCCCTTTACCTCGATGGACTGGGATATGTGCATCTTGTTGATTTCAATCTGCGGAAGGCCACTTCCGGACACATCTTCGTACTCCTCCTCATAGCGATCAAAAAGGTCAGTGGCATCGATGCCCACACTGATGGTCCCCTGGGGCAGAGAAACAGGCCATCAGCACAGAGTGGGGGCCAGCTGTGGGATGGAAGGCAACACCACATGTGGTCCCAGCGTGGCTTGGTGGGCGTTGGCAGACGTCATAGGAGGCCCTCGGGCGCGAATGTCACAGCTCACAAGACCAACGGCAGAGCCCCCGACCTGCAAGGCCAGAAGTGGGCCCTGTCGCAGGCCAATGACGCACCCAAAACAAGTACTGGGGAGAAGGTCAAGTTACACAATCTGGTTTTTAGAGACCAAACAGAAGCATCTCACAGCTCTACAGATCATCCCCAATTTAAAGCACAAGTGCACAGAACCTAGAAACTAGTACACGGAGCCAACATTCTCCTCCATAGTCTTCCGCTGCACAACCACCTTCTGACTCAAAGACATAAAAACACCTCAGCAGAGAAGTGCAAACAAAATGAATAATGAGTCAATGGAGGTTTAAAAAACTGCCCCACATGCTTGAGAATTACGTCATGAGAAACAGACCATGCTCTCACAAAATACTAAGCTGGAATCTTGCTGAGTGATAAAACTCCTTACTCAGAAAGATCACCATTTATTACTTCACTGTCCTAACTTTGCAAATGGGATATATCTTAATCCCACCTACAGAAACACGACCACAGACACTTGTACTAAATTCTCTGCAGCCCATTTTTTAAAACAAAACAAACTTTACTGCGGCATATAATATAAACTACACCCGTGAGAAGCATACAGTGAGTTTTGAAAGATGTATACACCTGGAAACCGCCCCCCCCCCACCCCAATCAATACACAGGTCACTTTCATTTTGGGAGGAGCTTCTCTTTGGCCCTGAAGAGAGGACTCCTGAAGAAAGACCGGGAGCAGGAGAGGGCTGAGCCTGTGGGCACCTGGTAGCGAGAGCGGGCAGGCAGAGAAGCTTGGAGGGTGTGGGTACATCCATGATAGTATCAGTTAACCCTGTTTTGGTGGCTTTAGCGACTAACCCAGATTGTCCTTTTTAATTTAAGTTGTCACCATCATCAATAGTCACCATCAACAGCTGATGAGAGGGCGTGGTGGCTACGCTTGCACCTTGCACTTCTAGCCTCTGGCCTCCTGGGAGCTAATGGTGTGTGGGCCACGTGGCGGCTTAGGAGATGACAATGACAACCCTCTTCTCCCATTTCTTTCCAGGTGCGAGGTGAGTAACACCCCTGTTCTAGTGCCTGCATGTCTGGTAGCTGTGCGCAGCTAATGCCTAGTCTCAGCTGGTGGGGAGGCTTCAGGTGCTGCTGCCCACTGGCGCAACAGGCAGGTGGCTGAGGCCATGGCCTGTGACTTGCTAGGCTGGGGGCCACTGGTCAGCCACGCTCCAGGAAGCTCTCGGTGTCGGAGATGGTGTCCGCCTGTCCCGAAGCAGGTGGCGCCGGAGAGCAGCCCGGACGCTCTTGCCAGGGTTCTCCTTGTCTCCTGTGCAAGGTAGTCAGGACACGGCACTTTGCCTGTGAAGGGTGACAGCACCGAGGCGTCGGGGCCTCCGTCTCTGCCTGCTGTGGGAAAGCAGCCTGTGGTCCAGCCAAGGACTAGACCCAACTGCTCTAGTAAGGCCTTCCTCACTGACTTTGAAGCCTGAATTTCACATAGTTGTCATGTCTCAAAATATTCTTCCTGAGTTTTTTTTGCCATTTAAAAATAGAAAAGCGGGCCTCCCCGGTGGCGCAGTGGTTGAGCGCTGGGTTACAAAGCTGACAGCAGTCTCTGCAGTCTCTGCTGGCCGCAGTCTCCGCTTAGATCCCCGGCTGCTCCCCGGCCACCGGGCGAGGGTCCCACATGGAGCGCAGACCTCTCCTGCCACCCGCTGCTCCCCTCAGCAGTGTACTTTGGTCCTTCTGCCTGCTCTGCTCCCCGCTCTGGCTCTGGTGAATTCTCTCACCCTCCCGTGCTCTGACTGTACCCAGTGCTTGTATAAATAAATAAATAAATCTTAAAAAAAAAAAAAAAAATAGAAAAGCCATTCTTAGCTCACAGGTCCCACAAAAACAGGCAGAAGGCACATCTGGCAACTACTGATAGAAACCTACAGGGGTTGTTTTTGCTATTTTTTTGAGGGAAATGTTTGTTTCCTTTCTTGATAAACTTTTTGGGTAGCAACGATTAAACATCGTGTATGGGTCATAGAAGAACAAAGTACAGTTAGTGGGCACAGCAGGGGGCCCCAAGACCCCCAAACCTGCCTGCTCTAATTAGGTCCTGCCATGCGCCCCATCAAGGTAAAACTCACTCTAGAGCATAAACCTCTCTTAAATAAATAAGAGAATTTTATTTTTTAAAGGTTTTATTTTTACTTATTTATGCATACAAGAACTGGGGCACAGGCCAGAGGTGCAGGGGGTGAGAGGATGCACCAGACACAGAGTGGGGAGCAGAACAGGCAGATACTCTGAAATACACTGCTGAGGGGAGCAGTGGGTGAGACAGGAGAGGGCTGCTGTGCCCTGTGGGTCAGCTCCCTGGCTGGGGATTGAACTCAAGCCATCGCAGGGATAGCACTGAGACTCAACCCCTAGGCCATCAGCAAGAGAACTTCAATACAGGCAGGCCTGGGGGTCCTGGGGTGGCTCGCCTTCTGCCCACTAATGGCACTAAGTCTCCATTTTCTCAAAAAGCTGATGAATTACACAAAATATTAACACTGACCACCCATAGTGCTAAGTGCAACCAAATGAAAACCAGGCCTCAAGATGTGCTGAGAAGAGCCAGCCTCTTCTCCACATGCTTTTCTCTTAAGAAGACCGTGCCAGGTATATGACAGTACATGGCAGGCTTCTGTGTTGATGCCACTCATCTGTCCACTCTGGGGTGTCACGTGCTGGTGAATGGCACAGTGGTGGGCGGGTGTGCGGTGCTCGTGGCAGAGGCGCTAACACTGCTGGTCTGAGCCCTGTAGCAGCCAGGGCTTCAGACAGAAAATAATTAAAAATGGAGTTTCTTGAAGCTGAAATACCTGACATCATTATTAATGTTTTGTAAACTCAGATCAAAAGTTCTAGGTTGTCTGTGATCTGATCCTCAAATGCCGACTTCAGAGAAGGACAGGGTGGCCGAGGCTACGTGCTCTCAATAAGTCACATCTGCGGAGCAGAAGCAGCCTCAGCATGAAGCCCAGTGCCCAAGTCATGTGTAACTGTCAAACAAGTGGTGAGCGGCTACCGTGGAACACGATGCTGGGCTGTTAAATGTACAGACATGTTCGCGTGGCCAGAGTAACGGAGTAACTTGCCGAGCAGCTGCTCCAGAGGAAGGAATGTGTGCGGCAGGGCACGGAGGTGTGTGAGCAGCTGGTGCCTCGGGAGAAGTCCTTTAGAGCAAGACAGTCAACCCTGCAGCTTTAAAATATTTAATGAATTGCAATCACTGAAACAAAGTATGTAACCAGGAATATCCTGAAATTGATCTCTTGAGGAGGGAAAAACTGAACACAGAAAATGAAGAGAGCTCAGTTTACTTCATTTTGAAATTCCATAATGGCATTTTGGAATATTTCAATTATTGGTAAGAATCTAGGTGTACCTGTCCTTTTTAATTATATAAAAGTTATACTGTGCTGGAATGGAATGAAATTGAAAAGGCTTGCCTACAGTCTTGTAGCATCTAAATTTGATTGAATTTATGATCAAGAGATCATAAATAAAGACTATTTAAAAAGGACAATTTATAAAAGATTTGTCAAAGAAAAATACTCCGGAGGCAAAAAAAAAAAAAAAAAAAAAAGAGAGAATACTTGTGAAAATACCTGGGCAAAAATACGTATTTCAAAATGAAAAAATTTAGAATTGAGAGTATTGTTCTCAATTAAGAATACTACGACAGGGCCTCCTGGTGGCCTAGGGGTGGAGTCTCACTGCCGTCACTACAGCCTGAGTTCCATCCCGGCCAGGGAGCTACCCACATGGCTCAGCAGACCTTTCCTGTCTCCCTGCTGCTCCCCTCAGCAGTGGATTTCAGAGTATCCGCCTGTTCTTCTCCTCATTCTGTCTCTGGTGCATCCTCTCACTCCTCGCATCTCTGGCCTGCACCCCAGTTCTTCTATGCCAGGAAAAAAAAAAAAAAGAATATTATGACATAGAAGGAAGAGTCAATTAAATCTGTCAAAAATTTCAGATTTACTAAATATAAATGCACCCGTTGTGACGATGGCAGGCACTGTTATGACAGGGGGAATAAAGACATTCCGTGCACGTCCGTTGGAAGAACAGTGTGACACTGAAGGGGAGTGGCCAGAAGGCCTTGCAGTGAGGCACGGCTGCTGGAGGGCACACCCTTGCTCAGTGCTCGGGCTCCTGCGCTGGCCTGGGTGCTTACTTTCGTCCAATATAATGCAGAGGCGGTGACAGTGATAAGAAGCCCTGCGGCTTCATCGAGGCCCCTGGGATGTGCCTGTGGGGGAAGCCCGCTGACGCAGTCTGACGACCCTGAGGCGGTACTGTTGTAAGTGGTACGGACTCTGGCAGGAAGGCCACACGAGAGATGCCAGGCGCTCCCAGTGACTAGACACCACGGCTGAGGCACTAAGAGTGCAGACACCAAAGTTACTGCCTGCTCCCCCAGCCCCTCCACTCTCGCCTCCCTCTGCCAGCAGCAGCTTTCAAACCAGACCCCCAGGGTAGTAGCCTGGACCCCCTGCTGGGAAGTCCCAGAAGGGAAGCTGCCAGCAGCGTTCAGGACGCTGAGATCTCCAGGGATCCCAGGGATCGCCGCTCCCTGACAAGCCTCATCCAGGTGCTGATTCTGTCAGGTTCTCTCCACCTGATCCAAAAGTAACCCTCCCTTAAGCCACCAGCTGTTGCCAGGGAGGGCGGGTAGAAAGGCCTGTGTGGCACTCATAGTGCCACTTGGAAGCGTAGGATGATTACGGATGGGCGTGTTCTGAATATAAAAGGTCCGTTCAGTGCGGGGGAAGGGATGTGTTGTAAAAAAATCCATTTTCCAGAACTGATTCAATCAGAAGTGTGTATCGTCATGCTCCCGGTTATAAGCTAGCACTGCTTTTTCCCTTCCCTGGCAGTTTTTAGCTGCCAGGTTATCCCGAATGGCTGGCGCCTGCTCACCAGAGCCCCGGGTTAAACATGGTCAGACAGGACCGCCCTTCGGTTAGCTACTCAGCGCGACAGGCATCCCCGCTGGAGGGAGGGCCTGTTTGCCACAGGGCTGGGGCACTTCTGCCACAATTTGCTCCCCTAGCCAACCAAAGGAAGAAGAACAGACACAGGCCAAAGTAACACAGACGCAGGTGGTCGCTGAATCACAAGACTCCGGCTCCATGGGGAGCTCATGCCCGTCGGAGGGGGTCGGTGGCCTAAACCTGTCGAAGCAGCCCGGTGACAGGGGTCACAGTCCTATGTGGGGTGACGGATGCGAGGTACAATCATTGCGGTCGGTCCCAAACCTTTTGCAGGCACTCCAAATCCTCCTCGACCCCATTCCCACCCGCCCAGGACTGCGCGGGGTGCCTACGGAAAAGGGCGTGAGGCGCGCACCTTTCTGTAACGTCTACTTGGCTTCCTGGCAAACCATGGCTTGGTTTTGTCTCTTTCCTTCCAGGCTCAGCAGCAGCTTTGCTGGTAGCGCTCAGGGAGCTGCTTTCCAGAAAGAGACCATTCTGAGACAGGGAAAATTCTGTTCCCTCTGATTTTGTAACTCATTGCTGTAAAAAACCCACTGGCACCCAATTCATTCAGACCTGCCCCCGGGAAACAAGCCTGCGACAGGCCTCCTTGAACGGCCGGCCTACCTTGGGGTTGGTTCGTTGCTGCAGTCTCCTTTCTTCCCGCTCTCTCTGCAGGCGCTCGAACTCTTCCCTGATTTCAGCAGGTGTTCTACGCCTTTCCACAACCTGCGGGCAGAGTCGAGAGGACACAGTAAGAACCAGGAAAGGGAGGCAGCCCCTAGGGGCTGCTGTCCACTGGTGGCCTGCCCAGAGCCCACCCTTCCTCTGGTCAGGACTCAGGGGACTAGAGGACGCACTGACTATCCCACCAGACAGCTGGCCCCTGAGAGGCCAGGCTCTCGTCCCACCTCCCTGGCTCTGCCGCCGGCACCAAACCAAGGTCCTGCTTTCCCCAGCCTCCAGAAACTTGAGCATTGTTTTCTTCATTTTAACATCTCTGAGGCTGCAGGAATCTCACAAAGTCCCACAGTTTAAATTCCTAACGAGTGAAGTATCAAGATGAAGGCAGAGCTGTCCCCGCGTAGGCGTGGGTGATGGCATCACCACCCTCCCTGGGGGCCAGGGGCCACCACCACCACAGACCCCTTGCAGCTCCCTGGGCCTCGGGGGTGAGGCCAGCAGGCCTGGGTGTTTGAGGGTCACAGGCTTTTCCTCCTAAGTGTGACGCAATGTCAGTTACACTTCAGTATAAGTGAGACTTGGTACCAAGTGGCAGACCCCATTAGTGCTGAGGGATGCTTGATGAGGTCAAATCTGTGAGGAAACCAGGCATGCACCTTTCTAGCAACTCATGAAGGGAGGACGTATGGGTGTGATTTCAGAGAGGCAGGAACGGCAGCCACCATGGGCCTCTGTCACCACGTGGCTGCCAAGGGTCCACGACTGGGTGGCCTGTGAGGAACAGAGTGGGTGGGGCGCCTCCGAGGCTGCTCAGAGAACATCTGAAAAGCGAGGTGACATGAGAAAAAGCCACTGGGGGAATGTTTAAAACATTATGCAAAAAACGCACATGTACAGCAGAACATCAGAGCAGTACAGACGGGCAATAAAAAGTTCAGTTCTCCCCACTCCCTCTCACAGGCTGACATTTGATTTTTTTTTTAAAGATTTATTTATTTATACAAGAACTGGGGTACAGGCCAGATGCGCGGGAGGGTGAGAGGATTCACCAGAGACAGAGTGGGGAGCAGAACAGGCAGACTGACGAAATACACTGCTGAGGAGAGCAGCGGGCGAGACAGGAGATGTCCGCTGTGCCATGTGGGACCCTCACTGGCCGGCTGGGATTGAACTGGCGCTGCAGAGGCTGTGCACAGCTTCACAGTGTTGCACTCAACCGCTGCGCCACCAGGGCAGGCCCTGACATTTGATTTCTGATGTGCCTTCCATGCCTGTCTATATATGTGGACACATATTTTAAGAAAACTGGGGACGTATTATAGGCTTTTTGCAAACTGATTTTATTATTCAGCCATATATTAATTTAAAAAAAATATAAAAACTGGCCTATCCAAAAGAAGTTGAGAAATTTGTTCACTACTGCTTTCAAGAAGTAAATAGAAAAAAGGAAACACGGTCTCAAAAATAAGTTCCCCCAAAATAACTAACCACATCCACACAAAACCATTTTCTCTTCTAATAACTCAATATGAAACAATGACAATTCCAAGGCAGAGATGGTTCTCTTAAGGGAAGTTACACCCTCCCAAGTTACACCCTCTTGGACTGAGCAAAACTGAGGTGCAGAAATGACTCCTGAGGTGACTGGTTTGAAAGGTCTAATATTCTAGTTACCTTTTTATTTTAAAACACTTTTAGAAGTATTTTGAACTTTTTAAGTTGCCAAGACAGCACAGAGAGTCCTTGGATGCCCTCACCAGGCTCCCGCTAGAGCTAACATCGCACACAGCCAACGGTCAGCACCTGTGCAGGACCGACTAAGCCCAGCCCCCGGGGGCCCCCTCGCTTCCTCAGACACTGTGAGGCTGAAGGCAGAGCCGGGAAGTGAAGTGCGGATAATGTCAGGGGACCCTGGCAAAACCTGAATGGTGAAGGGGTCCAAGCCAGAGGCAGCAGCTCTGCCAGAGGTCGCACTAGCAACCCCACCAGAGTGGTCACTGCTCAAAGCGGGGTGCTCGCTGTTCTGAAGCAGAGGCCAGTTCCATTTTCAACGTGGGTTTCTGCTAACGAGCTGACATGGCTGCTTTTATAAAGTTGGAAGGGGCTGCATCTTGTTCTTTTCGAATCCTGCCAGAAAGTAACAAAGCCTCCTGAAAGCTGAAAAGAAAAAGACTGAAAACTTGGCCCAATATTTTCTGTAACCCCAAGGGGCTTGTGTTGGGCTCCAGCCCACTGACTGCCTGAGGGAGAGGCTGCAGCGGAGACCACCGGCTCCTCGTGGTCAGGGGCACCCCTGGCATTAGGGTGCAAACTAAGTCCTCTATCCCCTATTCTCTGTGCCCGGGATCACAGGCTCGTGTACAGACACAGCCAGCAGTCTAGGGATGGAGGCAGTGGCCACCCTGAAGCGATACCGAGGTGGGGCCCACACGTTAACGAGCTGTCCCGCTGCAGGGATTTCTGGAAGCAGTGCAGATGCCAGCTGTAGTCCTGAGTTCAGTGACCTTCCTTTTAAGTCTGAGTAACAGGCTCAATCGTCCTCTAGTGCTTGGCAGTGGGGCACCCCCAAATATCTGGGGAGGTATCTTCCTTGTGGGCATGTTTATCTGCAGTGAAGTCTTAGTATCAATACAAGAAAAAAAAAGCCAATTCTGACCCGTGGGAACTTGATCTCCTTCAGGTTGGCTCCTGCAAGCCGAGAGCCCACAGCTTCTCGCATCCTCTGCGACCGCCCTGGGTCGTGCTCACGACTGTGGTGCAGTTTTGCTGTTTCTAATGGGGAGATGATCCGGTTTGGTGATAGGAAGCTAAACAATGTCGGCCAGGAGGACGTGACCTTGCAGCCCCTTGGCGCTGGGGTGCTGTACCCGGGCCGGAAGGGGGTCCAGGGGAGCAGAGCTGTGGCAGGGAGTCACCCAGAAAGCCTGTGCCCAGCCCTTGACTGGAAACCCGAGAGCGCTGAATTCTGGATAAAACTTCCCAACATGTCACACCGTGAGAAGATTTTTTTTCCCCTTTAGGTTCTGCTGACTGAAATTCTGGTAATCTCTGCGTATTCGATGGCACCTTCTTCCGATACTGGTTGGGTAAGTATTTGTAGAGTTCTGACACTAATTCAACATTTAGGTTGCCCTTTCTAAAAAAAAAAAAAAAAAAAAAACCAAAAAAACAAACAGGGCAATTGTCCCCTGAGTGATGATCATGCTGAAATGAAGCATGGTCAGAAACTAACCAAAGCTGTCTAAAATAGACCAAAATCTATCTTCTCATCCACACAATATTTTTCTTTTCTTTTCTTTTTTTTTAAAAGGTTTATTTATTTATGCATACAAGAACTGGGGTACAGGCCAGATGTGGGGTGTGTGTGTGACAGGATTCACCAGAGAGAGTGGGGAGCAGAAAAGACAGATCTGCTGAAACACACTGCTGAGGGGAGCAGCGGGGAGCCAGGAGAGGTCTGCTGCGCCCTGCGGGCAGCTCCCTGGCTGGGATCGAACTCGTGTCGAAATGGCTGTGGAGAGTTCACAGGCTGAGACTTACTTAACCCCTTGTGCCAACAGGGAGGCCTTATTTTTCTAAGAGTAACTTCACCTCATGTGTTAGACTAGACCTTGTTGGAACGCCTCAATTAAAGTGACAGAATAACATTTTCCGTGAATATCCACGATCATGACAGGGGGAGGAGTGTGATACATTTAGGATTCATTTAAGTAACTATTTGTCTGAAGAGGTCTCCCCGACTGAAGCTTTAAGCTGGATTTTAGTTTCTCTCTGACTTCCTGGCAGTCTTGCTACGCAGGCCTTCTTGCTGGCAACTGATCAATGTTCAGTGTCGGTCACCGGCCCGTATTGCTCCTTTTTCCTGGGGTTTTTGTGGAAGGGACATGAGAGTGCTTATCGCTGCTAAGAAATCGCTGACAATGTGAAAATTAAAATATTAGAGGAAAAAAAAGGAACCAAGGGAGCTTTAATGGCAGAGAGCCGGGGAGCCGTGACGACACGATCCTGTCTTCCTTTCAGGGTGAAATAAGGCTCAGCCACAGGACCTGCCGCTATGCTGCCACGAACTAACGTGCCGTGAGGCTATTTCCATCAAGCAAAGGCCGGGAAACAAGTGCCCACCAAAGTCGGGGCCAGGAGGGGGCAGACTGGCAGTAGGTGGGCAGGGTGGGGGGGGTGGTAGGGAGTGGAGGGGCTGGGTGTTGCACGTGGGACCCTGAGGCTTTGCCGACAACTGCCTCCTGAGGGAACTCAGCCACCGGGCCACCGGGTTTCCTGAGTTTTCAAGAGAAGACAGAAGGCTCGATTTTTCTGCACAATCTCCCATGTTTTATGTGTCAACAGCCACAACTCAGTGTGGGCACCAAACAGGGCTCTGGGGGAACGCGGCCTGAGACTAACACTACCAAGCAGGGGGACAGACCCACTGCTTCTCTACTCTGCATAGAAAAGTCTTTCTTTAGAAGATTTTCCTACTAGAATTAGCAGAGGCAGGCTTGCGATTAAATGCTGAAAGGGCGTCGAGGGAAGTCTGAGGACCGGAAAACAGTCAATTTACCACCAGGCACCCACGTTTCCCGGGCATGAAAACGACACTTCTTTACTGACACATGGTCTCACAGCAAATTTACAACTAATTTTCACGTTCACTTTTCAACCGGAGCTTTGCCATTTTTCAGATAATATGGACATAGAAGGTGCTGGGTGACCTGCCCGCGGCGCGAAGCCTGGCCGGTGGCAGAGTTCGAGAGAGACACTCCGCGTCCAGCGACTGCACAGCGCATGCGCTGGGGAGGCGGTTTCCTGTCTACTTACTACCCGTCTGTCATACTCACCACACCTGGGGCCATTCTTACACGCTGGCACGCCAGAGGTCCTGGCAGCCACCTCGGCCCAGGCGTTCTCAGCTTTTCTCTGCTTCCATTTTGTTCACACGCACAACACATCACAAAGTCACTTCCTAATGTAGTCACTCATCAACTCCGGTAGAGAGGGCTCAGCGCATGTGCAGACAGAATACCCCCTTGCAGAAGCAGTCCCCCCATCCCCCTGGCAGGAAACCACTGGTAGTCTCTCCTGCTTCCCTCCCACTGGGCGACTGAGCACACCAAGGGCAGATTGGCCGGTGGTCTCGCCCAAGTCCACAGAGTTAGAGGCAGGTCTGGAGCTCAATCTCAACCAGAAAGCACGGCCAGGAAGAGATGGAACATCTGCACACACCCCCAAAGCCATCGCACAGCTTGTGGGGTGCAAGGTGGGGTGTCCTGCAGCTGTTTAGTGACTTGGGACACCAGACACAGAGTTTCTCTTACCTCCCAGCCTTCCATTTCCAGGCCTCTCTTCCCATAGATATCATAGATGGCCCTGGTTTGGGGGTCACTAAGCACTGCAAATTAAAAACCAGACATATTTACAACCGTTCAGTCCTGACAACATCATCACAGGTCAGCCCCCCTCTGTTCTGCTCCCCAGAGGGCCCCTTCATTGCCTGCTCTTCACTGCTTTTCTGCTTCAATCTAAGACATGTCTAGAGGCGACTGGCTAGTCTCTCTCCTTTTTTCTGCCTCTGAGAGTCTGACTACTCTCGGCACCCTATCTTAGTGGAATTATACAGTGTCTGTCATCTTGGGCTGGCTTATTTCCCTTAACATAAGGACTCCAAGGTTCATGCTCCAGGAAGTGTCAGATTTTCCTCCCTTTTTTAAGGCTAAATAATATGCCACCGCATGCACAGACCACATTTTTCTTACGTCGATGGACACTGAGGCTTCTTCCCTATCTTGGCTGCTGTGAATGTGGGTGTGCAAGTATCTCTTCTATTTTAATTTTGTGAGAAACCACCGCCCTGTCCTCCGCAGGGCTGTGCCCTTCATATCCCACCAGCAGGTACAGGGTCTCGGTCCAGCCCTGCTAACGCCATTCCTTCCTGGGCCTCGCGCTGGGCAGCTGTGGGGGTGCCTCAGTGTAGGTCTGATTAGTATTTCTCTATTGGGGAGCAACGATGAGCATCTTGTCATGTGCGTCTTGGCTGTGAGGGTGTCACTGAGCCCCCTCGGGCGTGCGGCACACCACAGGATGCCCACCGTCCCGCACCCCCACAGGCCACTGTTCCCGGAGAGCGGAGAGAGTGCCCGCCTCGGCTAGAGCACCCTGCAGTGAAGAGTCAATTTCAGTTCCCTGAAGGTAAAGCTCAATATTAGGAAAATCTGATTTGTAATTTACTCTCTTGAGTTACAAACAGCCAAGACAATCTGCACTTTGGGGGCGTCTCTATTTGCACCCCATTCTAAAAGACACAAACACCTGTCACTACGGTGTCGGTCACGTCACATCAGAAAATGATTTTTCGATGAAGGCAGAGCTGTAAATTCCATCGATGGAATTTACTCTTGGGTAGGGCTGACCGCTGCCAGCCCCCCGCCCCCGTACCACCAAATTCTATTTGAGAACTTTGAATCTTTTCTCCCTGGAGACTTCTCGTGTATTTTTAGGATTAATGAAAAGACCATGTAAACGATTCTATCTACACTCCAGTGAAACGTGGAGAGAGAAGTGCTGACACTGGGAGCCCAGGAGCCACGTCCAAGCTCACCACGGGACAACAAGGGATTATTTAGATTATTTACTCCTCATCTCCCTCTGTCTCCCTCGCAGCCCGCAGGGGGCAGTCTGCTGCCGCAGCACTTTCGTGGACACTGGCAGGAGTTTTCTCTCAACTCCCCCAAGTCTCCAGAGCACCGCCTGTCCGGTAACGCAGGCAACAGTGACACCAGCGCAGCTGCCGAGAGAGCGACTGCGAGCAAGCAACAGGTTCCGGTCAAGGTCGCCAGGGAAGTGGCCTGGGGTGGCAGGTGAGCTGGGACAATGCTGCCTACGTGCACGCCATGACTGTGGCCTGCAGCTACGGGTCACGGAAAGCTAACATTTGGGCAAAATTACAATGTGAAATACAGCAAATGCTTTTAGGCTCCACCGAGAAGTCTTTCCTCCGTAAAGGAGCGTATTACCCAACCCGCAGCCTGTCACTAAGGGGCAAATCACCAACGGCACGGGGATGGATGCCTCATCTGACTTGGGATATGTCCTAAGAGTGGTGTAATATCAAAAAAATTATTTTAAAAACAGGGTAAACTATACATAAGATAAAATGTCTTGCTTGAAGAATTTTAAGCGTATGAGCCAGTGCTTTAAGTCCATTCACAAAATCACTGCTTCTAAAACTTTTCTACCATCTCAAAAGGAAACTGTGAACCTATCAGTGATTTTAGTTTCTGATCAGCAAGTACATCACAACTTTCCCTTCTGAAAGGGTAAGATGTAGGCACAGAAACCTGAATTGCTGACTCTATGGTCCACTAGCTTTCCCGACATCATTTTCTCTCTTTTGTTAGAAATTTTCCTTAATTGAACGCTACAGAACCCATAAAATCACTTTCCCATGAAAGGATGTTCTTGTCTCTTCTCACAAAAAAGAGAACACAGAAAGCTAGTCTGTATTCACCTCAAAGGGCTCACTGCAGAAGGAAACCCACCAGCGGCTGACACGCGCGTGTCCCCTGCAGCCCAGGCCTCGCTCGCCCACTTCACCCGGACTCTTGCTTTCTGCTCACTGGACACATATTGATTCCCAAAGCAAAATACTACTCTTTCCAAGGCCCCTGCCAGAGATAAGCACTAAGCTGAAGCGCCTCTTTTATACACCTCTGAGGACTCTCTCTCTCGACCCTCTACAAATCAAGTCTCTTACAAATCGAACACCTGCTACCAGGATTTCCCGCCGAGCCTGGCCCCCACTGACCTTCATAAGCCTGGTGGACGAGGTTAAACAGTCGTTCCGCCTGTGACTTGAGCTCGGGGTCTCTGTGCTTGTCAGGGTGGTAAAGCATACACAGCCTGCGGTAGGCAGCTTTCAGCTCCTCAGAGGAGGCCTAGAGGAAGAGAAATCCAATTAGACAACCATCAACCATCAACCATTCTACATGATCACGATCAGACCAACCCTTGAAATGGGGACCAGCCCGCCACGTGCCATTAAGTCGCTCTCACACGCAGGACGTGAGGGAGTGACGCGTTGTCACTTTAACGAGGCTGTTTCCACAGCCAATCAAGCAATGAGTCCTGCCCACCAGCAGCAACTGTTCTGCTGGACAATGCGACTGTCCCACTGTCCTTGGGACAGAAGCTCGTGCCCATGCAGGCCCTGTGTGCTCTGGGCTGACACTGAACAGTCCCAGAGGCCGTCGACCTGCCTCTGAGCTGCATGAGGAAGCCAGGCTGGGGCGCCCTCCGAGGGGGTGTGCTCAGCAAGCAAAGGGCTACGTGGCTCAGACAGGAAAGCCACATCAGTTTTCTGACAAAGGAATTACAATCAATATTCATCCTTCAAATCAAAGACACGTGAAACTGTTAAACCAACCCCCCCCACCCCATGATTCAATGAGGGAGCACAGAAAACTCCAGAGCAAAACAACCCCCCAAAGGCCCCACCCGACAGATACGACTCCCCAACTCCAGTAAGCAGTCACTCTGGGGGACGCAGAGCGAAATGGCCCTGGGTGTGTCGCCACCACACGGGGGGGGAAGAAGAGGGAGGATAAAGATCACACCCGAAGCCACTTGCCTGGCAGCCACCGTGAAACTCGCGGTCAGACTCTGCAGAGTCCCAGGGACCGCACGTCTATCTCGCCAGCCCAGCCCTGGGCGCTGCTGCCGGGAGGCCCAGGTCTGACTTGGTGCCAGCTGGACCGTGCTGTTATCGACGCTGCTCACGGGCAGCTCCACCCAGGTGGCTTGTCAAATAAGACAAGACCCCCCCCCCCCAAATCTGGTCACAGAAGCACCGTCTGTGGCAGTGACAGCACAGCACAGGGGCCCCAAAACCTGTATGTGGGCAGAGGGACACCACGAGGCTCCAAACACTGACCCACCGGGGAGTGAGGCGGAGACATCATCATTCACGGGACCCCGGTCCCCGGGGGAACATGACGCTGTTTCGCTATGATGTCTACCACGTTTTAGCATCTCCCAATTCCAGGACTCATGAGCTTTTTAAATGATGAGGAGAGACAAACTTGACAGTACTTTAGAAATATTGGCATGAAATTTAAATATTTTATATGAGATTAAATTATTCAGAAGCTATAAAGCCAGGATGTCTGAGCTTGTTTCCCAGAGGCTCTCCACAGGAGTTCTGGAGAACTCCACAGGAAGACACAGGGCGGCAAGGCCACGCTGGGGGCACAGGGTCCAGGGAGGCCTCCTGGGGCCAGGACTTCCTCAGGGCAGCAGGTGGGGGCCGGTGGCCTCTAAGAGACTTCCCAGCTCTGACTTCGCATGATTCTGTTACCAGAAAAGGAAAAACGGAGCTGGACTTGGGCCACTTGGCAGGAGACAGTCATTGCTGCAGATAGAGGCACCATTGCTCGCCTTGGCACTTGAGGTCAGGAGCTTCTCGAACGTTCCATGAATTATGTCACTGGAAAAAGGGTCAAGATTGGGTGGGGCAGCACCCTTCACTTTCAGGAACTCGTGACTGTCTGCCCGCTCAGCACCGATCTCCTTCTCCCACCTTCTCCTCGGTACAGCCCTGGGAATTACAGCACCCAACAACTTTCAGTCAGCTGCCTCCCTCCTTGCTCTCCCTCCTTCTGGTCACCTTTGTGATTCACTCTGTGAAATACGCCCACTTTCAAGTTCAGAGGCTAAGAATGCAGGCTAAGAATGAGCCTTCAGAGCTGTGAAAGGGGGAATAATTCTCCCGGACACAAGAGAAAGTGACGGCACAGGCCACGCCCCGCCCAGCTAAACCTCACGCATGGCAGCTCCTCTAAAACCTTGTGTTTGTTTTCTCACTGGAGACTGCGGACAACAGTGTTGCTCTCAGAGTTACAGCGAGGGGCAGATGGAACAGCGCGCGGACAGGGCCTCCAATGCCTGCACACAGTAGGGGCTTAATCACTTAATCAGCAGCCACAGGACTCTGCACCCTCCTCTGGCTGCGTGGCCACAACACCTGACAAGAGAGGCGCGAGGCGCAGTCTGCGTGGTTCCTGCTCCCTCCCCACCTAGTTCCTTCCCTGCGAAGGGCAGGAGTGCAGGGCAGGAGTGCTTCGTGTTTCTTGCCACACTCATAAGGTCACCAGTTCTAAACGCCATTGTTTTAAGTTAAAAAAGGAAAAAAAAGCCAACTAATGGCAAATCCTTAATCTTCGCCGGGTAGGCTTACTGACGTGAGGACATAAACGGGGTGTGCTCTTTCCTAAACAGCCATTACAAGTTATTTTCTTCCTGCAAGTTTTAATTGTTTTTTTCCCCCAGCATCTCATTAAAGTCCCAAGTGCAGGCTCAGGTTTGGCTGACTTTAGGTGAGAGCCCTAGATGAGAACAGACTATCTCAGTAATAGATGCTTAATGTGCTATTGATTAAGAAATAGAGATGAGAAGTTTCATTTTTAATAAATATCACATTCAATAAAAGGTTAGACTGGTTTTTCATCATGAGTGAATAGCTAAGGTCACTGGCTTGATAGCTCATAAAGGACAAACGCTTTCACTGTCATAAAAATACTGACATTTTGAAATACACACTATCACTAAAATGATAGAGAAGTTAAACACTTATCTCAAAAATTCTATGATAAAACTAAGAGATATGTTGTGCTTTAAGTGATGTCATCTCACGCATCTGGTTATTATTTTCCTTTCAAGATTTATTTATTTATTCATGCATGTAAGAACCGGGGTACAAGCCAGAGGTATGGGAGGGTGAGAGGATTCACCAGAGACAGAGTGGGGAGCAGAACAGGCAGACTGACTAAAATACACTGCTGAGGGGAGCAGTGGGAAGACAGGAGAGGTCTGCTGTGCCATGTGGGTAGCTCGTCAGCTGGCCAGGATCGAATCCGCGCTAAAGAGGCTGCGGACAGCTTCACGGCGCAGCACTCAACCGCCTGCGCCACCAGGTTTAGGGTATTTTCAATGGAAAGTATATCTATTATAAATTCCACCTCTGTATGTCATAAAATTCAGAGGAAGGCCCTTTGTGACCTGACTGTACAGTTTAGTGATTAAACCTGCTGGGCTAGAGGCTGTATAGTACAAAATTCCTGAATAAGCCACAAAAGAGGGCCTCCCTGGTGGTGCAGGGTGTTGAGCACCACACCATGGGGCAGTCGGCAGCCTCTGCAGCATGAGTTAGATCCCTGGCTGGCCAGAGAGAAACCCACATGGTGCAGCAGACCTCTCCTGTCTTGCCCGCTGCTCCCTCAGCAGTGTATATCAGTCAGTCTGCCTGTTCTGTTCCCCACTCTGTCTCTGGTGAATCCTCTCACACACCCCCCATCTCTGGCCTGTACCCCAGCTCTTGTTTGCATAAATAAATAAATCTTAAAAAAAAAAAAAGCCACAAAAGAGAAATAAAAGGTGCACGAAGTTGAAAGGAGAAAGTAAAGCTATATCAGTGGATGCCATCTATGTAGATTATAAAGAATCTACATAAAAGCTACTAGAACTAAGGACTTTAGCAAGGTGGGGGGTAAAGGGTCAACATGCAAACTTCAATTCATTTCTACAAACTAAGAATTGAAATAAATAAAAAAAAAAGACTACCATTAGGGTATCATCAGCAAACTGATGATACTTAAGAGACAAACTGATAAGTTTGTACGCGCTCCGTACATGGAAACGTACAAGACGCTGCTGACATATTAAAGATGACCAAGATAATGGAGTGATCCTCTTTACGCATCAGGAGAGTCACTATTCTTCAGATGTCGGTTCTTTCCAAAGTGATCTAGAGATTTAATGCAGTCCAATCAAAATCCAGCAGTGGGATTTTTGGGGTAGAAACTGACAAGTCCGTTATAAAATGCGTATGGCTAAAACAAGGATAAGGAGCAAAAGATTTTTTACTCTCCTATTTCTCTGGCCAAAGTAACTATGAAAAAGAATTGGGGGCTCACACAACTGGACCTGGAGGTTTAGTATGTGGCCATGCGGCCAGGCCAGCGTGGTGCTGGTGGAACAGCGGATACAAACCCCCAGGACAGTAGCGAGTGCACAGGCAGACCCCAGGAGCTGAGGCAGTGGCGGGGGGGGGGTGGGGGTGGGGGTGGGGCGGACTTCTCAGCGAAGGGTGCTAGAAGTGAGCATCCAAGTGCTCCCCTGCCCCCAAAGACCCTGCCCCAGACCTCGAAGATAAACAGAAGCTGGAGCAGCTTGGTGCCACGAGGTCTGGCCTGCACAGCTGCCAGAGGGAGGCTCGCCGGGTGGAAGGGACATGGAAGGAAGGGACACCGGGCCCTATGCTGACAGATCCCCATAAAGGCAATTATAAAAGCTGGCATTATAGTAAAATAGTCTGTACTTCCACATTTTCTTTTCTGCGTGATCGAAGACATACAATTATGAGTCTGAAAGTAAAAATAAAAGCCTGTCTGTGACTCTGGCTTGTGACTTCACATTTGCTGTCCAGGTAACTTAGAGACTAGTCAAACTTACAGCAGGTCCCTAAATTCGCTGTTTTGTTCCTTTTGGTCAAAGTCGTTTTGTTCTCACATCGGTGAGGAAAACGACAACCCAGCACTGAAACAAAAAGGACGGTGTTTGAGGCCCGGCTTGCACACGGTTTAGCTTCAAGTTGCAATTTCCGTCCAAAACCCCACTGACAGTGCTGAAGGGAGACGTTCTGTATGGGCTTATTTTTTGAAACACAAAGTGGAGAGCTGTAATTCTGTGGCACCAACAACTGCAAGGTGGACAGGGTCCCGCTCTCAGCAGCGGAGAGAACCGCAGACAGAGGGCGGGGAGCAAGGCGGCACCGGCCTGGGTCTGACAGGACTGCCGGGGCGTCCTCCCGGAGGGCACCCTCACCTGCCGTTCCCGACAATCCGCTCCCTACAAGACTTTCACTCTCTCCCAACCCTGCTTG